AGATCGCTGTCAAATACCGTTGTGTCATCCCAGTCTCCTGCTTCCGCATTGGCGTCAATGAGCCAGATCCATGGCATTCCGTCTCCGTAGGTGTCGATGAGGTGGTCTGTCTGCTCCCACCATTGCTGTCGAGCAGAACGGGCATGGCCGCTATGTGGCGCATGCGCCACAAGGATCCAGCAAGTGAGGAGCTCTGCTTGACATCTAACAATGAGTCTTTGCGGGTCCTTGTGACAGACTTGGAAATGCTGCACTTTGAGATGTCTGGGTCTCATTCGTTTGTCGAAGCCAATGGGTTGCGCAAGATTGATCCATAGTTCAACACCATAGAGGCCTCCACAATGTCCAGCACCAATTCGAAGCATGTCATGCGATGTGCTGAAGACTTCTTCATTGCGCCCCTCTTGCACCCCCACAATGTTAATGCCATGAGCCTTGACCTGTTCATAGAGGTAGAGTAATTTACCACTGTGGCCAACAGGTCCTTTGGAGATTGACTGCACATTCATAGTCGCAAGGCTCAGCTGGCATGAGATGGCGGCAATGCTGGTCTGATGCTTCTGCGGCAGATGTGTTTGGAGCGTAGACTGCGGCAGGTCAGGAGCAGAAGCTTGCAAGCCATCGTTCCAGTCTGGTAATCCAAAGCGGCTTCCAAAACACAGCCAAAGAGATGGAATGATTTGGCGCCATTTTTGGAGATCAAGCCGGAGTCTGGGGTGATGATGGCTGGCCTTGGCTTCTCTCTTTGCCACATGATCTACAAATTCGTTGTATGGATCGCCCGCGTGCGATTTCACATGATGCACGCGCAAATGGTGCTCTGGGAGTCCAGTTTGCAAACATTGGAACGTGCCGCGGAGAAGGCGGTACGTCATATCCGGGTCTGCGACTCCAACTGTTCCATCAGCCTGTCCACCAGTGACCTTGGAGTCAACGCAAAATACTGTAGGCGTGACCTGGTTCTGAGTCAGACACCAGAGTCCTGCCCACAATAGACCTTCACGCTCTGCAATGTCGGCACCTATGCGAGTCGAGCCAGCAAAGCACGATCCACATGGATCTGTACGAACAGGATGAGCTGCCCAACCAATGGGGACAATCTCACTGTCTGAGTCCGAGATGTACCGTTCACCGAGCACAAGCATGGCCCAAGTGTCTGGCATGGACATCGCATCTGCATATTCAGGAGTGAAGTGCTTGTTTTTGGTTTGCGAGGAGCCATCAGTAAAAATCAACCATCTGTCCCATTGTTCCTCAAGGTCACCTGGTGATGTGCAAGTCAGAGCTTCTTCGATAAAAGATGGCAGCTCAAGGCCTGTGAAGTCCTTACAAAGCACATCATTGCCAGCACTGAGTAGTTCATGCAGGTCAGCTTTTGAGAAGGGAGTCTTGACAAGGCATGCTTCAGCATCAATGCTAGCATTCCACGAGTCGACCTGGAAGAGTGGACAGGGCTTCCAGTCTGTAGGCGATCTCAAGGGCCATGGTGTCCTTTGCCGCTCCGATTTGCCATCACTTTGAGTCGTTGGTTTGCAGTTCCAAAAGCGAACTCGGTGGAGATCAGGCAAGAGAGCTTCATTGGAGAGGACAACAGCTCTCTCATATCCCAAACGATGCAGGAGTCGCATGAGTTCTTGATCGTTCAGGATCTGCGCATCTGTGTGTAAGATGGACCCTTGCATATCTTGGAGATCGTCATTGCAGAGCATGTAGTGGATGCCCGCTCCACTGCTCGAATCAGGGAGGTTGTAGTAGAGGTACTCGCCCCGAAGTCCAAATTCAAAGACTGGAGAGTGGAGCCCACAATGCTTCAACTCATCTGTAACTCCTTTTTCAGCAGAGTCTTTGGGTATCTCAATGAAATGTGGAAGTTGCTGTGTTGGATCAGCTGCTTTCACTTTGACGGCTTCAAATTCAGGCAACAATGTAGCTAGACGAAGTCGCACTGGTGGTTGATGGTCATTGGAATCAACAGTAGCGTCATTGGATGCCTGAAGGTCATCAAAGGAGGAGGCGTCTTCAATAACATCACTACACTCCTTGGGGTCCAAGAGCTTCATTTGCGTTTGCAGCATCACAACATGTGGTTGGGCAACGATGGGTTGCCTGACAGTCAGTTGTATGACAATACTATAGCCATCTCGTCCTTGAAGTGGGCGTCCAAAGATGAGTTGCTGTGATCCGTACCATCCTCTGCAGTGTCGATCAGCGGCTGCGAGCAGGCATCGATGCGTGAGCCCAAGGCTATGGATGATCTGCTCAAAGAAAATATGTTCATGCGTCGTCAGAGCAAGCTGCCAATGTGGGCCCGGCTGTGGGACTGTGAGGTCATAGCCGGTGATCAAATTGGTGACAAGCTCTGGTTGTGGTCTTTGAACAAGTAGGACGTGAGCTGCAACCGGTCTGCCAAGTCGTGGCGGACGTGGCTGCACAATGACAAATTCAATAGGTGCTCCGTCAATGATCCTATCATGCCAAAGTCGACGAATTTGGTGCTCCCACATGGCAAACTGCGACGTCAGTTGGATGTTGCGGGGTTGCCAGCATACTCTTTGTGCAGGGTCGTGCTGATCAACAAACCAAGTAGTGACTTCCGCACTTGCTTCTTCACCTTGCCAGCTGAACGCAAGTCTGGTCCATTCCTCATAGAGATCTTGGATCACTTCAGGCATGTGGTCGAGACGAACTTCTCCAGGAATGAAGACTGGTGCCATTGGATCAAAGACAAAGTCATCAATGGAGTCGTTTGGATGATCAGCTGCTAGAGGCACTGCTGGTTGTGGGGCAGAAACCTCATGTGAGGAAGAAGATGCAGGCTCTGCACGCACTTTAACATGTAGTTCGATATGTTGTCCATTCTCTGCTCTCCACGGGTTGTTCGTGGAAAGTCTCTGATGGTTGTGGGTTGCATGGCAAACCCATTCTCTTTGCACACAACGAACTTCCTGATCTGCAAACCAAAGCAGTCTGTCAAAGGGTAGCATGCTGGGTACGAGTTGTGCAAAACGGTCCTGCGCTGGCCCTCCAGAGACCGTGAGCAGGATGCCTGCTTCCATTGGGTGCTCATGCTGTAGAATCAAAAGGTGCCCTCCATTTGGTGCTCCAACAGGCGTGGGGAATATGAGCTGCATACGGATCGGCCAGTGCGGGTGCTGTCTGTCCCTCCACACTTGTCTGAGCGCATTGTCCCAAAGTTGAACATGAGCAGGAAGAGCAACAGATCTCGGAGTTGAGCATCTTGGGAAGTCAAGCGCACTCAAAAACCACGTATCAAAGTACATGATGGGCTCTCGGTCAGGTCCTTGAGTTTGGAGATGCGGCCTGTTCCAGATGTCATGCAGATGACGTAGATCCGGTTCAGTTTCTTCTGCTGGGACTGGGACTCTGGGAGCTCGAGGACGTGTGCCAATTTCTCTGTCACAGCAATCAAGTCTTGTGCGTTGCGTGACTTGTTTGTCACCAACTTTGGCAGTGATTGCCGCTGACTGCTGTAAGAGCATCATCTCATCTGGTTGTTCTGAACACTGAAATCGTTGATCATCATCACCAATGTAAATTTTTACATAGTCCCCGTCCTCAATGACAATTGGATCTTCACGCTTGGGATCGATGACAACATTGTTGAGCCAAACAGAAGTTTTGGTTTCATGTTGGCGAAAGATAGTTTCGATGTTCAGGATGCGGAATAACGAAGTGATGGTTGTTGTGTGCGGGAGCCACTTTGCCAGTCTTCGGAAGATTCCAGGCAGAATTTCGTTTGCTTCAATGATCTCAAGGTCAAGGAGCGTGAGCCTTAAGAAGGATATCGGCCTTCGTTCTCCGCTGCGAAGCGCCAGAAGACATTGTAGTTCAACTGCAACGAGATCATCAGGACGATCCAAGACGTTGTAAATCTCAGCAATCTCTTCATGGCCAAGTGCGATCGCAATTCGTCGTTGAAATTCTTGATGATGTTCGTCAGGCAGAAGGCATGATACTGCGTTGCCATCGATCGTGTAGACGACAGTTCTTGTCCAGGTTCTCATGCCACTAGAAGGCTCTCTGCTTGAAGATGTCTGCATGGAGTCCGAAGTAGATGTTGAAGAGCTGGATGACAATGAAGTGCGTGCTCTTGGCCGACGGGCCATCATGGCAGTATGGTCAGGCTCAATTGCATGCTCCGGTTGCAACACTTCAGCAATGTCCTGCCATTGTTCCATTCGAGGTCGAATATAGACATTCCATTCTTCCTCGTTAATGAGCATGGGGACATTGACAACCAGTCCTAAGCCATCATGCATCCTGATGGGTCGTTCTCTCGGGAAAACATGTGCTCCAGCACGAAGCACGCAGGGTCGAAGATTCTGCCGTTCTGCTTCCCGACATGCCTCAAAAGCTTCAGCACGGCGGAGGACAGTTGAATAGTCCGTCCAGACGTCAACAATGTGTGCGATCTCCAGGGTGCGCGGCGTTGGCAACTCATCAAATAATGCCGTTGTGAGAATAGCTGCACCTTCTGGTTGCGCATGTTGGACAATGAGGACAATACCGACAATCCCCCGCGTGATCGAGATGGGAGGCTCTGGCTGGACGAGGTAGACGTTGAAGTCAGCTTCTCTGTCGAACATGTCTCCCCATACTTGTTTGAATTCCTCTATCCATTCTTCATAGTGACGGGTCAAGCGGATTGGGCGATCAACAGCTTGCCGTACACAATCGCGATGGCTGAGGTAATACGTGCTCAAGTAGATGACTGGTCCCTCCTCCAGGAGTTCGGTTGCTCCTTCATCTTGGAGAATGTTCCACAGAGATTCGACCCAGGCTGGCAGGTGCCTAATGGGTACTCTGCCAGGTCTTCGGTGTCCATCTGATTCCTCTGATGTACTGGGCGGATCTGGAAAATTCGGGATCTCTGTCACGTCAGGCCTGTATACACATATATATATATACATTATACATAGACTAGATTTTATATATAGATTTTAAAAGATATAGATATACCTTGCATATCGCTCCCGTAGGTCGAAAAGGCTAGCCAGATTGCAGCTTCCCAGGAGGCATCAGCCATGCTGGGAGCCTCCCATGGCTTACCAGTGCTGTTAATGTCAGAATTCAATAGAGAAATCTATAGAGAGACTCACCAGGATGATTTAGGATATAAAATGATATAAAATGCTCGAGCTCTGCAAATCTCATCATAGTTAGATGTCAATTTGATGTTAGATGAAAAGTACTTATAACCTGTGAAAGAGAGATGTGTTGATTTGCCTTCGAATCCCCATGTTCCAGCTTGCAGGTTGATGGCGCTGAGAGTGAGCACGGGGATAGCGCTTCCCACGAATGAATGCTGCATGGCTCGGTCCACGGGTTGTTTTCTGGAAAGCATTCGAGGGGATTCCATAACTATCACCAAAATGATCCATGAAGATCCATTTCGGCGAATGAACACCTATGAATCACAGAATCCATAGCAGATTTGCGGTTATTCCATTAAGGTACCATAATATGTATCCATATGTATCCATAATATGATGTTGACGCTGACAGTCGATTGCTGGGCCCTGGAACGAGCAGATGTCGCCGTCACGGCTGTCACGGCCGTCACCTGAAAGCGTCAACGGCAGCGTATCAACAATATCAACCATGTGGATCCATGTCGGCCTATTTTTTTTTGGGTCAATATTCTAATATGTCCATATATGTCTATATATGTCTATCATCTATCTAGGGATAAGTCGAAACCCATTAAGTACATATAAATGCCAATAGTTTGAGGGAATGATTATCCATGAATCCCAGCTATTTCGGAGACAGAAGGCTAGCTGTGGACCCGCAGGCAGCGAGGAGGCAGCGTCAAGTGGCAGAGGTCAGAGTGGAGGTAGAGACCCTGAGCGAGGCGGGGATGTTTTCGACTGGTTTGGAATTTGGAGGTTTCCTAAGTCATGGGGGTACCCCCGGTTATCATCCATTTATCATTAATGTGTCATTTATCGATGGGATTGTCCCGTATAAACCATCCAGCTATTGGGTCCTGAAATAGGGGTACCCCCAGTTATCATCCATTTGTGGATGATTTGTTCATGAAATAAACCATCCAGCTATTGGGTCTACCCTCATGACTATAGAAACCCCATTTCACTGATTACGAAAAATTGGGAAAGTGGGATTAAATTACTTGTACAAAAAGTTGGGAGATGTACTGGGGATATGTTTGAGAGAGATCATGGATCATATGAGCTATGGTCAATACTCATGGTTAATAACCATTAATAGGGGCTAGTCATCCAATGGTTCATAGGGATTTATAATAACCATTATAAGGATCCTTATTATGGATGGGATGACCATCAACCATAAAGTGAGTATTGACCATGGCTCATATGAGCAAGGGTCAAAAGACGCTATGAAAGGCTTCAATTACGATCCGCCATCACTACTCAAAATATGTGATTTACTGTGTGTAGCGATAGGGGGCCTTATGTAGCGATACCTCTTTTTAGACTTTGTTTATGATTGAAGCTTCCTGTTGGGCGCATGACTTTCCAATCTTTTGATGTCAGAGTGCGACACTGGAGCAGTCGCAGTGGGCTGGTCTTCCTGGGTAGTTGCAAGATGGCCTGTCGTCAAGTATATATGAGATAGTTACATTAAACAATATTGATATATTGGGGTATGTTGATCTATAAGGTATGCAAGAAACTAATTCATAACGCATCATGAGCTTGATGATGGTGATGATGCTGATGATGATGGTGATGGTGATGATGTTGATTCAGATAGTGACCGTGCTGAGATATGTTGAAAAAGCATCCTTGTGCGGTCACGGACGCTTCTCCAAAGCCACTGTCCAGGAGTAGAATTGCAACATGGAGCTTGTCAGAATTTCGTGTCACTTGAAACATACACCTGAGATCACACAATTTCTGGTCCCCGTAGCGATGCCCGAAGCGATACCCCTCGATACCCAGAGCGATACCTGAAATCCATCAAATTAGGGAGTACCCCACATCGTCACTTGAAACTATACAACTTGTGCTATAGGTGGAAAAATATGGGAAGTATGAACAAGGGTACCCTCAAGTCTTACTGGGTTAATTCTTAAAGGGTTCATTTGGTCAGGGTTTTGCCGATTCATTTTGGCGTGGTATTAGGTTGCAAAGGAGGCGGGGTGAAGCAAAAAAGGCGCCGGAAACAAGGCAGCACAGGCAAGACAAGCCAAGACAAGCCAACACAAGCCAAGGGCGGCCTCCGAGGTCAGATGACCTGCAGTGAGTCCGGCTGGTGTCTAGCTGAAGCTGTCGACGTCAGCCTTGGTGATCACGTAAAAGTTTGAATTTCCCTGGAGATACCATCGCAAGGGGAATAAGAATCCGATTCCTCATCTGGATCCTCCTCTTCTAGCAGCAATTCTGCCTAGTTGGTGAAAAGGGCGCTGGGACTGTGTGTAGCGATAGGGGGCCTTATGAAGCGATGCCATGACCTCACCACATGAATTGAGTTTTGACCGTCGCACATATGGGATATTGGGTGTTCCCAATGGCTTATGGGGTATTCTGGTACAGTACCCCTTGTTTGGACAAACCCACACTGATCGCCTTGGCTCCACGGCCACGTTGGGGTGGAACATGTGAGGGTCAAGAACAACCAAAACAACCTTGTCAGTGTATGGATCCTAGCCACGCCATAATCGTTGTCTCGGAAGTCTTTGAAGTTCACGTGTTTAATGTTGTTTAAACATATTTTCACTGCATGCAGCTTGCAGCTTGAAACTCATGTCACCATGTCCAGTTGTGTCATTGATTACTTTGACACAACTGATGATCAGCCACCCATCACAGATGTGCAGGGTATCCAGCAAGTGGAAGACGCAGCAGAAGCTCCCATTCTGTTGCAGGTGCGGGTGGTATCAGGCTTTGTTAGATTTAAAGGTTGATCAAGGGTTTCTTTAAGGGTTTCCAGCAAGTGTTTATGAAGCATTTTATAAACCAAGAACCACATTTATAAGGGCTTCCAACAAAGCTTCTATTCCCGTGATATCAAGGGTCAGATCGAGGTTGCGATCACGGAATTGACGCCAGGCAATTCCCTATTGAGACTTGAGACCGGCACATTGCATTTGGCAGGATATCATCAACGTCCAAAACTCCCTACTGTTTATCAATTCTCCACAGAAAAAAATAGAAAAAACATCTAGAATAGCTAGACGTTCATGATCTGTGATATGGCAGTGTGTCAAAACCTTGTACCCCTGGTGAACATCAAAATAGCTGGTAAATGGATGTTCAGCCCACTAAAAATGTATCTATAGGTATTGACCCATACCCATATTTTTTCCATAGATTTCCCACTTATTGCGATACGTCCAGGTTGTCTATTGCTCCAGCTCTGCCACAGGCGTTCCGCCAAGAGCTGGTTTCGCTGAAGGACGAGGTTGGGCTTCCCCGTTTGTTTCACCCATTGTTTTTTTTTGAATACTGTATGTGGTACCCTCTGGTAAATAAACATGGACCCTGAAAATCACTAATTTTCAATGAAAACTAGTCTTCCAACCCCTATCTGCCAGGGTCTATGTTTATTTACCGGAGGGTAACATGTGGTAACTATGAAACACTGTAAATAATGGGATTATAACGGGATAAACTATCTACCAACTGGTAACTGGATTTCTTCTATTTACAGTACAGTACGTGAGAATCTCTTATTGTTAGACATGTCAGTTCAATTCAATTTAACTCAATTTAGCTTTCTAGTGTACTTGTAGAAGCAGGATGGATATACAACGATGATGTACACCTGCGTGTTCCACTGCATGACTGTTTATGAGTCAAGCACGCCATGCTATTTGATTTTGTGGGGTTTTCACCATTTGGATATCTTTAAAAACCCTGTGGCTGCACTGCTCAGTGGCGAATCTTCAGTGCTGCATCTCCAAAGTGATGTCAGCGATTGAATACAGAGAATTGTTGGAATCAAAAATTGGATCGTGCACTCTAAAACAGTGGTAAACCCTGGCTGCCATAAACAACTCTCATTTGGGGATGGTTTGAATCCCACCCATGACAAAGGGTAATCTGACGCGGACAACGTGTCGTGCCACACATCTGTCATTTACAGATGTGTCGATCTTAGCACTTGGCTTAGATCCAAGCAAAAAATGCCGAGCTTCGAAACTCTGGCATTCCGAGACATATATCAAGATATACTCTCAACATATCCCAAAATGGCCACTTATTGATCGACTTTAATACTTGTTTAATGATTTTTACGGAAAATAGTGCTAGATCACCAAGATTGAACATTTTGTCGACCTTACCCAACCTTGTCAATACCAACGGGGGTCCCAGGTGCAGGCGCTGCGGAAGGCCAATGCCTTGCTATCTGGCTTGCACGGGGAGGAGAGGGGGAGCAAGTGCTGCCATTGGTGAAACGATGCACCATTTATATAAATAAACAACATATATATATATATATATACATATATGATATGTATTTTAACTATATCTATGAATTTATGGTGGATAATTCTAGTACTTCACTGATGTTTAGATTTTTTGGGGGTATGACACAGCTACTGTACTAGTCTCCGGTTTCCCAGGAGAAGCGGCGGGCTGCCCAACGGGTGGCGGCCAAGCAACTCCAACAGGATGCGCTGAGGGCTGGGTTGGGCCATGCTGAAGGGTTTATATACCCTCTGGTAAACTAACATAGCTATGGAAAATCACCATGATATTAATGGGAAAATCAACTATTTCTATGGCCATTTTCAATAGCTATGTTAAATTACCGGAGGGTATATAGGTTGTCTTAAAATAAGGTACAATGAATTCTACTAGTGAATCATCAATTGTTTCTATTGAACATTGCCGTATACCTCATGTTGAGGCAGACAAAAATAATCACCGTTTGTAAGTTATGTATATATCTATAATATATGTTACACATATGTACGCAATATAACATAAAATAAAATAAAACAATATAATATGATATAATGTTTATATAATATAACATAATACAATATAATATAACATAATACAATATAATATAATATAACAAGATATAACAAAATACTATATATGAAAATAATATATATATACAGAGCTATCCCATTGTATATCCAATTTTATAACCCGTCAAACCCAGTTGCATCCCTATGTTTTTTTATACTTTGCTGTTCGATTTGGCTTTACCTTCTCCAGGAGGCTACAAAGTTGGGCTCAAGCCGAGCAATGCTGGAGAAAGGTCCAACGACTTCGGGTCCGGTGGTTTTAGGTTTAAGTTCAATGAATGGAAAAGTAACAACTTTATGGGTATCAAACTGTGAACATGTCTGGGAAATCCTGGAAGTAAATGCATTTTTGAATTGGAAAATCATCGAACCAGATGAACTAAATTTAGGAATTGATTGCCATGTTTGATTTGCAGAGGGTACCGACTATTTTGGTCTACTTTGCCGCGCTTGAACTTATATATACATATATACATACATATTGCTTGCGCATGCTTGTGCCAGGTGAGAAACGGGCTGGACTGGTGCAACGTTGCCTTGAAGAGGTGGTCGTCTTGGCCGATCACTTCAAGCTGAGAGCCTTCTTTGATTGTGAAATTCGTGAAATCAGGGATCCAACTGATCCAACTTGTGAATTTAGATGAATTTAGGTCCCGGTTTTACAGCAACTTCTGAAATCTCCTGGTGGCTCCATGAAATGACAGGTACATGCCCGCTTGGACAGTGCCAAGATGGGAAAAATCCAGGCAGGATGCAGTTGGTCTGGAGTCCAGGGGATTCACACTTCACCCATATGGATTTTCAACGTAGGCTGTAAGTCAAAAAATATGGTATGGTATGGTATGGTGAATATGAGAAAAGCTGGTAAATAGATGTTCCCCTGAAATATAGCATAAGTATTTAATACTAGTAGGTGTTGATCCATACCCATTTAGCTCCACCGATGGCAGAAACGTGGAGCAGATTCGGCACAGCTGGGCCCAGGCAGAAAACGAAATCAACCAGCTGACGCCAGCCTTCGCGGAGCTAGGTGTGGCATGTTCAACGTCCAGAATGGGAATGATGTTCTTAGGATATTTAAGATGTTAAGATGAAGATACAAACTTTAGGCTGGTTATGCATGTTTTTTTAAAGCTGTGGCTGGTTGGTTTTAGCATGTTTTAGCCAAAAGTCTAAATTTGATGAAGATACAAGTTTCATTTCTATCTTTAGGTTGATATCATTGATGACCCCAGCGGGTTCGCTCGCTCCTAAATCCAGTTTTTGTTCAGGTTTCCCATGTCCTATCAGGTCATGATCCATCATGATCCCTCGCAAGTCGCCCCATTGAACAATCATTTCTACCCAGAGATATGACTTGAATATAAACCAAGTCAAGTGGCAATATTTCCGTTCCAAGAATTGGATGATTTCAGATAAACATACAGGCCTCAATATTGGCCTCAATTGGGTGGGTCTCCCTGATGGTCGATCAGCCTCTGTTTTCTGAAAATTGCCTAAAATTGGGATATATACACACCGTTTTCAGACACACATAGAATTATTCTTGGCTATATAGATCCATATAGATCCTTATAATGACCACTAACTCCCATTGAATCCCATCGAATCCCTATTGTTGATATTACTTTTTGACGATAATATCAATGGAGTATCCCAGATTGGGGGTTGGTCATCAATTAATGAATGGCGTCTCAGCGCTGCAGGGCGGCACTTGGAGATTGCGGAAACAGACCGCCGTTGGTTGCAAGGAGAACTGGACAAGTTGAGGCATGAGGACCGTTCCGGGCCAGGTGGGGGTGTAGCAAAATGGGGAAATTCCTAAGAGTACTTGGGACGCTGCTAGTATAGATAGATACAGCATATTATAGTATTTCAGTATGGAAATCTGTAATACTGGGATAATATGGGGATACACGGCAGCATCAACCATACTGGGTGTGCAGTTCCACTCATGTGAATGTTTTGTCCGCCATATAGTGATGATATGGGCTGGGTATCCCAACTTATGGAGGTACCAATCTGATATGAATTGGCTTGGCCTTGAGAAATCACCCTTGAGACGATAGTGTGCTGGTTTGTGGTGACTGGAACCATGGAATTTTATGACTTTCCATATATTGGGAATTTCATATATATATATATATCAGAGGGGTAGGTATACCACCAACCAGGTGTGACTTTTAAACCCAATTGAAAATATGGCCCATTCTGGATGAATTCTCGTGACCTCACTCTGACGTTACTGGAATGATGATTAGGAAGCGGAATCATCCCTAAATGGCCTTATTTCAGCTATTTTCAGGTTGGTAAACGACTATTCTTCATCCAGATTGTTTTATATTTTCAGGATATGCAGGTTTGTCTGAAAAATATGATATTCCATTGCACAGTATCCCCAAATTGATGGTTCAGTTGATCATATGTATGTTTGCTATTAAGGTAAGAAAACCGGTATACCACTTTTCAGACACACCCGAATATTAATTTTGTTGGTTACAGGTTATATATATATATATAGCTATTCCACTTTTATCCCCGTAAAATGATTAATTAAACCCACGTGGTCAGACACACCCATAAATATTCTTTATATCCCCATAAAATGCGTGGGTTTATATCCCCAGTGTTTTTCTTTTGATCCAACTCCTGTAAAATTCATGAAACAGCTTTTTGTTGGGGTCAAAAAAAATGGGGGATCCCCAAGTCACCACGGGCTTCAAGACTAAGTCATGGTTTAAGGGCTTGGATGATTTGGGGGTACACTCCATGACTTAGGAAACCTCCAAATGGTTAAAGTTGCCATAAATGGGTGCGATTCAAACCGTCCCGAACTGGCAGGTTTATGGCATTGGGTTTCCCACGTGATTTTTTTTTAATCACCATGAACCATCATTATAATATACCATTATGGCTCATTAAAATCCCATTAACAGTCCATTAATGTTGTTTGGTATATAAAAAATACCATGATTATTCATTACAATCCCATAATATATTAAATATATTTAAATATATTCATGGTATTTTTCCCATAATATCATCACAATATCATAATTCCAATATTGTGATGATATTATGGTGATATTATGGGGAAAATACCATGGATATCATAATGTCATCACAATCTTAGCAATTCCTCATCCATTCTCCTCGTCCAAACGCATGTCAGGCAAGCCTCTGGGGGCCTCCGAGCAGAGATCGTGCACCTCAGAGAGGTGAGAAATGCGGTGAATGCTATGCCACCTGAGGCAGGGCTGCGACAGCTGCGTATGATTCATAGTTTGTTTTTATGTTTCTATATTATAGTTGTATTATATATATATGTATTATATATGTATTATATATGTATTATATATGTATTATATATGTATTATATATGTATTATATATGAATTATATATGTATTTTATACATATCTTATGTATGTTATTTTTGCATATTAGTATATTTATATACATCTATGTATTTATATATACACATCATAAATTGTATATCACCATCATTTGTTTATATTTGTTTGCTAAGTCTGTGATAACACGTGACCACTCGGCTGAGGGAAGTTGTGTGACATTTCGGCAGACAAACAATATCTGGGGGTTTCCAGAAAATAGGGGGTACCCCAATAGCTGGATGGTTCATAAGGGAAAATCCCATCAAGATTGATGATTTGGGGGTACCCCTATTTTAGGAAATCGCCATATGTGGTTATTTGTGTGTACGATGTTCATATACCTTTTTTTTTACGGCATCCGATGCATGTACTTGAAGGTGCACTTTCATGAATAAGTAGTCATATTAATGTCATATAACCGTACTTATACATCTTACATATACATTCTTATACCCTCTGCTAATCAAACGTGGCAATTGAAAATCACCAATTTTAGTTATATGATTTTCCCATTACAGCCTCCAATTGATATGGGATTTCCAGCTAGCCATGGCCCCACTGCAGGACTCCAAAGAGTCACGGATGAGTGTAGGCCGGACGGCGACGCCTGTCATGATTGGGGGGAAAGCACGTGTAACGCATGAAGAACCTAGCCATACTCTACGAAAAACCACTTGCTTATGCATTTGTTCATGATGCTTCCCTCTGTGTTGGAACATGTTCAAGTATTCATGATCCATCTTGAAATATATGTGTATATGTATATATATATAGTGTATGTATATATATATATTATAGTATTATATATACACGTAATTTATGTATATATATATACATACACATGTAATAGGTATTCACTTCATCCCACGATCCAATGGACAGCAGGTCGCGCCGGCTTGGACCGTTTCGCCACGTTGCAGCGGCGCTTGGCCACGGCAACTTGGCGCACGGCTTCAGCGCTACGGTGATAGGGGTTAGATCTTGGATGATTCGTTGTTGAATAAAAACCCTCCAAAATGTTTAATATGTCATGAAACACTTCGTGATTATCATGATCAGTTCTATTAATTCTATGATCACCATGTTTTTTTTAAGGAACTGGTTCATAACCAAGTCATGGTTTCACATGGTTTCACTATGTTTCACTTCTGGGTCAAAAAACGTTTAAAAGAGCGTTTAGAAATCATCACATCATGATTACTGTAATTAATGGTTTTGTTTTTTACCATGAAAATATCGGTATATCAGATATGATTGATACAGCTAATAAATCATGGTTCATTGATGCTTATCCAACACTCTCCAATATATTGGGGATTATCACAATTCACTATGATAAATCCTATTAACCATTGAACATGGCTGAATTTTCAATCATTACTCCCCTTCCAGACAAGTTGGAGGATAAGCAGGATCCAGCCCTGAGACATGAGACTGACATGTCAGCCGCATCTGACTACGAATGGTTATGACCTCTTATAGATTACTGTCAAAATTGGTGCGGTATATAGGAATATGAAACAAACCTATCTATACGACATCTAGACATGTACAATTTGAGTTTGTAGAGTCATATCACAATATTTTCCTGAATTTTGTTGATAAACCATTGACTTATCCTTTTAAATCCTTTTAAACTATCAGTTCTTTTGGTTTCCAGATTTGAATCCCATGAGACCAGCTGAGCTCGAACACAAAAAAAGGCGGCTCCACAATTGATGCCCTTGTGCACTCGAGCACGTTCCAGCATGGAGGTCTGGGATATCAGTGGGATATCAGTGGGATATCAGTGGGATATACTGGAATATAATGATATATAATGATATATATATATACGTATATATAACCAGTGGGATATACTGGGATAGAACCAATATGATATGATATTCAGTAATGCGTTTGACCATGCGGGACAGCCATAAAATGTTTCGTTGAAACATATTTTGTTTGAATAAATGAGTAATGATGAGCTTTGGCGGGTAGCCTGTTGTCAGATTGCATGTTTTTGGTGCAAGGATGAGGCAATTACACCAATGCATACATATATTGAAAACCATATATACATACATATATATATATGTATATGCACATATGGATGTATATTATAAAGTGATGATAAACTATCTAGGCTTTTGGAGGTACCCTGTTTTCAGACAAAGCCGCATAGATGCTGAAGTTTACAAAGGATCATGTCCGGTGCTTGTCAGCTGCACCAGGAAAACATCCTTCCATCGAGTGTCCCTTCTCTATGCGATTGTATATATTCAGTTTAATTGTACTGTTCTTTCTCCCAAAAGGATATGTGTAGTTTTTATTACTGTACTGTTCTTTACCTAAAAATGTACATATACATATACACATTATATCCGTATATAAAAGTATATTAAATATATGCCCAGTTTGATCAGCAGAATGTATCGCTCCGAATCCATTTGATTCGCGTCCTTTTTTGCACCAGGAATTGCTCGAGTGTTGTGAGCGTTTGGAGGAGCGACAGAAGCGTCTTCAACAGGCCATGGAATCCATTTCCGGAAAAAAAACATGGAATTTCGTGTTTCAAGAGGATACCCTCTGGTAAACTAACATAGCTATTGAAAATGGCCATTTATAGTGGATTTTCCCATTAAAAATGGTCATTTTCAATAGCTATGTTAAATTACCAGAGGGTATGTTCCATGTTGTTCCATACTTTTACATTATTTCTATCAATTTCTTAGTTGCTTCAGATTAAAAGTGGAGGTGACAGGATTTTTGTGGCCTTGGGCCGGAGCCTGTCCATCTTGACTTTGGTCATTTCGGTGCCGTTATTTTTGGAGAAATGCGGGTCCCATTTGGCCAAATTGTTTTCCCACAGTTTTTGGCGTTTTTTTCCCACACCTTTTTCTTTGAGGCTCCATATTTCAATGCAGGTCGCTCCACTGGGAAATGCTTCCGAAGGTGGGAGAAAGAAACAATACACTGCACGGGTTGATTCAAGTTGATAGCATATCTAAAGAGTAACCGGCAAAAACAAAATGAAGTTGGTAGTGCTGCAATTCAATGTTATGGCTTGCAGATGCAAAATGATGCAAATTATTGCAATGCCCCTGTGGCAGTTCGCGATGGCATCAGTCATGCCAGTAAGGGCTCAGGTGCCCGGCTGGTGTAGAACTCGTCAGACAAAGTATCTCTTGACTGTTGCATTTTCTCGGAATATGTTTATGATTCTACTATATACTTTTATAATCTTTCCTGTTTTGGATGATCTGGTGCTGATTGTGTGGGAGTTCCTTCAGTAAAAACCATTTGCAGGATGTTGAACTCAGTAGTTTTCTATAGTTTTGTGAATGGCTAGCTGTGTAAGGAACATGATACAATCCTATTATCATGCGCAAGTCTTGTGCGCTTGAAATCGCTTTAGGTGCTATGGAGCAGAGGCATCCGGAGCATCTTTTTGTGACTGTGAAAGATGGGAGGGGTCACTTTCCAAGTGCGAAGTTTTGAATTTCATGAAATCAAGTGCGTTCAGTATGTATGTGCTCGCTCTCCCTTTCAAAAAATGTATTCTTGAAGATCACTTTCCAGTGATGCTTTCACAAATTCCGGAATGGTCGCGTTGCATTTGGAATTTATCAGCTATCGGTTGTCTATGCCAATTGCCACCTGTGGGGCAGGGAAAAAGAGGATGAAAACACCTTGTTCCTCCTGGTGCAATATCACTGGTTCAGCACTGGATATAACAGCCAAACATTGATCATAAATGAACAGTCACATGCATTTATTTGGGGATGGGGCCAAACCTATTATTACATATTATAACCATATTGGGGAATGAACATCCAAAAAAATCAGCTATTTTGAGGTACTTAGGGTACCAGAGTTTTGACCCATATCTATTTAGAAGTTTGTTAACAGATTCTTTGTTACCTGTTGGGAAACCATGAAAAATATCAACCGCCAGGTTCCAAATTCTCACGCCTCTGCCATGTTCGCATGGCAGGCGTAAAGGACCTCTGCCGCGTTCGCGGAGTGCAGAGACCGTCGGCGCAAGGTGCGCTGCATTGGCCGCTGCGATAGGTCCTGGCAGCCCTGGCTTCCAAGCCAACTCTTTGAGCCCGATCTTTATATACAGGAATTCGAATTGAAACAAAAACGCATATTATATAGACTACACACAAAAACAATATACACTGACCTTCAAGAGCCACTTCCGTTCTTATGAATTCAGTGAGTTCGAGCGCCCTAGTCATTCCATGTCTATTCCACCACATGGGTGCAAATTGACGCGCGCAATTATTTGCACTGCATGATTTGAATGCGAAAATTACCACCCATTGTGGTAGTTGAATGTAGTTGAATGACACTGTTTTTGCCAGTTATGCCTGCGATTCGTGATGGCTACATACCTATCATCATCATCATCATCATCATCATCATCATCATCATCATCATCATCATCATCATCATCGGTTAAATTCGCCATTGTTGTTGATTGGAATCCCCGCGAATTCTTTGCTTCAACTCCACGTCAATGGATGTGAACATTTAAATCCCATGTGTTACTCCCATCCCCATGATGTTTTAAGACACTGAATGGCCATCCCCAGGTCCAAATCGATCAAATAGCTTAATCCCATTCTTGACGAAGAATCTGTTTGGTTGGCAAATCATGTCCTCACCAATGAACATTTTATGGAACAATGTATCTTCAATTTCCAAATGTGCTTTCCAGTAGTTCCATTTGAACCCCAATCCATTGTTACGATGTTTAATCATTTCAAATTATAATCATAATTAATCATACTTCTTCCCAGCGCTGTTCAGTGCCCCATCTGTTCCTATCCACGACCCCCCTGAGGTCCGCTACGGTACCTACGGTGCCTCCCCGGAGTCCTCGCTCCGCTCGGCAGGAGATGAAGAAAAGATATTGGGGGAAAGGATTGGAACAGATCTTGGGATTATCCATGAGTATTACTATCTATTATATATTATCCAATATTCTCCAGATATCAATCCCAATATTCTCCAGATATCAATCCCAATATTCTCCAGATATTAATCTCAATATTATCCAGATATTAATCCCAATATGATCCAGATATTAATCTCAATATCATCGAGATATTATCCAATATCCTATATTATCCACTATCCAGATTATCATTTATCTATTAATAGAATATCTTTGGATTATTGTGTTTATTGTTATTAATGTGATTATTGTTATGGAATTGTTACACTAGGGATTCACTGAGATGATTATATATACATATGTATGGAATAATAGCTGCTCATGGAATTGTAACCAGCCATTCATGGTATCATTACGGATTATGAATTTGAATATCGAAAGATATTGATATACATGTTATAACATATATTATTTGGATTGTTGACAGTATGACATATTGGTATTATGATATACCCATATTTGGGATTGGTGGGATCATTGTGGTTTTGTCATGACTATTGTTATCATTATTATACCAGTATGGAAAAATATGTTCATCATTATTATACCAGTTATTTTACAAGTATTTTTATACCACTATTATACCATTATTATACACGGTAGAGCATATATTGTTGGAAGAGTCATGGGATTTAACCAACACATTTAAGCATCAAGAGTGGGGTTTCAATGGGACTACTTATCTAGGAATGGAATATAATCCCATTAATGTTATATGAATACATATGATATATATATAATTATCTTCAATTCATTATGATGTTTTCCAAAATAACCATGACCCTCAACCTTGAAGAATGTATGGACCAATCCAGGTTGTTTGACTTTTGGCCTTGAACTGCTCTTTAAAACTTCAGACGTGCAATATCAATGGGATTCAAAGGGTGCGAAGGTTATAAAGCCAGCCCAACATCTATGCACTTCCGATTTTTCCCTGACATTCCTTGAGATTCAGGTGATGGTTGAAAAGAACACAAACCACTCGTGCTGTAGCTTATGTACAGGAGCAGAGCGTAGTAGGGAGCGGTGTGGGAAGCTACGAGGTGACTCTGACTGCAACGGGGGAGGACGATTGTGACGTCGGCTGGGATCGATCCAACGGAACAGATTGGATATATATCCTTTTCAATGGCATGGATGGAACACACATACACAATTCCACGTACAGTTGTGATAGACTCCACAGATTCTCCAAATTTTTGGCAGCTCCTTCTATTTGTTTACACTATGGGAGTGAATTTTGAGGCCTTCAGAAATGGCTTCAACGTCGTTTTTTTAGCTGCAAGATCGACGGCTCAAGCCTCGCTTCCCATGGATGGGCGCCCAAGCATCAAGGAGGTTGGGTGGCATAGCTGGAGAACCATCCCTCTTGGTATTTGGTAACCTATTATTAGAATTTATGTGATAATATGTGATAATATGTGATAATATATATATATATGGATGGATGCATGCATTCATACATGTGATAATATGATAATGTGTCATAATCCCACTGGTAAATGGCCTAAATGGAATATATATATATATACATATATATATATATGTGTGTCCTGGCCATTGTTGCTATTATCTGAAGGGGCAAACAGGGATGACCCAGTTCTCTGGGAAATGCTGATGGAAGGCCTTGCAGGGCATCAAAGGGGCCAACTGGAGGAAGGCGCTGGAATGGCTTCAACGGGCACCAGATGCCGTGGTGATATGCAACTTGCACATATTTGCACTGGATGGGTGGAGGATGATGCTTGGGATGTAATATGATGTGATGTGATCTGCAGATAGATTCCAACTAATCGAACATACGAACATTCACCAGGTTTATGAAGGTTTGAGGAGGGAATGGATGTCGTATAAAAAGGTGATATCCCACGATGCTCAAATGAAACAGCTAACCAACACATTCAATCCCAGACCCAACTTTGGCTGGGAATGAAGACCATGTGTCATGTCAGATAGAATGTGTTTCCCAATCTGGAACAACCAAGATTTGTGACCTGTGAATCACAACACATGCAATCTCGGGCTAGCAAGCATCTCAAGGTGATCAGAGCTCACCAAATGGGCGTGCACCATCATTACTGGTCATCGCTGTCCTACTAGGGACAACATCTTTTGCACCTTCACACAATACAACTACCTTGCTTCTTGTGCAAGGTGAGATCATGCCTCTTGACTCTTGACATGCCTTGTTAGAGCCAAGTTGCCAAGATATTCACAAGCTAAGTAGCCTCGTTTGGCAGTATCCACGCACCAAAACCCACCGTGTGTTTGGCATGATATCCAGATATTATCAGATATATCCATTCAGTTGCATCGTCACTTGATCAGGCAATGCATGTGCAAACAGCTGCTCCAAAGCACATCACTGGCAGATGGCCTTAACTCTGACGTCTCAGGCTGGCTGTACCGGACGCGGAAATTGGATCCACGTCACGTAAGGTGTTCTAACCCTGGACAGTTGCATGTATACACATGCATAGTATGTATCCTATAAATTCCTATAATATTTCATAATTATATATGCATCATTATTTTTTGGATGTAGTTTTTCCCATGTTTTCCCTTTGTGTGATGGGTTTTTGTTGACTTCGCCAAGCGCAGGAACAACAGGAAGCCACAGAAACCCCGTCCTGCCAGGTGACTTGGAAACGTTTGGAAGCCACAGAAGTCACTTGCAACACTGCCATCCAGGCGGTGGCACCTTGGCAACATCATCTTAGATTCTGTATGCGATATGTGATATATATATATATACATACATATTTATTGATTTATATATACATATTATTATGCACGTCAACATATCATAAATATACCAGATTATAGCATAGTATCTGGTTTGTATGTAGATATACGGATATATGCTGTGATATTGGTTGTATGTATAGGTCTATCGGGAGAGAAAGAGAGAGAGAGAGAGATCACTCAGGTCCGCGGTGGTCGCTGGCACCAGGCGCTAGAGCTGGCATATCTGGCCTTTCCCCAGGCAGGACGGGGGGTGCCGGCCCAGCCAGAAGCACCAACAACGGGTGTTTTTGGAAAAAGGGGGGAACCCCAAAAATACTCCAATTTCTTTGATTTACGGATTTTGTTGGTTATTTTGAGTGGGACAATTGAAGATTTTGGGCTACACCATGTTTTGCAATGTCCAAATGGCTGGTTTTGTGGCACAACCAGGGGGGAAAGACATGGATTTCACCAGCAAACATGTGCTCGTACAAAATGATGGGAATTGTCCAGCAACATTTTGTGAGTTGCCCATTTTCTGTGGGCGACAATGACTTGTTATTGATGAACCTTGCGGCAGTTCTAGGGAGTTGATGTTGGAACGAATTGCGCGAATTATGGATGATGGTGTTTTTGATTGCTTAGAGTAGCTTGGAACATTTTGGGGTTCGGTGGTCTTTTCAAAAGCAATCCTCAAGTTCTGGAAGTTGATGCAACAGCTTATAAGTGGACGTGACACTACACTGTTGTACACTGTTGTACATTTTGCGTGTTGCTTGGTTTGTTTGGTATTCCTGACCATTTGAATTTGGCGATGTTTCAAACAGATTCGGAGTGGACGAAAGCCCTCATTTCCCACTTGCAGTTGTACGCCACCAAGCTGCCACCAAGCTGCAAACCCCCGGCTGAACGGTAGGTAACATCCCCTGGATCCCAGATTCTTCCCATATAGTGCACTAGGTTCAAGGTATCTTTCTCAACAGGAAACCCCAGAAGCCTCTTTTGAAATTTCAATTATGTAAGTTTTTCATAACATAGTTTCAGCAATGTTCTCATGTTCTCACCAATGTCAACAGATGTTCATCAATTTTCCCCATATTTCAAAAGAGATTGAAACACCACATCTTCACCATTATGTGCACCACTTTTCACCATGTTTCCACCAGTTTTCCGAGAAGAATCATCAACAACATGTCCAATTTTCGAGTCATGTCCAAATTTCAAAATGTCTAGAGTTCCAAAATGTCACCCAAATTTGTATATATATACATATGTATATATAAGCACCACAAAACGATGTACATGCCCAATTTTTTCACCAAAGTTCCACCCATTTCCAGCACGTCTTGGCACCGCAGGTGCGTCGCGACGCCGTGACCTGGAACAGTGCGGCGGACGCCGTGAGTCGCAGCAGTGATGGAGTCCAATGGGCGCTGAGTCTTGAGTGGCTCGGCATGAAGGGCTGCGGAATGACAATGAGTGGATTATAACTATACATATTATGATATATAGATACGATACGTAATAATAGTTACTATTTAGTAATCATATATCTATATCTATCATAATATATATATATATATGTATCATATATATATATTATAATAATCATGTAGTGTTATGTATATATATATATACGTAACCCATTCCATTGTCAATAATGATAGTAACTATATATTGTTATATATATATAACATATGATTGGTAAAATTATTATTACCACCCATTCGGGAATGGTAAACATACCACATAAAAATGGTGATTTGGGGGATGGTTTATTGTTGCTTTATCCACATTATGTTTTTATTTTGCTACTACCACCACGTTTATTACGATTTTAGATTATAGTATACTATGGTAACTAGTGTTTTTAATGTACTAGATTATTGATGTAATTATAATAGCGAACTATTGATATAGTGATAATTAGATTTTGAACAAGCAGTGGAATTAGTATTAATATTTAACGAATGTTTGATTGGAACATATTTGATTATGAGTGGAACTGGTGATAATTGTCACTTGCCCCCTGGGCATTTAACATAGCTATGGAAAATCACCATTCAATACATGTAAATCATCTATAGACGACCATTTTGCATAGCTATGTTAACTTACCAGAGGGTATAGATATAGTCAGTGGATAAGAGTTTTCTCCGTTCAATTAGTGGAATTGTTGATATTCAAATATTAGTATCATATAGATTAAATTTATTATGATAACATTAATTGATGAGAATTATTGGTTTAAGGTCGAGTGAAAAGAACGAGTACCCCCTAACATCCACGGATTCATCATTTTTCCCAATAAAAAGCTGGTGAAGGTATACCCATTTAAGGTGATTTTAAAGATGCTGGATGCTGGTTGCCGGGTTGCCCTCCAGTAATTCAACCTAGCTATGGAAAATGGATGAAAATGGCCCATATATGGATGATTAACCCTATTGAAATTGTTTTTTTCCGCATCAAACTCTTAAATTACCAGAGGGTGTTGATGTTAGTGGGGGACACGCTGATATTCTTACAGTGTTAAGTATATTACTTCGTTTGCGATGTACTCATGTTATTGGTACATGTATATTACTTGTTGTTATTGATTTTACGCACCACTAAATTATGATATATCCTGAAAATAACATTTTTGTTGGTGGAAAATAATTTTCTAGCGCCTTAGTTCGCAGGGTCTATGTTAATTTTGGGAAGGTAATGCTATGAATGTTTTCAGTGGTGGAGACTAACTGGAGACTAACTTGTAAATATATGGATACCAGTAGTTAGAATAATTGGATACTAATATTTACAGTTAGTATGGATCAGTATATTTGGATACTAATATCCACTAGTATATGGATACTGAATATATGGATCAGTATATATGGATACTAACTAGTGGGGGGGTGTAACAATTGGGTATTGTTAAATGTGAAAATCATTTCGGGGAAGGGTGGTTCAAATTGCAGTATTAGTTGTCCCATAACTTGACCGGAATTATATAATTATTGAATACAATTATTTGGGCTAATAGCCGGGCACAATTGTTGCAATATTACACTAATATTATACAACGGTATAGTGCAGTTATGATATATGAATATACAGCAATGTGCATGACCAATAACTTGATGAACACATATTATGTCATATCATTTGGGAGTGTTTTTTTCGGGGATTAACCAGTGGTGTATAATAGAATGTGAGAAGCAAATACCAGCAGAAATTGGAGACTTGGGCAAATCATGTAATTATAGAAGCTGCTACATCTACCATATGGTGACATATTCAGCTGACATTGGTGATCCTAAAATAGAACTTCATCCTAAGTTCTAGCCTGTTTGAGAAGATTGGAAGGGATCTGCATTGATTTTGCAACTCAACCCCATATCAAACATCATCAAATCATCGCATATTTCCCTGGGATTCTCTGGGTATTTTGGTGTGCGAGTCTCAGATTGACCCGGTTGCCACCTTCAGCGTTTCAGGTTGCTGAGCCTGGAATCACTCGGCCTTGAGCCGGACGTCATCACTGAGAGCCTCCGCGCAGCCGCACTAAAGGGTGCCAACGGCCACGGGCACAGCGCCGTATGGCGGAACGCGTTGGAATTCGCAGGCCATTTGGGGTGGAGACAGGTCAAAGCTGAGCCCCAAAGAGAGGTGAATATCCACATAGATTGTCCTTTCATATGTTATCGTTTCTTTGATTTGGTTTGCATTTACAAGATGATGTTCGAGAATGGCTAGCCTAGATCATGCGAACGCAAGTTGGTGGTTTTGAAAACATGTATTTTTTTTCTGTAGATCCGATAGGAATAGGACTAAATACTAAATAGGACTAAAACCAGTTTCCACATGTGGTACATCAATTTTTTTAGATGGTTCATGAATGTGCCATATACCACTTTGAAATGTTTTCATCAACATAGTTTTTAGATGTTTTTAGATGGCTAATGTTCATGTTACCCTCCGGTGAACTAACATAGCAATGGAAAATCACCATTTTTTCATGGGAAAATCCACTATTTCTATGGCCATTTTCCATTGCTATGTTAGTTCACCATCTCCTCAGGCACGAAGTCGCTCTGGGTCACCACCAGCGCCCTGGGTGCCTTCAGCAGCGCCCAGTGGCGCCATGTGCTGCGGATGCTGACGGCCGTGGACGTGGATGCCCAGGCCTTGAGCGTGGCATCTAAGCTCTGTCAGGACCTGGGCCTCCTGGGCCACTGGAAATATGGGCAAATCCCATGGAAAATCCCATGGAAAATCCCATGGAAAGTGGGAAAATCATGGAAAATCCCATGGAAAACCCCAATCAAAAATGATTCTAAGAGGTTTTGAGATGTTATGAGTGGGAAAATTCTACGAATTCGAACTAAATGGATCTAAATGGGGGATCTTCCATTTGATCAGGGGAGGGCAACAGATGAAGATAGTGATGATACTATAGTAACAGCAGGATATGTTCCGATGGAAAGGAGCTACAACTATCATAACTACAGCAATCAAACACTGTCAAGGCTTAGAACATGGTCTTGCCCAAAAAAAAACAAAAAAATCTGGATGGTTGAAGGATCAGTGAACATGATTGGGGCCTGATTGATTTTGATAGGGTGATTCATCCCAATGATATGAAGGTAATTGCCAGTTTGCCAGGAGCCTCTCCATTGTGAAGATTTGTGCCAGTGGTACAGGTTTGCCCAAAAATACGAAAGAAAAAAAAAAAAACAATTGCACTTGGGGGAATGATGATCAACTTGATCGAGCATTCCTAATTCTTGGACAATGGCAAAAGTGTGGGAACACAAAGTTTCCAGTGCTCAGCCCTTGGACAGTGTTGTACATTCAGCTTGATCGCAACGCAGGAAAGTTGGCATTGGGCACTACATTTACTCGAAGAGGCCGGTTTCAAAAGCGTTGAAACCTCCTTGGGCAGGGATAAAATAGACGACGACTGTGGGAATGTGTATTTTTTTCAATGAACGATTATGGTTGAGACTTTGTGATGTCAGGAAACTATACTTTCAACATCTTTCAACATCTTTCACCTGATGCATTCCCTCAGTTCTTCACCCAATCGCCCATTTCTTCAACCCTGAAATCCAATTCGTAAGCCATGCAGGTAGACCGTCCAGATGCCGTCGCAATCAGTTCAGCCATGACCGCCCTAAGTTTGGCCTTGAATTGGGAGCGCGCTTTGACGTTGTTCCATCGCCTTCCACCGCGAAAGCGCGATGTGGTTTGCTATGGAGCTGCCATGACTGCAGCGGCTGCAGGGAAACACTGGGAATTGGCACTGTTTTGGCTGTACGAGATGAAGCCTGACAAGCATTCTCGTAGTTTTTTCGCGTATTTTTGGAAGTTGTTGGAATTCGTTGTTTTTCAGGAGTCGGAGTTGAAGTTCTGTTAGCTGCTACAGTACCTGCTGCTGTATTGTCCAAATATGTTGAAATATCACTGAGTCCGTTTGGAATCGGGGGCCCGGCACACCAGGTTTAGCATAGTCGAGGGGTTTTGAACCAATCTTCAAAGTCACCGAAAAAGAATGGTTTGTTTCAATTTGTTTCAGGGTTGTGAACCCTATCTGCCCAGATTCCTCCCTCTCTTTCTGCTGCCACAGACCCATTTCCTATCCAACATCATCCAACTTTCGAAAAATGGCCCTCCGAACTTTCAGGGCCGGCCATGCAGTGGCGCCCAACCTGATCACTTACAACGCGGCCATCAACGCGTGCGAAGAGGGCCTTCAATGGGACCGTGCGCTCACCTTGCTGCAAGTCATGGCCAGCTCAAAGGTCTGAGTGGAGAAATACACCCTGGACCCATTGGTTTAGCATTGGATTTATTTATTTTGGTTCCATATTTTTTGAGTATTCAAGAAGATTTTATGAAGGAAACTGGCTTAAGAGATCGGGCGTTCTGTCAGATTTCACGGTCACGGTGCTACGCACAGACAGAATTGGTAAGCACTATGCGTTGAATGATGTTGAAGGGTTTGCAAAAAATGCAAAGTCCTCAAACAGTGAGTAGCTGAAATGTGTTTCTTCAAAGACCCACCCGACTGGAAAAAATGTGACTGGTATGGGGAAACTATTGGTTGTACCCAGTTGTACCCCGTATCCTGTTTTTTTTGGAAACATCCATATGATATGGGAACCCCATTCCATTGTTTCCCCCATATATTCCCAAAACACCTGTCTAAAAATAGGGTAACCCTAAATCTGTGGGTTAATCAATTAATCGTCATCTTCTCAAATGTTCCCTATTAAAATAGCATGAATAGCATTTTTGGGGAATACCAACCATTTCCAGACACATCCAATATGACCATGATGATCATGCTTGGTATATAAGTTATATCTATATATATATATACTATACTATAGCCCCCCTTTAAGTCCCATTGAATCCCTTTGTTATCCTTGGGTATCCTTTGTTTCTATACCTTTGGGATATCCCATCTCCAGACACACTATCGGGGAGGTCACTGCCGATGTCATCAGCTACAGTTCCTGCATTGCCGCCTGCGGTCAGGGGCAGCGCTGGGCTGATGCCATGGCTTTTCTAAATGAGATGCGCGAAGAGCAGCTGCAATGGAACATCATTGCTGCTGGGATACAGGGATCAGGGTGAATCCTATTGTGTTCATCGGGTTGATCAATAATCGAACTGCTGTTTCAAGAAGATGTTAGATTTACCCTTCAAGAATCCAACATGTTTTGATACATTCATGGCCATTTCACTGTTCTCAGCCTTCAACTCTGAGACCCAGCCACTGAACCCAGGCTTTGAGCTCTGCTGTGAGCGTTTGTGAAAAGGCCGGCCGATGGGTTGCTTGCCAGCTGGGATAGTTCCCTTGGGGACGGGTTCATGGAGGGCACGGACTTTCCTTAGATTCAACTGCAATGCTGGTTACAAAATCCCTATGATGATCCCAGTGTTACGACTATTGGAGTTGGCTACCAAGGAGTTGGCATTGGACCTGCTCCAGCAAGCATGGCAACTGAAATTGGAAGTGAACACGGTGACCTACAACGCGGCAATCAGTGCTTGTGAGAGACTCGTTTGCGCTTGGTGCTTTCAAAAATCAGCTTCATGATCTTCATGATCTTCATTTAGCATTCAGTTTCTATGGCCAATTTGCAGCCCTAAAGACAGGATGATGATTGCATGATGCCATCAACCGATTCCGTGCTAGTGAATCCGACACCACACCATTCACAAGACCAACGTATTTAAGCCTACATTCGGGCGACTTATGGGGTTAATCTAGGTGAATATATTATAGAATCATCGATTGCATGGAAATGGGTGCTCCATTTTGCGGAACAGCAATGGGTTCAACAGAACAGCAATGTTCTGCATTTTTCCTCAGATTCCCCAGATTTTTTGCCCACATTTTTTCCCTGGAAAATGATCAATGCCCGTATGCAGGAAGTGTAGCCAGTGGGAGATGGCCCTGCAACTCTTCGACGACATGGAACTGCTCCAGATCTCCCGCAGCCACTTGGTGATCGAAGGATAGGCCCTTTGGGCCCTTTGAGGCAGCTTGGGTATAACTGGGACAACTGTGAAATACTGTGAATGTATGTATGTATGTATGTATGTATATGCCTAGCAGTTCAATTGGATAAAGTACATTCTATCACATTGTATTACTAATTATAGGTTTGATGGTAGATATATTGATGCTTAGTTTTAAAGACTTCAGTGGACGAAGAATGACGAATTTCCATGTTTTAGCTGCCCTCATCAGGGAGCATGGTAACTTGAGAAGGAAACACAGCAACATGGTTTCTTCCCAGGTCAGGAATTATGAAAATTTGCACTGCGAATTGACCAGTGATGCTTAAGCATAATTTGCCACACTGGAGTCCTGATTCTCATTGACCAGGATTAAAATAACCCAACAACCATCAGTGACGATCACACAAACCATCACTAAAATATATTAAAAAATCACTCAGCATGATGAAATCTGCAGGAAGATTCAGTCACATTGTACGAAAATGTACGAAACAACTCTGCAGATCTTGAGGCATGATCACCTCTGCAGCCATCATCACGGCCTGTGCTTCAGCAGCTTCCTGGCTCCATGCCACAGAACTCTTGGAGCTGCAAAGTAAGGACCGCTCTTGGACCGCAAAAAAGGCAGTTCTTTCACCACACCTGTGATAAATTCAAGCAATCAACTAATTCCACCTACTGTAATCCCTAGAGAGACATGTAAAATCCTACTAAAATTGAGTGGTAAATATGTATAGTAAGATTAACATCTTCTATCTTTTTGGTGTTTCTATAGATGTTGACCAATCTGTGGTGGTTCAAAGCTGCCCCCAGGACCCCACGCAGCAAGTGGGTGTACGTTTCGCAGCCCTGGCCGCCACCTGTGTTGCCTGTGAAGCTGCTGGCGCTGTGGCGACGATGCCCAAGGTGTTGAAGGAAATTAGCGAAAGCAACGAGGCCAGTGACCAATGAGTGAGCCATATTGCTGGGTTTGTATCCCATTGACTCTGAGTTTTTGTGGAGAGTGAGCCATTTTTAAACAAACTGATGGAGGAAATCTGAGGAAGCTACTGCTATGAATCTACAGATTGAAGATTCCCTTGAAATCAGGTGAAGATGTCACACGGCAAGTCGGACATTGGACACCATTGGACCATGTTCCTGGAAGTTTTCTGAAGGGGCTCAAACGGTCAGGCAGCTTAGGGAGGCCGCCATCAGCCACCATTGGTTGCATGGCATCACTTTTTTCATGTGTATATCACATTATAGAGTAATCAGTTTATCCCATATTGCATGTGTTCAAATCCCATTCCTATATCATCCTATATCCCATGATAGTTGTTTCTATGTCTTTTATATATATATATATCATTGATGTGGTAAATCCACTGAAAAACCATCCCCAAGTCATCACCATGCGATTCAAACCATCCCATAAGTTTGATGGGTTGACCCGCCACCGGGTCCAGGTGTTGGCCGTGGAGTTGCTTCACAACCATGGGCTGTTGTGCAGTGCTGCAGCTGCTCGTTTGAAGCGGAAGATGTGGCATCCCATGCTGCTCCGCTGCAGCACGTTGACCAAAAGTGGAAGCACTGGAACCTGGAGACTTTATGATCCTATTTTGGAGCAGCTTAGATGCAACACAGCGGAAGTTGGTGAACTTTTGGATGAATCTGGTCAGCTGTTGCCATCTGTAGAACATGGCTGGGAACCTTCCCGGCTTAAGTTTTATGGTGCACAGATCATGTGTGAATATGTTTGATATGTTTCTGCAGCGATTCGTCTCTCCACCCGACTAGGCAGGAGTCTTTTTTGAGCACCGTTTTCACCATGGACATGCTGCATCAGCTGCAGCTGGACATCCCACATCACAGGCGCCGAAGGGTGCCGACGAATCGCATCGTCACATAGTGGTCCGGTGGGTGTTGTTGGGAGGTGGCTTAAAAAGATGATGCTATGAGCTAGGCATTGAGAAGAGGTTGAGAATAAACTTTAGATCAAAGGAAGTCCTGGGAGCATTTGGATGGAGGGAAGTAAAATGGTTTCAAAGTGTGTGTCAAGATTCAAGTTTAGATCTCAACTGGCTGGATCTCAGGTGTGTTTGTGTAGAGTGGCAATGTCCAAGTCGTGATACAAGTTGATGTCGGCAACGCTACTGCCAGTCATCCTCCTGGGGGCCTAAACAGTTGAGTTTCATCTCTTGTTGATTCGTTGATTACTAGTTGTCCTTAGTCAACATGGTGCTATGCCCATCTGGCAAATCACATGGTGTTGTTTGCAAACCATGCTGCGTAAAATGAAAAGATAGTCGGCATACATCCCCAACAAGAACACAGAAGGTACTACAATTACTATTGTCGATATATCAGAATGGTTGGTAAGCTAGTTGAACAAAACATATGTGTAAGAAAAACGCACTTGAAATACCATCCATTCGGGATATATATGTGTACCATACTTAGTCGTTTTCCCCCATAAGATGTTTGTCAAATGAAATTTTCCAGAATGATTCCTTTTACCCAATAAAATGGTCTTCCCGTAGATATATTCCATGTTCAAGGAATGGTGATTCAGTGTCCCTTTTTCAATCTATCCAAAAATGATTCTGGGCCTCTCTTCTGTACATATTCAGTACATATTCTGTACATATTCTGTACATATTCCAGACTTATCGTGACTTCTCAATGAATTTTCCATGGGAAATCCTCCGCCAGGTCCTGGCTCCCCACGGCCCGTCACCGCTCGCGGCGCGCGTCGGATCGGCGCTCGCGTCGCGCGGATCCGACGCCGGAGCCGAACGCCAAGGGCATCGCGGCGTGGACGGCGGTGCGGATGCAACGCGGAGACGCAGAGGTGATGTGTGCCTTGGTGACCTTGGTGGAACACCGGAGGTCCAAAAGAGTGAGTTGATATAGTCCATGGTTATAAAATGTTATAAAGTTGTTGTTGGTTTTGCAGTATGAATTATACGTATATAGTGATGTATGTGATGTTATATACAATATATACGTTACACATGCATGGGATATGTATATCATATATATATACATATAAGAGGAAGTTTCCCACGTGTGTGGGTTTGTTGTAATTTGATCTAATTTGCTGAGTACCTTGTGGCAAGTTTATTGGGGGTGATGAGCAACCACTGAGGCTTGTGCCTCAAAAAACTGATGGTTTTCGAAACCATCATTTTCACCATGTGTTTAAGGGCAAAACAAATGTGGGCAAATGCCAATTTTTTGGAGACACTATGCTATCTTCGTCTTGTGTTTGGATACGCCAATCACATCCAATCACTAGGGTCATCTAAATACCACTTGAATAGGGTGGAATAAGCCACTTGTGACTTTTCGACCAGGAAATAACTTTGCGAAGTGGCTCATCATTAGTTTACCCTGTCATACAGTGGGAATATCTCCAGTTACAGGCACATCCCAGCAAGTTGCCGGACAGATGGATTGAGTAGAATTATATCTAGAGATGTCATTTGAGAGTCATTGGGTATTAAGAAAGTGGATGAACATCTTATCTTTAATGTTTTGTTTACCATTGAGATCAGAATATATCAGAGTGATTTTCAATCCAAGCCCTACTAAGTTCCATGAGTTGGGTTGTTTTCGCTTCAACTCCGCCACGCCCAGGCTTAGGACGCGTCCATGAGTGGAGTGCCTTGGGCCATCATTTAACCATAGCAAACTGTTATATAGCCAGAGGCTATAGGTCCTATAGCTATTGATCCATGGCCGTGAATGAAACATTGTAAATTGATGTGTATCAAGACCATTAAACAAAAAATCACCAAGGTTGCCCACCTAATTCTATAGTGATCCATATTCATATTGATCGGGAAAAAAACAATTTTGGCCCAGACCCCAGGGTACAATCCAAGCAGGTTGGCAATGGGGGAGTGCCGATCTCTTAGTGCCAGTCTTTGTGGAGCACGCCGCTGGGCAGCAGCTGTTCCTTCCATTTCCCTGTTCTGCGAAACGTCTGCAGTGAAATTTATTCAGTTTGTTTTGAATATTTGATTTATGTGAAAAAAAACATACTGTACATGAAGAAACTCATGGGGTTCACTTGATTTGTTCACAAAAACCACTTTAGAAACACAAACATATCCTGCGGTGAAACTATCAGGCGGAAGCACACATATATCGACAGACATCGTTGCTATGGAAAGACTTGGCACAGTGCAATCCATTTTGCCCCATAGTCCAATAGTATTTCATACTTCCCTCCCATGAATAAGATGGGATTAATCATGATTGATCTGAAGTTTCTCGATTTTTTATCATTCAAAATGGGCCATAAAGATTGCCATCACAATTGCCACAATTCCCTTCATTTGGCTTTGCCTGATCCCTCCAAAGTGCCATTATTGTCAATGTTTTAACAGACTTTTTCGAAAAGAATCACTCCCCCATGGGGTGCAGCTCTCTTTTTTTGACAAGGAAAATCATCATCAACCAATGTATTTGGGTGATTTTTCCCACGATTTTCAGGTACCAACCCCCAACCTGGTAGGATCGTTCTCCACATGCAGAGCGCCAAGCGCTACTGACCTGGATACACCAGGCAGGAAAGGGCCCCAAGAATCACATGAATACAGCCATCAATTGGGGAATATGGCCATTGCCATGAAAATCCCATAGGGATCCATGAAAATAGGGGAATCCCTTGTTCATCCCACAAACAATCAATCTCATAAGACTGGTAATAGAATCGATATTTTCTGGGGATGGAAACTTCAAAGGACAAGAGAGAAGATTCAAAATCAATGCGTATGATTGCCATATAATTTGTTGCTTGTTTCAAACATTCATTGTTGCATCATTTATCCATCAAATCGGATGATGATCCCAATTGACTCATGACCCATTTGTTGTTTTTTTTGGTATGACAGCCTATGATGTGCTGAATTTGGTGGGAGAGATTTCAGCTCCAATTTGGAGAGCTCCTATGCAGATCTCATCCCAACATCTTCATAGACGTTTATGCACACTGTTGAACAGGTTGCCCGGGAAGTGGCTAAGCTAGATTGAAGCTAGATTGAAGATAATCAAAAGGCTTTACTTGCAATAGGATCATGCCATTATATAGATAACCTGTGATAACTTGTGTTCTCTGTGGAGATCTTTAGAAACTGAGGGACGCGAGGGCGTTTGATTAAAAGACCAAGACCTCGTCAGGGTGTTGAAACACTCTGCTTCATCAACCAATTCAGTTTGTTTTACTATATACGCGAGACGGCTCTTGGAAACTTGACAATATACTGTATATAAATGTACAATATAATATATATATATATTTATGTATATATGTATTATATATAGGTGTACCAAGTGTTTGTATTTGGCACATCCACAGTCATCCACGGTCGAAGTTGCCCGCCTTGCCATGGACAGGTTCAGTCATCCAAGGTGCAGTGAAGCCGGTCATCAGAGATGATCGTCAGGATGCAGATGCATAAAATATGGAACACTCGAGTGAAAAACATCAAACAACTCATCAGATGGAGAAAAAAATCATTAACATAGTTTTTTAAAAAATGACAGAGCTAAACTGTGTTTGTTGCTTGGATCTGGTATGATCATGTTTGATCATGTTTGATCTGCAATGCAGTTGCTAGCCAAGTTCACAAGATGAAAGTATGGCACCGGTCACACCGGGTTCAGCATTTGTCGAGATTTCGAGGATGCTGAACTTGAAGCAACGGCTGCTGAAAAAAGTGTGAGATGATCCACATGTCAAGAAAGAGGATTCTTCAGGGCATCAATGGGATAAAATCTAAATTATCATAGTCATAGACGTCCTTTTCCAACTGAGTCACCGGTTGGTTTACAAGGTTAACCTTCTCACAACAGATACAGTAAGTGACGATATCCAAGTTAGTTTTGTAGACGGTGCAATAGCCACATCTTTGCGCTGTAGAGCCATTGAAGCTATGATTGAGTTGAAGATTTACAGCTAAATCCCTGGTGTTGCAATAGCTATCACCCCATGCTCGTTGCTAGATATCAACGTCTAAGATGTGGCTTAATCATCAATCTAACATAATCTAACAATAAAAGGTATTCACATGGATTTACAGATTAGCCATCCATCCTTGTTTGCCGGCAAATATCCAAATCGGCCCTTTTTTGTGGGGGTAAACCCCAATATTCCCACGAGGCCAGGGGCTCACCGAGCGCGAGCCGACGAGGCCTGGATGCACCACTGGGATCTTGAAGCGGTGCAAAAGTGCTGGAAATGCAACTAGTTTCGGGCTCGTAGAAATCCAAAGATTCCTTGCAACTCATGATAAATGATCTCGAATCCATGAAATCATGAGATGATATGATATGTATTTTCCTATTTTATCATGAGATGATCTAATACTCATACTAAACATATCTCCACACCATCTGCATTTCCTGTTTAAATCCTACATTTCCTCAGGTGGCGGCCCTGCGGGGACCACCTCAGACTTTCGTGGATGCTGTGCCAGTTGCGACTTGTCGGCAGACTTGGGAAGTTCGCTTGGTCTAGTTGGGGTAGAAAATGGTAGAAATACATATATATATATATTAGGATCATGTTGGATCCATTTTGTGGATCCATTTTTGGATTCATGTTCTTTTGTAAGTTTGGATGACATGTAAAGGACAATTATTACAGCATACTACTAGGATACTCATAGATCAGAAGTCGGAGCATCAGAATCTTCAGCCGAGCGCCGATCTCTAGTAGAGGATTCCCAGATTGTTTTGGCGAGAATTGTTGATTACTAGAGATCAGACTGTGGATACTGTGGTCAGGACTTGATTGATTAATAGACCTAATAGATCTTAAACAATATATGCAAGTACTGATTGGTGACTAGAGAGGTGATGGGTATTTAGGCCATTTTAGGCCCACCAGGGATGGTTTCCAAACGGGTTTCGTTGCAGGTGGTGCCCGCTTCATGGCAGATGCACAGTTTTGCCAGCATTGCGGTCTGGCAGCCCCAGGGTGATCCTCCAATCCTCCAGATTTGTGGATTTTTGTGTCCCCTCAACGTTTAAATCTAAAGTGGGGGTTTTAAGGATCCTGCGCGCCCAGATCCACTAAGAGATCTAAGAGATCTAAGAGACTTGGGTACCTTGGTCAATTGGGGGCATGGCCCATCCTCTTCCCTAGCAGCTGCGAACATCAGGTTGCAAGCGGTATCCTGACCCTCTTCCGGTGTTGGGCTAAGTTATTATGACTTTGACGGAATCTGACGCGCTAATTTTAAGAAGAATTTCGGCTTGATTTGCGCAGGCACTAGATTCTGCAAAGACGTTCCTAAGGAAAAGTTCCTGTTGCACTTTGAACTGTGTGTGTGAGTGAGTAACGTTTGGCTTCCCTGAGTAAGTGAGAGTCACTCAACCGCTCACCTCAGAATTGAGTGTCCAAGTCCCTGTACTGACCCCTTATTAACAATTATTAATACATATTATAGTACATTCTATACAATACTTGTTGCTATTGTATCCTTTGTGGATGATTCATCAAATCTCCCCCATGTCTTCGCGACATAAGGCCACCCGACCGTCCATCAGAAGTACTGCAGGCGGGTTGGAAACTTTGACTTTTCCAGCAGGGTTCCTAAGCGTTCCTAAGTCACAGTAGCCCAAAATCATCCATTCGTCATGGAATGTCATGGATGACCATGACTTTGTATTGAAACCCGATGGTGACATGGTGACGACTGGGGATCCTGAATTTTTTGGACCCAGTAATCGCGCAGTGCTGTGTGTGCGCCAAGCAGCGACTTTGGCCCAGGTACTTTGCAGGACTTGGGGCTGGATAGCGAGAAGGCAGATGTGGGCACAAAATGAAACCCTCTCACTGCTAAGCCGCTAAGCGTGCCAAACTATGCCAGACTTATCAGTCTTTGGTGATGCTCAAGAGTCTCAAAGCAGCACCTGGACCAACAGTCACTTACAAAGATGTCCCAGATGTGCCTTAAAATTGTTGTATTATGCATTTACATAGAGTTATATATAATCATCCTGGAGTAGATAGAATATGGCAACTTCAAAAAAAACTCACTAAAATGGGAATATATTTGAAAATTCCACATTCTATCTACTTCAGGACTTCAGGATGACTAGATATATATACACATATATAAGTATTGTATCATATCAATAAATCCCTGATCAGTGTGACCAGCCCTGCATTTCGCCGCTAGGCACGGCCAGAGAAAGTAAGCACGCCCAGAGGCAGCGGGCTTCGGAGGTTTTTCTGATCCCTGCCCCGAAAACCTTGAGTCGTATCTGTTTGACCCTGTTGTTCCAATGGTATCCCATGATCATCTTCAAAAACCGATCTTTTAAAAACTGATTCCGAAAAAAAGAATAGTATGGCTACATTTGTCATTTGCTTTATTTAATTGTCCCAGAGCAGCCATGGATCCCGGCGCCAGTCCCAGAGCAGGTGGCAGTTTCTCCGTGAGCCTCAAGAGCAACAACTCGGGGTATAGTCGGAGCTCCCAGTCTGGTAGTTTTTAAGAAGTTATGGAAACCTGAATAATTAATCCCCATTTTAAGAAGTAACCACTAGTAGTTTCTTTTTTGTGTCCTATCTTTTGGGTTCTTGGTCATTCTGAGTCATTTTATGAGTCATCATTATAGTAATCCCCAGAAGATAGGACACTTATTAATAATCACTATGTCAGTGACGTGGGATTTGTTATTGTCTTGCGACGTTGCTATATGTTGGTAAAGACCATATGAAAATGGAATCGGTTTATATGCATGAGCAAAATCCTTTTCAATGAACTGTTAGATGTGTATATTGTTCTGTTCTGGGGGTATTTAACTTCTTCGGGTTTTCTCGGAGACTATCCACTATGCCTCATGAAATGACAGAAATGGCGGCTTTGAACATTGCTTGAAAGTTTGTTGTTTTCCAATGCTTGGAAGGATATCTCAACCAGCAAGGGAATTCTCACAATGTTTTGTTTCTCACACCATGACCTTACAATGCATTATAATTAATGCATTACTGTCCATTGTTTGATGATGTTTGATGTGTACACAGCACTTTGCACACATTAAGCTCTTTTTGAATGCAGAGCACAACACTGGGTTCTTTGCTTGTCAACTTCACAGCCATGAGCCGACTTCTCAGGTCGGCCAAAGTTGCAACCAACCCCGGCATGGTCGAGATGATACTCGTACAAGGTGGTGAATCTGGCGGCACTTCTGTTTTTTTTGGTGTGGCAAAAATGAAATAATGAAATGTATATAATATATATATATATACTGTATGTATAGATTTCAGTGACTTGATAGTTTGGAACTGTAAAGAAAAAACACGAGCAAGCAGGAGAAGCACGTGATGTACCTACTGTACCTACCATTACCTACCCTTACCTACCCTTACCTACCACTAGCTACTTTTTTTCTAGGATTTACCTACCATGAATCATGCTCTTGTTGCAGCTTCCCCGGATACCACCTGCGGAGGACTCAGTTTCACCGAAAGGCCAAAGGATTTTTGCCAAGGCGCTTGGCCGAAGTTACTCGGGGTATGCTGCTTTTGCTGTGCATCGTGCAGAATGAGATATATAGGGAAACATCATAAGGGGATGTCAAACATGAGATTCACTTGATGTTTTTGGACTCTGCGCTAAGTTTTTGTATTGGTTCGGGATGTTTGGGGAACTATGGAAGCAACAATTATATAAATATGACACGCTCTACAAACCTGCACGGAGACACAATAATCTGGGTCGCTGGACGGTATTGGTTGCAGACTCAAATTACCACTCCATTGAAATCACTAAAATGCGGCCTGCGGCGCAATGTCTCGCTGACATTACCATATTTTGAGCATTACTGTTGAACCCCCCCGCTGAGTTTTGCATGTGTGGTGAATTCTCTGAGCCATGCCGACCTGTAGCGACTTAGAGGTTGCGCTAGCAACCGCTAATAGGCGAAGGGGGACCTTGTTGGCGTATCCTCCCATTCTTGGGGGCCACGGCAATAACTAATCATAGACTTGAGGTTGAACCAGATTCACCAAATCAGTCACAAAGACGTGTTGTTTGCAAGGCAGTACCTTGGTGCTCATGCCCCTTTAGATAGCAAACGCCGTGCCCTTCTCCCATAGCTGTGAACTTGTGAGTCTTGTGCCCAATATTTCTTGGCTGGCAAGCCTGCCAGAGGTATTTTGGCTTCCAGGCAGCGGCAAATGCTTTCAAGTCGAGGTGAAAAAGGCTTAGCGCGCGGGATTCAAAAAAAATTAGGGGAAGATGTTTCTTGGTAAAATCCCTTGAAACATGCGCTTCTTCAGAATGATGTTTCATGGAATAGCTGGGATTCATAATTCCTTGCGCATTGTAAAAGCAACATTATCTTACCATATCTTACCTGTCCAAGGGGAATTGATTTGGTGGGTTGAGTACTATGCTTTCTTCCCTCCATTCACACCAGCAAATATATGGCAGTGTGTCAAAACCTTGTACCCCTGGTGAACATCAAAATAGCTGGTAAATGGATGTTCATCCCCCTAAAAATGGTATTAATAGGTATTGATCCATACCCATATAATGATTACATATTATTACGATTATTAGGTCTGCGGCATGACAAAGTTGAGTGTCGTGTCAGCTCCAAGAAAGGTGGACGCTGTGAGACGTGAGCCATGTTAGTCAGAGCACTATCTCCTCGGGATTATTGGAACAGATTCGAACAGGAAGGTGAACGTCCAAAGCTTAGAGCTATGTTTATCTATGAAGACCAGAATAATGTGGTAAACCGTGGTAAACCCAAGTATAAATAAACCATCCAGAATCCAAAACAAAAAAAACATATATAGATGGGCGGTAAAATATTGAAGCTAATTATTAGATATCATATCCAAATGGTAGGTTTGTGGCATTGGCCAAGGGTGACCTTGCAGCTGAGTGCTTGCTCCTTCAAGTGTCAAAAAAAACCACAGGATCATACCAGTACTCTAGGTCGACAATGGCAACTGCATTTCGCTCAAGATGAATCAAGATTTACTGGCAATAGGGCCAGAAGATCCGACACTGAAAGAGCGCCTTACCTCGTTGCTGGATGATGTCCCCTGCTTGTCAGCTAGGTCCCCACGCGACTCCAATGGCCATGGAGGGGACGAGCACAGGCCTTGGGTCGTGCCGGTGCTGCTGCGGCGGCGGGAGCCGAATCTGCTGAAGCCTGAAGCTACCCAGCTGGATGGACGAGCCACTTCCAGAGGATTACAAGGTCGTTGGTTGTCCAAAAAACCGGAGGATTTACATGGATTTACCATGATTTACCACCCAATACATGGCCATTTTAATCACCAGTTAAAGGGAATAATTATGATTAACCAACGGATTCAACGGATTTAGGGGTACATTATGTTCAGACAAACCCAGGTGGACCAATGCCCCAACGGACGACACTGCGGGAACTTCAATTGCAAGGACTCTCACAAGCCTTCGGAGCAGCGTTGCCAAAACCAAAACCGGCCATTGCTGCTCTGAAGGCTTGTGAAAGTATTTGCACTTCATGTTGATGTAACGGAGATTCGTATGATTTTGATCATGAACGCCGCCGACGACGTATCCTGCTACGCCCCCAATGATGCGCAGAATCAGTTCTCACAGCGAATCTTCAGCATCAGTTCTCATCCGGTCCATCTGAGTGGCGGTCAGTTCTCAGCGCCTGTGAGTGGACGCTATAGAGACTGGCATATGTTATTCCAGAGCAATCATTAGATCCTTTGAAGGGATCTCAGCCCCAGCTATCATTGGGGCCTTGAGACGCTGCTGTTTCCTCAAAATCTTAGTGGTGCCGGAATCGGATTTTGAGGTAGGGCAGTTCTACATCATGGAAGCCATCAACACACTGGATTTGTCCCTGGGCTTCAAATCATTTACAAATTTACAGGGACCAAGAAGAAGTCGAGATGCCTAGAGACCCTGCGCCATCGCTGCGCCATTTCCCAGCGTTGACGCACAAATCTGACTCAGATGGAGAACGATCATATCTTTCAGACTTCAGCTGCTAAAAGAATAGTGCAGTGCAGCTTGGGGATTAGCCGCTTAGCCGCTTGAGATCTCTTGAGCCCCCCGCGGCTCCCTTTGCGAAGTAGTTCCGATGCCACCAGAAAGTTTGTATCTCTTTCTTGCTCCATGGGTGTGATGTTGGACATAAGACCCCATGGGACTCTCAGTGAGTGGTGCTGCTCTTTGACAAACATAGTTTTGAGTTTTGGCCGAGTTTTAGTTGCTTCTCGAATCTTCTCGGCCATGGTTCAAGCTAGCCACAGCTTGACTGAGATCAACGAAAATAGCCAGCCCAGCGTGGCCCAGTGCATGTATTCGTTTGCTTAGGGCTAGCTGATGTTTTCACTTATATCAAAAGAAAACTAACCAGTCAACAGTCGCTGGAAGGAAATTAGTCATGGCAAAGCCACGCTTGGAGATTCCTCTCAGGGCCGTCCTAGCCATGCCGCAAGTGAAGCAGAAAGCCACAGGCACCAAGAAGCTAAACGAGGGTCAGGGTATCCGGGCTCGCCTGCCAAGGCTTGATGGTGGACTGAATCGAGGATGACATTCTCTATAGCTACTCACTTCAACCATTCAAGAGGTGTCTTCCACATCACATGTTTGATGTTCTCTGTCATAATCTTCAGATATCTTCAGATCTGTAAGTTTGGAATTGAAAAGTGGAATGCATGAAGTGACTCACAGAGCCATCACGTTACAGACAGACTCAGCACTGTTTCTCTTGTCGTTATGGTGACACGACTCACTGATTGAAGGAACGAGTCCCTATAGTCGGACTGCAAGGGGCAAAGAACAGGACAATCAACCAACCAGATCAAGTGTCGTTGTTTGGCGTTCATCAAGGCACCACGATTTTTTGCCGAACCACCTAGTTTGTTGGAGCTACAAAACTAGTCGGGTTGGCCACCCATCTGGAAAGAGAACATAGGTGTTTGACCCATCCAATGTGGTATCCGCCATCGAGTATGTTCAATCCCCATAATTCGAACTGCGGTTTCTAGTTCGACTTTGAAGCCCCAGCCCCATTTTTCCTCGATAGAACCACTCTGTGACTGTTAGCTACCCCAAAAAACAAACAATCACTGCTTAGTCATCGTCATCCCGTCAGCTCGAACTCGTTCATCTTCATCGAGGCCGTGATTGGTTGAGCTCGGGATGCTGAACCAGAGTGTTGTAAAGGGGGGTTAACATGCTTTAATAATGTTTAAACTATCAATTTCGGGATTTTGCGTGGTGATACAACTGATAACCGATGGTTGTTGGTTGACGATTGTATGAGATGATACTAAGTTTTTTTATTATTGTGTATTATATCACAAGCCATGAACGGGGAATCGCATTCTCAAGCAACCAGGATCAAAAGGGACGACATTGCAGATTTTGAACACTGCTCAACTGCGTGTGTCGGAAAATTGCGGGTCCAAACGATCATTGATGGGGATATAAGTGGGGTATCATTGTTTTTTCCAAGAAACAATATTATTGATATTCACTTGTGACATGTCTGAAAATTGGGCCCACCATGGCACATCCAAACTGGTCATTTTACAAAGGGAAAACGATAATTAATTGATTGGTCGTTAAATCCACCCTAGTTTGAGACCCCATTTCGAGCCGGCAAACTTTTAATGGGAAACCTATGGGTTCTTGAGTCTTTGCCAATTTTGCATGACGCTCAAGTTAGAAAGCCGCTACGATGCAGATAATTGGTAGGTTCTTGATGGTTGAGGGAATCCAGTGAGAAGAAGGATGGCATTTATACGGGCGATGCGGCGTCCATGGCTAAGGCATCCATGGAAAGATTGGCATTTAGATTAGATGTAGTGCACTGGTTCAGGTTGTTTCATTAGAATCCAACATTGTGCATCATTCTGCAAGAATCAGCCGCTTCCATCCAAGTTCAACCTTATGAGTTCCAGCCAGCCAGAGAGGCAGTCCCACAATTAAGGAGAAACAAGTATGTTTTCCCTATGTGAAAAAAGTATGTTATTTTTTAAGATTTTGAGGGTTGTCTTATAAAGCGAATGTCTTTGTATACGTGTTTTCAGGGTTCACATATGAAACCAATGTGTTTTCATATGTTGTTTAAGGGCACCTTCAAAGGTCAATGAATTTCAGCATTTCATTTGCAGTCACTGAGAGCTCACCTGATTGCCGCTGCCATAGCCGTAGCCCCATATTTGTTTTTATCCCTTTGACAGAAAAAATTGCGTTGACAGTTGGAAGTTTGATAGTGAAGGCAGCAGGTTGCAGCTGGCAGGAATAGTATGTGGCATCAGTATCCGCAAACCATATACCCTGCATTTGGGAATGGCACTGGGTACCCAGGTGCAGGTACTGGCCGTTTAGTTGCCCAAAAGGTAGGAGGTAGGAGAATTACAGGTAATGATTGTTAAATGTATGTATGTATGTATACAATTATATATATATATATATATATCTTTGATGTCATATGTCCTATGTCATACGTTTTGGATTCTTAACCAGAACCGCTGTGAGTGAACAAATCAAACCACCACTATTTATGTGTTGTACGATTCCAAGATTCCCACGTGACCAGGAGGTCCAAAGTTTCAAAAAGTGATTCTGAAGGGGTGCTGGGGCCTGGGGGCAACATAGCCCCGACATACATTTTTGGGCACTCACCAAAACACCTCTAAAACGACATACTTTTTTCTGGAGCCTCTTGAAAATCAAAAAACACAATTTTACACTGTAAAATGTATGTTTTTGCTATGCTCTGAAGGTCCAAAATCGGACAATTTTGGAATGAAATTTCAAGCTTCCAAACTTGAACTTGAAGCCCCAGAGTCAAAAACATACATTTTACAGTGTTTTTTCAAGTTTGGAATGAAATTTCAAGGTTCCAAATCTGAAATTGAAGCCCCAGAGTCAAAAACAGACATTTTACACTGTAAAATGTATGTCTTTTTCAATTTTTGGAATGAATTTTCAATGTTCCAAACCTGAAATTGAAGCACCAGTGTAAAATGTATGTTTTTTCAAGTTTGGAATAAATTTCAAGGTTCCAAACTTGAAATTGAAGCCCCAGAGTCAAAAACATACATTTTACACTGTAAAATGTATGTCTTTTTCAATTTTGGAATGAAATTTCAAGGTTCCAAACCTGAAATTGAAGCCCCAGAGTCAAAAACATACAGTAAAATGTGTGTTTTTTTTTATTTTGGAATGAAATTTTAAGATCCCAAGCTTGAAATTGAAGCCCCAAAGTCAAAAACATACATTTTACACTGTATGTTTTTCCAATTTTGAAATGAGATTTTAAGATTTCCAAGCTTGAAATTTAAGCCCCAGAGTCAAAAACATACATTTTACACTATAAAATGTATGTTTTTGGCTCAGGGCTTGTTTTCTGAAAAAGCATGTTTGGATCATTGTGAAATGTATGTTTTTTCAATTTTGGAGTGAAATTTCAAGATTCCAAGCCTGAAATTGAAGCCCCAGAGTCAAAAACATACATTTTACACTGTAAAATGTATGTTTTTTCAAGTTTGGAATGAAATTTCAAGGTTCCAAATCTGAAATTGAAGCCCCAGAGTCAAAAACAGACATTTACACTGTAAAATGTATGTCTTTTTCAATTTTGGAATGAATTTTCAATGTTCCAAACCTGAAATTGAAGCACCAGAGTCAAAAACTGTAAAATGTATGTTTTTTCAAGTTTGAAATAAATTTCAAGGTTCCAAACCTGAAATTTAAGCCCCAGAGTCCCAAACATACATTTTACACTGTAAAATGTATGTTTTTTCAATTTTGGAATGAAATTTCAAGATTCCACTGTAAAATGTATGTTTTTCCCAGTTTTGAAATGAAATTTCAAGATTCCAAGCCTGAAATTGAAGCCCCAGAGTCAAAAACATACATTTTACACTGTAAAATGTATGTTTTTGGAAAGTCAGCTGTTGGAAGACAAGATTTTGATGCATTTTTTGCCAATTTTTGGCGATTTCAGGGAAAACATACATTTTACAGTGTAAAATGTATGTTTTTGCTTTTTCAAATGTGTGTCAAAAAAAGTATGTCGTTTTGGAGGTGTTTTTGGGGGCTGCCAAAAAAGTATGTGATCCAGTGTGTGGTCTTTTGGGAGGCCCAGGCCGGGTAGGGCTGGGTTCTGGTAGGTCCTGGTAGGGCCTGGTTGGGCCTGGTAGGTCGGGCCTGGTAGCCTGGTAAACCTGCTAGGCCAGATGCCAGGTACATTGCGCTGATACATTGTACTGATACTAATACATTGATACATCGGTACTGGTACACTGGTACACCCCAAGAGCCTGATAGGTTCAATTAGGCAGATTGAAAAGTTTCACACTACAAGCATAAAGATTATCAAAGGGGCAAAAGCTTCTGACCTCTCCACATACAACATACGACAAGTGATATTGTAGTGACCCTGTAGTGTCTTGGGTGTGCAAGCAGTCATATTTGAAGCATGGTATATATGTATATAGTATTTAATAGTATATCATATTTCATACATGGCAACATGCCATGTCATTTATCATTGCTATGAAAGAGTCGGTCCATCGGTTATGTCAACTGATGGTTAACAGTTAAACAAAGTAGTTTAGTAAGTATATAGTATATAGTTTTAACATAGTATATAGCATGTATACATACCAGGAGACATACACATCCTGTGGGTACCTGTCCCAGGCCTGGTTTTCACATACATTTTCAAACATACATTTTGAGCTACTTGACATACATTTTTGCCCACAGGGGCTGTGGCTAGATTGGATTTCATAAGTTCAACCAACTATGATAAACATGTAAATGCACACAAACTTGTAATTATATATTTAGTGCCACCAACTATGGAACATGTTATATAATGATATGTTTTGTCCATATGCCCCCAGCGCAGGTCAAAAAGACCGCGCTTGGAGTCGAAAGGCCCCAGCCCAGCGGCTGATGGCTGTTACTGGTAGCATGAGCTAACCTTTTTTTGATTTCGGCGACTCTGGGACTGTTGAATTAAAATGTGTATGTGAGTTGTGTGCTTAATTAGTATGGCCGGTTTTTGCATAGTAGTCATAATATACCCTTTTTTGAATCCCCACATCATTGTGTTCCTGTTTTTCTGTTGTGTACTCCCATCCGTCCAGCGCCGCCACCGCCGCCTCGCCTCCTGACCTCCTCACCTTGTCACAGACAACTCTTTCACACACAACTCTTCCCCACACACACACGCACACAAACAAACAAACAAACAAACAAACAAACAAACAGCCAAACAAACAAACAGCCAAACAAACAAACAAACAAACAAACACACAAACAAACACACACTGCGTGAAAAAGTAATGGAGTGTCGTAACGATGTGGTATTTAACGCCTTGAGGTCTCAAAACCTGGAAAAACATCCTGAAGTGGCAATAGCTGAAAGATAAAATGGTCTGACACACACACACACACACCACAACACAACACATTAGGACCGTGACGATCACCAAGTGCCACGCCTGCCACACAAAAGGTCACCAAGTGCCACGCTTGCCTAACAAAGCACCGCGGCGTCACCGGTGTCTATGCTGACCAAGGCGCACCACCAGAGCCAGCATGAGCCAGCCCAGTGCCACAAGCGCAACACCTGCCACACAAAAAAGGAAGGTCAATCTCACCAAGCGCCACGCCTGCCACACAAAAGCCGTTTCAATGTCAGCAAATGCCATGCCTCCCAAACAAAGCACCTCAGCCTCACCGGCGTCAAGGCTGACCAAGGCGCGCCACCAGAGCCAGCCCAGTGCCACCAGTGCCACAAGTGCCACGCTGGCCACACAAAAGGAAGGTCAATGTCACCAAGTGCCACGCCTGCCACATAAAAGGAACGTCGATGTCATCAAATGCTACGCTTGCCACACACAAGCACCACGCGTATCCGGCGTCAATGCCGACCAAGGCGCGCCACCAGAGACAGCAGGGCTACAAGTGCCACGCCTGCCACACAAAAGGAAGGTCAATGTATGACAGCAAGAGTTGTGTAAGAGTTGTGTGTGAGAAAATTGTGTGCACAACTCTTTCACACATAACTCCTTCACGCACAACTCGTTCACACACACAACTCTGTCACACACACAACATGGTCACACACAACTCCGTCCCACACAACTCTTTCACACTCAAAAATCTGTCACACAACTCTTTCACATACAACTCTGTCACACAGGGCCCTTTCACACAATCTGTCTTCCACCATCTCCCCTATCTTGCCTGCCCGTCCCATCATATTTCCACATCTGTTTTGTGGTTGTTGGAAGAAGTCGACATGTGGGGTTATCCGGTCCTTTAAGTTAAAAGATAGCGGAAAATCACAATTGTTCCCCAAACACTGTGTCCACACTGAGGGTTTCTTACGGTAGGTGTAAAGGCCGGTGCTTGATCAGGGTGCTCACTCTGGGCCCCGGATTTTTTCTTGTAAATATTTCCGTATAAAGTGCCTCTTGTGAAATCTTGACATGCGTTTCGACTGCGCAGGCTCGCACAAAGTGTGTGTCTGCGTTCCTTCTGGCATTTTTCCCGTAAATTTCCGTACAAAGCCCTGAGCATTGCATATTGGTTAGAATCAAGATCTTGAATTGATGGGGCTCAAAAATCAATATGAGATATTGATTTTTCAAAGGCAGATATCAAAGTAAAAAAGTATCATTTTTGGAGCATCAAATCAAGTGGAGAATCAAGATTTCCAAAATGGAAAATCAAGAAACATATCAAGATAGAATCAAGAAAAATAACAAGAAGAAAACAATATCTCAGAGCTGCAGCTGAATTGCCACTGTTTTCTGCCATGTGCTATATACAAGTCTGCCCTCTCAAGCCTTTTCCAAGACATGCCGCATGAATCCTGTTTTGCATTGTCCAAGACATGCTGTGTGAATCCCTTTTCCAAGACATCTCCAGAATGCAACTTTCCGCAGATCAGCAGGAGAAATGCCTTTTCCAAGATACCCGATTAATCCTCCTCACTGTCCCACGCAGGTTGCTCCATGCTCCTTGTCAACATGAAATTGTAGAACAACCTGTATTCCAAAGGTGGTGGGCAAAGGCATGGTGCTATAACCACAATGGCAAACGAATTCCTTTCCACACAGGCCTTTCCCTGGCTTCCAGTGCCACCAGGAACAATTTTTTCCAAAACCCACGGCCTTTGAAATTATGTGCGACTTTTTGCCTTTTCCAAGGCATTGCCAGCTACTTGGGCTTGCTTTTTCCAAAGCACCATTCCACAAGTGGGCTACTCCACTGCAACCAAGCCAAAGCCTTTTCCAAGGCCACAGGGATGAGATTTTTCCAAAACCCACAAGCCTTTCCCAAATTCTGTGTATGTGCGTGTGCCTTCTGCCTTTTCCAAGGCATGGCCAAGGCTTTTTCCAAAGCACAATGTCACCTTTTTGCTATTCAATGCCTGGGCAACCAAATTACTTGAGCATTTTGCTTTTTCCAAGGCATGGCCAACCACTTGGGCTTGCTTTTTCCAAAGCACAATGTCACCTTTTTGCTATTCCATGTCTGTGCAACCTGCAATCCAAAGCCTTTTCCAAGGCCACACGGAGTAAGACAAGTAGGCAATCTTTTCCAAGACCTGTAAGCCTGTCCCAAAGTGAGAGCACTTTTTCCAAAGGCTTGCCTGCAGAACCAATAGAAATTGTTTGCAGCTTCAAGTTCCCAAGTGTAGCCACCGCCATAAGGTCATGCAAGATTACAGCACCCTGGTCTGCATCACCCTCAGCCTCCTCAGCTGCAGCTTTCGCCTTTTCTTTGATGGTTCCTGGTTTTTTCCAAACCATCTCCATCCATTGCAGCCAGGCTTCTTCATGGATTTTTCCAAACCCTTTCTTCCAGATGACTTGTCCAAGCCTTTCTGATTGGAAGACTTTTCCACGCTTCTCTTTTTGGGAGACTGTTCCAAGTCCTTTTTCTTCTTCATTGTTTTCATAGCTTTTTTTGGAGCCATAGTGTAACTTGATACCCAAAAAGTGTGCCCGTTCCACGCACAAAAATCCTGTTGTTTAAAATTTGCTTTGATCCAAAAATAGCTGCAGGTGCAAAACATGTGCTTGGCAATGTTTGAAAAACATGTTTTGTTGTTCTTAAAACAAATCCACTGTTAATGTTTTATTGTTTTTGACATTGGAAGCACATGTGAACAACAGATAGTGTTCAACATATATCTACATTGCTTTTGTAACATGGACAAAGACACACAAACTATAAAGTATTAGCATTTTCTATGGCATGTTTCAATGAAAACAAAGCAAATTTATGTTCAAAAAAGCTCAGCACATATTTGTAAATCATGTTTTGATATGTTTCATATTCATTTATTTTGGTATATATATATATATATTTGTGTATGCTGACCGACCTGCAGGCACATCACCTGGGAGGAAGAGGCAGTTTTAGCTTTCTTGGCCTTCAGGGTCCAAGCTCACATCACTGATTCTGGGAGCCAGCATTCTTTTACCTTTTCCAAGGACCTCCTTCTTGCCAACTTTTCCGAGCTTCCCTGCGTTTTTGCTAGGCTTGGCTTTTCCAAGCTTGGCCTTGGCAGGTGCTGGTGCTGCCCCAAGCACATGGGCATTTTTTTGGTGGTGCTTTTCCAAGCTAATTCTATCTCGTGCGGTTCTAGGCTTAGCCGCTTGCCATATCAGATTGCGGAAAACGCGCAGAAAAAACAATAAAGGATGATAACAGCTTGGGCAACAGTTCCAACAGGTTCGAATCTCAGCAGGTACATGGTTGAGCGTCCTCAATCACTTCCCTTCCAGTGACCTAGCTTCGTTGGATCAGGTCAGTCACTGGGAGCCTGATCCCCCTGCGATTTGAAGGACAAATTCGATCAAGTCATAACCCTTAGAAACAGGGGTTGACACACACACACACCAAAAAGAAACACATACAGTCACATACAGTCACATACACACAAACACACATGCAAACACACAGACAGACACAGCAGAGAGACCCAAACACACACACACACAAACACACAAACACACAGACACACACACACACAGAGACACACAGACAGACACACAGACAGACGCAGACACACACGCACACATACGCAGACACGCACACTCACATGCAGATGCACACAAAGTAGTTTCTTGAGATTGCCTGAAATGGCACATGCTGCCGCAGCGAGAAATTGTGCTCGAACCCCTCATCAACACCGCCCGCTTTGCACTGAAGTTTGAAGGCTCAGATTGCCAACTCCGGCGGAAGCATACTTGAACTCATTTGCACCTGCTGACCTCATTGAACTTGTGACGAGAAGGCCCATAATAACCGCTAATCCCTGTACCATTCAACTCAGGCGATGGTCCTGACCCAGACTGACTTGGACAACTTCATCACTGCACTTCCAACGCAAAGGGTTTGCTTCGCGTCGCTTGGATCATTTGGCTCGGTCTCGCACGCTTAGCTTTTATTTGGAAATTTGCTGCCTGAACAGACGCCCATGAGGAAGAACCTATCCAAAGTTGCGGCCTGCCAGTCCGAGCAGCTTGGCTCAATGGGTCGCCGCCAGCAGTGCGCAAATGCTCCAAAGTGCCGCGCTGAGGAATGGAACCTATACTGGGTGATGACCATGGAAGATGGTCGCCAGGAGCTTGGGGAATTGGTCAGGTGTGTGAGGACTTACCGTTGCCACCTCGGACTGTTTGATGTTGCCAAGGCGGAGGATACCCCATGGACAAGGATGTGGGAGATGAGGAACTCGTGCCCCTCGACGAGGACATGCCGGAAGACCTGCAAGAATTGTCGCCCAGCTGCATTGTGAGTGCAGTCGGTCAGTGTGCAGAGCTTCAACAACAGCCAGGTGCAGCTCTTCGTACCCGGCTGAGACCTTCCGCATGTACCAGCGCTGCATTCGCGGACAACGGCAAGTGGCGCAATCCTCAATGCAAAAAGCATGCGGACAGATGTGGTAGGTGGGTCAATGGGTCAATCATCACAACGATGGGCACCACAGGTGTTGATGCAGCCGGAGGACTTCCCTAACGACAGAACCTATGAAGCACCGCGGAGTGCAGACGGTGAGACTGATGCCCCGGCGGAGGAAACTTGGAAGCCAGAGACTCAGCCAAGATTTTTGGCGAGCTGTGCGACTAAAAGCTGTTTCGTTGCCGAGGCCTGGCGATTACCTGGTGCACGTTGCAGCTAATGACAACTACTTCATCAGCGCGAGTGAATACCAAACCAAGTACCTCGAACTTGGCACCTGGACAGCAGATGTGGCTTTGAGGTTTGGCGTGATGCACCCCCACACTCATCCCTTCTGCCATTTTTGCAAAATCCATCTTGTCAGTGCGTGTTAGCCCTTACTCTCGCGCGTAGCAGAACGCATTTTTTGTGGTAGTTGTAGCGTCTGCTTTCTTTCTCTCAGCGGGGCTATTCCCCTGAAACTGCTGACATAACACCGCGTGCTGCATTTTTGTGCAACAGCTGTTTGCTGCCAAAGCTTTCCGGCATGCGCGTGGTCTTGAGCCATGCTTGCACCAGCATGATGAACACGGTCCTTGCATGTTGGGGGCATCGTTTATTAAGGGGTTGAGGTAAAACGCACTTCTGAGGTGGCCCGGAAGAAAGATCGCAGTTTTTTGCCAAAAAGGTGGCCTTAGCTTCGCCCAGAGCTGGAGCACATATGCTCATAGGCTCCCAGATCCGACAGGATATCCTCGTGCTTTTCCAAGCACTTAAAGACCAAGCCAACATCCACCATAGGTTTGGGTTCAATTCTTGGCCCTCCCCTGGACATTGGCCGGCTTTTTCCAAAGCCTGGCCTTTTCCAAGACGTGGACCTTTTCAAAGACCTGGGCCTTATGAGGCCTTGACCTTGGCTTTTGCAAGGTTCCGAAACCAAGTGACAAAAACAAACTTAGAGCCAAAACTGCATGTATGCCTGGTGGACATGCCAGCCATATGCAGACATGAAACAGCCATGGAGAGATCAGATAGGTCAAAAAAGGTAAGAAGAGAAATCAAGAAATTTAAAGGTAGAAATCAAGAAAAACGATGAAATCAAGAAAATATCAAAATAGAATCAAGAAAAAACATAATTTTGGAGCGTCAGAAAAATATCTCAGAGCATCAAAATATTGTCTCTAATCTATATGCGATGCTCAGGGAGTGGCTGTTGTGACCTGTTGTGACATGTTGAATGCAGTTCGACTGCGCAGGCTCGCACAAAGTGTGGTTCTAGCTTCTGGTCTGCGGCCTTTTCCCTGTAAATTTCCGTATGAAGTGACTCTTGTGACATGTTGACCCGCATTTCGTATGCGCAGGCTCGCACAAAGTGTGGTCCTAGGTTCTACGCCGATCATGACCATCCTCACCCGCATCATCATCCTCACCGCCATCATCATCATCATCATAACCATCATCATCATCATCGTCATCACCATGTTCATCATCATTGTCATCATCGCCATCATCATCATCACCGTCATCATCGCCATCATCGTCATTATCATCATCATCGTCATCATCATCATCACCATCATCCTCCACATATCCTCCACATCACCCTCCACATCATCCTCCTGATCTCATCATCCGCAACATCATCATCCTCAACATTATCGACCGCAACATCATCATTATCATCATCATCTTCTTCTTCTTCTTCATCATCATCTTCATCTTCATCTTCATCTTCATCTTCATCTTCCCTCCCCCTCAACATCATCATCATCATCAACAACAACAACAACAACATTTTCATACATTATCCTCCCACCCCCCCACACTGTTTGGGGCCTCTTGCCGGGATAGTTTTTATGTGTTTAATAGGTGGTAAATGTCCAGCTAAATGGACCATGGTTTCCAGTTCGCAACGTGTTAGATTTCTGGAGGGTATAACGGTTCAGGTGCCGAAGAGGAGAGGGCGGAAGCGGCTGAAGGGGCTGAAGCAGCCGAAGGGAAAGCTGACGAAGCTGAGGAGTGGATTGGATGGTTTGGGTGGAATATTTCACCCCCCCCTAATGGTTCATCCTTGGATACTCAAACGTGGCCGGGAAATCCCTTATAAATGAGTATAAATGGAGGATTTTAAGTTGGAAATCACCGAACGAAACGGTGGATGTCGATTTCCGCGTTTGATTCCTGGAGGGTAATATGGAGAACATATTAGGACCATTTCCTAGAGCTGTCAAGACTTCACTACCAGTTTGTGAAGCATGTGGGACAAACATGACGGCGACGGCACATATGAGAACATTATGTAAAATATTGACATGTGATGACAATCAAAAGTTGGAATTATAAAGGGTGTACCCCTACTTTGGGACAAATTTCTGGTAAAACTGGACGGGTTGGATCTACCGAAGCTGCAGGAAATGATATTGGAGGAAGATAGATTGTTGGTCATTTCCTTACAACGTGCTACAAATTGCATGAACCCTCCACCCATTGGCAGCTACTTCATGATCCTTATGAGTTCAAATCGGTGATCAAATGCCGTTTGATTTTTATGGATGCATTCTTTGCGCTGATGCTTTATGCATAGACAGACGCGTGGTGAGGCTCAAAATTCAAGACCGCGGTACACCCTCAGAAACCTAAATGTGTTGGCCATGTTTGCTCCGTACAAAATTGCCCCATGTTTTAGCCTCAAATTTTGACTGAAATCGAAGCTTATATGTAATCCTTTCCTCCTTTAAAACGAAATGCACTCTTGGAAACCGTGGTTTTGTATGGAATCTGTTTTTTTTGGGTTTGCTAATTAGCCCTTATTGAGTACGAACGTGGAAAGGGACTAGCTATGACTGACCTTCCTTGAAGCCACTGGTTTGATGTTTGAGCAGGAAGTTGATGAGGACTTAGAGGACTGAACCACCAGCTGCTTGCCACACTCGACCTCTGTTGATTCACACTGCTGAACTTGCTGAACACATGGGAGACGGATAGGGGGTGGCTGGTGAGAGTCCCATTTGGATTCGTTTGGTGAACTTCAATACACAGAAAACTGTGAAGATCATTGATAGAAATATTGTCTTTCTCAAGGTGGGATGACTTCAAACGTGACATGATCAGCCAATTCTTGCTGTCCTCAAAAACTCCTCTATGATTGAGCCTTGTTTTATGGTCATGTCAATGTATATTTCCATCCAGCGTCAAGGTGTATCCCCATTGTACCTATATAACACAGTATACCCTGTATCAAATGCGGGGTTTTCTTAAAATCACTCCAAAATCAGTGGTTTTCCCCCATGCAACTGGGATGTATTTTGAGGTCCCCATGGTTTAAGACAATATATCCCATATCACGAAAGGTAGCTCCAGAGGGGCTACCTTGAGTTTTACTTTACGAAGTAAAGGGGAGGGCGGCCAGCCCCGTTACCTGATTCTTCAGGAGATTGCTAGTCATTTTAGTACCCCCCCCCTCCACACCTCCCACGCACCCTAAGAGCAGACTCAAAACATTGTAATTTACAGTATTTTTGTTCTTTTCGGATCAAGAAACCACATTTTGCTACATGGTGAAACCTCCGTAAATACCAGTGTTTTTGCTAGGTGCTGGCCAAAAAACACTGTAAATACCGTGCTTTTTACTACCAGAGGCAAAAAACATCGTAAATACCGTGGTTTTGGGCTTCCGACCCGCCAAAAACATCGGTATTTACGGTGTTTTTTTGCTCTGAGAGTTGCAAAAACACGCGAAAACACCACCGATTTGACGATTTTCGGCCACTACGGAACCGAGCAAAAACGCTGCAGGGGTAACACCAACACCGACAACAACAACACCAACAGCAACAGCAACAACAACAACAACGACGACGACCACAACAACAACAACAACAAAAACAACGCACAATGCACAATGCACAATGCACAGCGCACAAAACACACAACACACACACACACAACACACACAACACACACAACACACACAACAACACACAACAACACACAACAACACACACAACCACACAACAACACACAACAACACACAACAACACACAACAACACACAACAACACACAACAACACACAACAACACACAACAACACACAACAACACACAACACACAACAAGACACAACAACACACACAACACACAACAACACAACAACAACACACAACAACACACAACAACACACAACAACACACACAACAACACAAACAACACACAACAACACACCACAACACACCACAACACACACAACAACACACAACAACACACAACAACACACAACAACACACAACAACACACAACAACACACAACAACAACAACAACAACAACAACAACAACACCATCAACAGCAGCAGCAACAACAGCAACAAACAGCAACAACAACAACACGAACACGAACAATACCAACACCAACAACACGAACAACACGACCAATAACACCAACACCACCAACAAACCCAACCACACCAACAACACTAACAACACTAACAACACTAACAACACCAGAAACACTACCACCACCAACAACACCAACAACACCAATACCAACAACACCAACAACACCAACCCCACCAGCACCACCAACACCACCAACACCACAACCACCACCAACCCCAACCACATCGCCGAAGCCTTTCAGTCGCTTTTACCAGACTCCCCTTCATATTTTTGGAAAGAAAATGGCCGCGTCGCTTTTACCAGACTCCACTTTATGTATTTTTCCCTCCCCTCTCCCCTTCATTTTTTCTTCGGTTCCTTTCTTGCTTACCTACCTTTCGTGTTCCCCCTCTCAAGTTGTTTTTCATCGATATTCACTATGATGGACTATTATTCAATAATATCATATATACTGCCAAATAATTACATACATATATACACATAACATATAATATGGTTTTATACGATATATATATATATAGAATCATATGTATATATAATCACATATATATATATAATCATATATATATATAATCATATATATATAATCATATCATATTTATGTATAGTCATATTTTTATAATTAATCATATATATATATGTATAATCATACATACATACATACATACATACATACATACATATATATATATATATATATAAAAACATATGTTCTTTGTATCTTCACAGCCGGTCACTGCCCTGTTTCTCCTGGTACTCCCGTCCGGTGCAGGACACCGAGGACGACGCGGAGGCGGACGGCCTCAGGGACGACGGCTCCTCGGACGACTCCGAGGACGACGCGCCGCGGAACCGGCGCCTCGGTGATGGATGTTTCACCGGTCATGGGGAGGTTTAACCATGAAACATGTGGATATACATCATTTACATCCTTGTAATATCATAAATATATTATTATATTTATATATATACACACTGTATATGTATATAGTGTATATATATATAGTACATACATGTATATGATTTGTATGTATAGTGTATATGAATATAATATATGCATGTATATACATGTATATAATTGATACATGATGGCTTGATGGTTGGTTGATGATGAATCATATAGTAAGTTGCAAGAGGGGGTTAGCATGCTTTAGGCACTACAATCGGGAGTTGATGACCTATTTGGGATTTAAAAAACAACAAAAATATCTGGGGTTAAGATGTTTTCACCATCAAACATTGATGGAGATATGATATATGATTGGTAAATGATTGGTAAATGATGGTTGGTTGATGATTCTAGGTTGGTTCTTAACCTGAAGCACCTGCTGAATTGGGGATTATGATATGACCCCTTGTGGGAAGCCCCATCAACCAGCAAGTATAAAGGAATGACGTTGCAGGTTTTGACCATCTTTGGGTCGAACGGTTGTTTGGAAAGATGATAAGCAACAAAAATGGATGAACATAAGAAGTTCATTGATACAACTAGCGAAAAAGACAAGAGGTATTTGTCATCTTTGTCCACTTCGACCGGAAAATAACACATGACTGTTTCCAACCAAATAGTGTAGTTTGATTAGAGTAGCAAAGAAGAGAAACATGTGTTCCACTTAAATGAAAAGCTGACCGCTAGCCAACTCACCTTGGGATTGAGAATTTGGGGTAAAAATTAGGACCAAGGAAAACACACATTGGAATCCGATTTGGTGGTCCCAATTTGGACCCACATCGGACCCACATCCAAATAGATGAAGATGTGCATAGTTGGGATGGTACAGCCAAAATGCTGGGCACACTTCAGTGCTCGCTGGTTGCTGAACGGAGCTGGTCCTTGTGGTAGCAGATCCAACAGATCCGATTTGTGTAAAGCCTGAACCTGTCCCTACAAGTCTGTGGCAAAGAGGTTCAAAATGCACCAAATATCGAAGTGAAAGGGATATGTTGGGTCCCTCAATTATTCAACCATGGCTTTGACCCAAAAACATGTTCCATGTTTCAAAATGATTGACCCATGTTGAATTGGATCGTCGACAACTCGATGGTTTCTCCCATGGAATTCTGTGAGATACCAAGGATTGGCAACGTTCCTCTGGATTGGTGCCCTCCCAAACCCAGATGCAGCCTCGGTCTCCTCCTTTCAGCTGGTTGATATTTACAAATTATTACAAACTGAGAGACTGAGAGAGGGACGAGAAGAGGTGGCTATGGGACGGTAGTCTTGTTTTTTTGGGAAATGAGGCTGGCCATGTTCAGAGACCACAAGACTTATTAATATTTTTGGTGTAGCCAGTGCCGAGCCATAGGCAGCCATCCCTCCAGGTACAAAGATGAAGACCATGTTGGCTACGACATCGCTGGGGAGAAAGTGATGAGGTCGCAAGACTTTGATGACCTGTAGACTTTCTTGGTGCTTCGATTTAAGGTTTCATGGCAATCCGAGATCTTGATTTCTGTATTGATGTGGCGGTTTCATGTGATTTTCCAGGACACTGTCGACCAGCGAGATCGATGCCCTTCTGGAGAGCAAGGACGAAGTGCAGTGGACATGAAACAAGCATTGCATATCCCTGAATATGTTCATATATATTTCCAGATTTCAATCTATATTTTTACAGTTTTATACATTTATAATAGGTGACACTCACTTATACCAATACCATTTGTTGTTTATTTCTTTTCCCTCTTGAAACAAGTTTCAACCATTCAACTGCGTAGTCAGGACAATCCTGATGCCTGGCGCACCATCAAGGATCACAAAAACCAACGCGAGGCCTGTAGGAGGTTGCAGGCAACGGGTGGACCTGTGGCAAAAATGTGCAGGAAAATTGCCATGAATTCACCATGTTCCATGGCCACAAGCATGAAAAAGGACATGGATGTCCTGCAAAATGGTTAAAACTTCAATATGTATCAATATGTTAACTCCAAAAATATGTGATAGTCAGTGATAGACAAGAACACATCATTTAATCCTCAACCAGATCACCATATTTTTCCATGGGGAGACCATGGTTTTCCATGGCACATTTCCCTTGAAGCAGCCCTGAAAAACAGGGCCAGCTCGCAGGTGGTCCTGACAGACACCGACCTCGAGGTGATCCGGCGAATTCGCCAGAGGACGGGCAAAAATTGCGGGGGTTATTTGCCGAAACAATGCGAAAAAGTTGATATTAATGTTGAATTTCATGTTGATATTTCGTTTCGGTTTTTTGATTAGTGTGATTATGCGTGATTGATGTGTAATTACTGATGTAAATTGGTGATTTTTGATTTCCATCCACAGAAAAAGGGAGGGATGTGATTGGCGGGAGGATAGTTGTAGTTAATGCCAGTTTGTGATATTCTTTGTATGATAGGCAAGCGAGGGCGCAGCGCGGAAGCGGGCAGAAGTGCATAGGCCTTGCATAAGCCAAGGTCCCCCCCATAGGGAAAATCCTCAGTGGAGCAAGGCATAAGCTGCGCGTAGGCACATTCATAGTACCTGTTAATCCATCAGATTGAAGTTTGCATGCCTCAAATTCTTTAACTCTACACTGGACTTAGCTTGAGCATCAACGCATTCAGAGACAGCTGGATCATGGGGTGTTTCGATTTTTTGGGTCAAGTCAGCCGAGGTAATGATTTGGGAGAAACTTGATAGAGGAACACTGGAGAGAACAAGGTAATTATGTGGGAGTGGCCATGAGAAGGTTCAAGGACAAGATGTGTGGAGAGTTTCATCTGATATACTGAGCCCATGCGGGAAAATGTTGCTTCTTGAATTCATCTGAATCTGGTGACATACAGCACGGTTATTTATGATTTGTTCAATGCATTCCTTGAGATTTGCTGGATAAACTGCGGGATAAGTCCCCGTTCCAGCTGCCCAAACGCTTGTGGAGGATGTATCCAAGCATGGGCACGGACACGACTGAGATGGTCGAATTTGATAATCCGGAAGCCCCTGAGCCTGCACGGAGCTGTTGATAGGCAACTCTGGGATCGAGGTCGCACTTCTCATTATGGGGTTCTTTTTTTTTGAGATGGGACTGATGGGACTCTCAGTCTACTCAAAGCGGTTTTAAAAGCAACTGCGACAAACGAATCAGCTGATTGCTCAGATGCGTTTGCAGATTTGTGGCAATGCATGACACCCCTACCTTCTTCTTCCATTCAACGAAAGTTTCAGAAGAACTTGAGAATCAAGTCAGAATCAAGAAATCACAATTTCCCATTTTAGAGAGTACCCAAGCCACAAGCATTAGATTTCTGCCACCATAATTAGCTGCATCCCCCACAGGGGATCCAGCGGGCTGAGGCTCGGATTCATCCCGAAAGCAAAGCGCATCCTCCGAAGTCGCGCTTCTTACCCTCCAAGTGGGAGCGGATGAAGGCGCGGTTGCCGCTCTCGGCTGAAGCTGACTTTCTGAAAAGCTCAGATTCGTGAAGGCCTAAGAAGAAGAAGAAGAAGAAGAAGCACGCACATGTTTGTGTTGCTGATGTTTCGATTGAATATGCTGTATATACTTTACAGGTATATACATACAATATGTATAAGATATATAAGTATTTTATTCTAAGTACATATCAGTATGTGTACATATATACAACTGCATAGCTACTAAAGATATTTGGTATCATAGTTGGGTTAGTCTTTGATGTTACAGTCAACGACTCATGGCAGGTGAAGCGATTGGTGGCACTGCTAAGAGAAGGAAAGATCAGGCGTGGCTTTCACCCAGGTTTCAGGGGTGGATGCGGACCACGATGATGACCATGACTGCAACAAGTTTTCATTGCTGGTTTCTTAAGTCACGGGGGATCCCCAAGTCACCATCAGTTTCAAAATGTTTCAATATGTTTCAATGTGACATTTTGGATGATTTGGGGTACCCCCCCATATTAGGAAACCTCCAATTCATGGCATTCTATGGAGTTCTTCATATTCATTGACCACCATTTGAAATCTGCAGGGCATTTGGCTTAATAGTTTCACATTTCTCCCCTTGGACGTTTCAAGAAATGGGTGGTGGCGCATCCACAAAAGTGGCTCCAGACTTTACCAGCCTCTCCGCGCGGCGGGATGCATGGGAAGCTGATCCCGGACAAGTTCAATCCAGATTCCCTCTGCGATTCTCCTCCTTTGGTCCTCATGAATTCATCGTGGATCTTCCTGAAGGAGTGAATCTACCTCCATGCAAAGATGACCATGACCGACATTTGCGGAACCTCTCATGCTACCTCAAGAAAGTCCGTCGCTGCCCTAAAAAGTTGCTGGCGAAGGTCAATCAGAAGAGGACTGATGACGAGATCCGCAATCAGTGGGAGGACAAGAGGATCTTTGAAGTGATTGTTCCAATTGTTCCCCGACCCAATACCAAGGACCATCAAGGACCCAACCCATCATCAATGATATATCATTGAATTTCAATGATCGCCCGACTTAATGTGATGGCCAGGAGAGGCCCCCTTTGTTTGAAGCCACTGTTGTTGCATTGCAACAACATGCTTGTGTTAATGTTCCATTTCGGAACAGTACTGAGGGATCATTGGGTCAAGAGCCTTGTGGCTGCCGTGCAACTGTGTTTGCACAATCCCTCTAGTTTTTTTGAAGTGTAATGGAACCTCTGAATCACTTCTGCTCCGTGCATGTTTCCTGGAGACTGCACGCGGCGCCACATCCTGAGGTTTTGCATTTACTACCTCGGTCTCAAGAGCTGGAGTTTCTGGTTGAAAAATGAAACAAGGACTCACATGCCGAACGTTTCCAATACTAGGACATGGGTCCAGAAATGTGCAATCATGTCAGAGCAGCACGCACAGCCATCCAAGTTCATCCAAGTTCCAAACAAGAATTCTAAGTTTCAGAAGAATAACAGAATAACTATATAGTATTGTTGTCTTGGAATGTCTTGGACTGTTTTTCACTGGAAATCTAGTTTCAAGGAGATGGATCTCCAATCATTCTCTATGTTGAGGTCCAGTGGCCATCTGACCACATTCGACCATCAACGGCCCTGGCTGTGCCTCCTGACCTGTGGGAGGCATGTCCATTATATATGTATAATGTTGGATGCTGATTAGTGTCGTTCCCCCCCCTCAAACAAGTTTTGGATTCACTTTAAAGTGGATCTTTTTCCGGAGCGGGTCCTCAATAAAATATGACCTCAATTGATTTTCAATTGATTTCAATTGATTTTCAATTGATTTCGATTGATTTCAATTTATGTTCAATTGATTTCAACTGATTTCAATTTACTTTCAATTGATTTTCAAATGATTTCAATTGATTTCAATTGATTTCAATTGATTTTCAATTGATTTCAATTGATTTCAATTGATTTCAATATACTTTCAATTGATGTTCTATTGATTTCAATTTACTTTCAATTGATTTCAATTGACTTCAATTTACTTCCAATTGATTTCAATTTACTGTCAATTGATTTCAATTTACATTGGAGTCATTTTCAATTGATTTCAATTTAGTTTGATTTTATTTTCAATTGATTTCAACTTACTTTCAATTGACATCCCATAGTAATCCCATAGAAATATCATGGAACTCCCATAGGAATGCCATAGGAATCCCATAGTAATCCCAAAGAAATCCCATAGAAACATCATAGAAGAACCATGGGAAAACAATGGAAATCCCATAAGAATACCATAGAATTCCAACGCATCCCTTCAGAAATCCCATAGAAAGCCTCTAGAAATATAATGGAAATTCCATAGGAATCCAATGGAAATACATATACATCCTTTTGAAACCCCATAGGAAGGAATCCAATAGAAATACCATCGACATCCCATAGAAATCCAAAAGTAGTCCCAAAGAAATATCATAGAAATACCATGGAAATCACACAGGAATCCAATAATAGAAGTCGCATAGAAATATCTTAGAACCACCATAGAAATTCCAAAGAAACCTCATGGAAATCCCATAGAATTCCCAAAGAAATCCTCTAGGAATATCATAGTTTTTTTTAAAATCCCATAGGAATCTCATAGAAATATCATAGAAACCCAAAAGGAATATCATGGACATCCCAAAGAAATCCCATAGAAATATCATAGAAATACCGCAGAAACTCCATAGGAATCCCACAGAACTACCATAGACACACCTTTAGAAACACCATAGAATATCATAGAAACAAAATGGAAATTACATAGAATTTCCATCGCTTTTTTTTTATAGAAATCCCATAGAAACACCATAGAAATCAAGGAGAGGATGCCAGGAGAATTGAACTGAGTAAGAGACAAAAGCTATGGCAAAGGAAAGGAAAAAGGATTTTTGTAAAAAAAAAACATGTCAATAAAAAGCTGGACACAACAGAGGACCCACACAACAAACATACTATTGAAGATCATGGTCATTCATGAATGTTTTTGGTTGGCTGAAGTTCATCCTTTGGACAAACCTTTTGGTTTTGATTCCAAGAAGAATGGAGCTAAGTAAAAGAAAAAAGCTTTAGCAAAGGAACGGGTAAAAGGAATGTATGAACATTTTTCACCTCAGGCAGCAGCTGGACACAATAGTGGGCCCCCACAACAAACATACTATTGAGGATCAGGGTTGCTCATGGACTACCCCCGGGAAAAATTGTTTGGCTGCGTGTTTTTTAAAATTACTTTACTTCGAGTCATCCCCACCATGACATTTATACGTTTTGTTGCTGGCAAATCTTCTGCCATTCTATCTGACATATCTTCTGGCATTCGATCTGGCATATCTTCTGGCATTCTACCTGGCATATCTTCTGGCATTCTATCTGGCATACCTTCTGGCATTCTACCTGGCATATCTTCTGGCATAGTTCTGGCACTCTATCTGGCATATCTTCTGGCATATCTTCTGACATTCTATCTGGCATTCTATCTGGCAAATCTTCTGGCGTTCTATCTGGCAAACATTCTGGCACTTTATCTGGCATACCTTCTGGCATTCTATCTGACATTCTATCTGCATACCTTCTGGCATTCTATCTGGCATATCTTCTGGCATTTGTTCTGGCATATCTTCTGGCACTCTATCCGGCATATCTTCTGGCATATCTTCTGGCATTCTATCTGACATTCTATCTGGCATATCTTCTGGCATTCTATCTGGCCGTTGAGGTCCAGCGGTGCTCACTGAGCTCGGAAGGTCCCAGGTTGAGGTCCAGCGGTGCTCACTGAGCTCGGCGGGTCCCAGGTTGAGGTCCAGCGGTGCTCACTGAGCTCGGAAGGTCCCAGGTTGAGGTCCAGCGGTCCTCACTGAACTCGGCAGGTCCCAGGTTGAGGGCCAGCAGACCCTGTGCGTTCAGACCCTTCCATTGAGGTCCAGCAGTGCCCACTGCGTGCGGAAGTTGGCGAAGAGCTTGGCGAAGAGTTGGCAAGGCGGAAGTGGACATGGAAGTGGATGCAGAGGTGGTGGAGGAGAAGGAGGAGAAGGAGAAGAAGGAGAACAACTCTGATAAAATCTAACAACCCTCACCTGGCAGGTGGGGAAAAATGGGTTTTAAAAAGGCATCATATATTTTGGGAAATTGGACACTCCTGTGAATTCCAAAAGAATGGAACTAAGAAAGTAAAAGAAAAAAACTTTAGCAAAGGAACGGGTACAAGGAATGTATGAACATTTTTCACCTCAGGCAGCAGCTGGACACAATAGTGAACCCCACAACAAACATACTATTGAGGATCAGGGTTGCTCATGGACTACCCCCTTGAAAAATTGTGTGGCTGTTTTTTGGGGTGATTTTAATTAGGCATCATATATTTTGGGTAATTGGACATTTTTGAGAATTCCAGAAAGTAAAAGAAAAAAACTTTAGCAAAGGAACGGGTAAAAGGATGTAAAAGGAATGATTGAAAATTTGTCACCTCAGGCAACAGCTGGACAAGAGAGGACCACCACAACAAACATATTATTGAGGATCAATATTGCTCATTGACTACCCCCTTAAAAAGTTGCTTCTTCAGACAACAAACACATATTCATCAAATATTTCAATACTGTTTCAAAAATAAGAAAAATAAAATTTATGAAAAAAAAACAAACGAAAAAAAAAATAATGTGAAAAAATAGTACCAAAAATAAACTTTACACAATAGTGGAACCCTCAATCAATTCCACTGATCCATAATAATTTTGGAAAAACTTGTCACAATAGTGAATCCTCATACTAATCGGCGTCCAAAATTAAGATGTATCAAAATATGTTTGAGATTGCATGACGCCACATGACGCCACTACCTTTCAATGGCCTACTGCCGCAATTTTGTGTCTGCGCAAGGTGTTTTTTACTTTTATTGTGAGAATTTTGGACAAGCATCTCCGTGCCAGAAAGTGCCCAAGAAGTTCTGCTAGTTTAGACGAATAGACGAATGTGGTAAACCAAAGAATCAACCCCATAATTTTGGTTATTAAGACATATTAAAACCCTAAGAAAGTAAAAGCAGAGGGGGCAGTGGTTTATTTCATTTAAGGTTTACCACGTTAGTCTATTCCTCATTGGTTGTAAGCACCTTGTGTAGATTTTTTCATGGCAGCCCCTGGCTGCCGGTGCAACCCTGCTATCATGGCTGCCAATGCAGCACGTCGTGCTAGCCCCAGCTCATGCGTTGGTTAGCAAATCTGCAGATCACCCAATGGTTTTAAATTACCAACATCTTATTTGACAATAAAACAACTGTTTGGTAACCCAAATTCAGGTCAGCTGGGTTTATTTTTTACGTATTTGTTTTGTTTTCTACTTATCCCAGTCCAAGTTTATTCTGTTCATGTTTAGTGCGCCTCCCGGCGCTGTAAAGGCAGTATTGAAGAAAATCTCTGGGTTTCACTTTGAGTGGCCAGACTTACCCAGTCTTTGCGCTCTGTACACGTGAATGCATACAAACATACACCAGCGAGTCTGCAAGATGCTATGACCTGTGCCCATCCAAGCATTCTTATGTTGAACCATGCAATTCCAAATGAATCTGCAGATTCTTTTGCCCACGCTGTGCTAGAAACTGGATTTAAGCTTGGAATTTGCCTCGCAGCCATCGGCAGTAGCTTCCCATAGACATTAGAAGCATAGCTGGCCGTTGGTGAAATTGGGGAATTTGAATTTTGCGACTGTCGTGCCTGGCACTTGTCGGGACTGTGAAGGACAGGTGCCACAGAACACCACGACTGCAGTGGCTTATTTGACCATGATGATCCTGTTTGATTTAGGTAGACCCTCCTGAGGAAGACCAGAAAGGTATAAGTTCTCATGCAAACAATATACTCGTACATATTTAATTTATATCATATTATATTGTACTATTTACAGTAGTTTATATGATATTATACATAATATGTATATGTATATATGATTATATATATATGATATTATGTCTATATATGTATGTGTATATATATATGATATTATTTTTATATATATACATATATATATATATGTATGTATATATATATACATATATATATATATGATATTATGTTTTGCTATTTTGTAATTGTGATATGTGATATTCTATTATCATATTATCGTCCAGTATAATTTACTATACAAACACATGTATATCAATCATATTCTTTTATATGTGAAACAAATAAATGTAGTTATATATCCTATCTTGTGGGTATTACACCGGGAGGGAACCCGAATCAGATGATCCGAAAGTGTTTTTAGGCTCTGCTTTTGTCATATCCGAGATGCAATTGCTCCAAGCTGCGCAGGGAGTTTGAACGCGAACATGCAAGACCCAGCGCTATCGGAACCAGGGGCACGAGAGCTCTCGATGAACTTGCGCATCGCCATTTGACGCGGAAGGAAAGTGATGCATGGTGCTCGTCCTGGAATGAGTTTTCATGGTCCAACATGGACTGGCTGGTGGTTTGGAACATTTTTTATGTTTCCATAAATTGGGAATAATAATCCCAACTGACTTTCATATTTTTCAAAGGGGTTGAAATCACCAACCAGTGGAAGGGAAGAAGTGCGATAGTTCATCTGAAGATTCTTGGCAATGCTCAGGTTCTTTTTCAATTTCAAGGGAAATCCAAAGCCCACACAAAATCAGTGTCACTCCACTCGATGTGCAATGGCCCTGAAGTTCCAGAAGTAGGCTGAATGATATTTGTCTTCCAGAAATGATGTATAACATTGTATAACTGTATACCCATTATAGAGCCCCAAGATCCTCTTTTGCCTATGGGGAAAGTGATTTTCTAGTCAGCCTGGTTTTTAACCCAATGTTGATCAATTCCCTGGGTCCATAGGTTTTCAATTCCCGGATGTCCAACATTTACTCGGTCAAATCCCACTTAATTTCCCATTTTTGTAAAAAAAAACAACACATTTCCACATATATACCCCAATTGGTGATGCTTAAATCAATGAAATCATCAGATGATCTCCATGTTTGCACATAGTTTGCAGGATGTTTTTATCGTATATTGTTCATCATCCATAACATATTATAACATTATCATAACACATTTTATACAATAATAGATGGTTGTAAGAATTATGGTTATAATACCACTATAATTATGTTATTATAACATTGATAACCATCTATTTTGCTTGCTTCAATCGTCCCTTTTAGTCCACGGTTCCAACATGGCGCCGCCAGGCCGCCTCCACCACCAGCACCAGAGGTCTTTGATCTCTGGGCAGATGATGCAAAGCCACGACGCAAGGCGCTGGGCAACAAGTTCTTGAAAGACGCAGTAAAGATAATGTAATATATATATATAGTCTATAGTATATACATGCAAATGTAGTTATATCTTATTCTAGTTACATCTAGAATCATATAATATACTTACACACACACATATACACGTTAAACAAATCTATGCATAATCTATGTTACTTAGTTTGTATATGTATCTACGTATATATATATATACACATACATGTAGAAGTAGTTTGACATGTCATCCAGCATGCTTTTCCTGCAATCATCACAGAATCCTGGAGGAAACGTGATGTTATTATGTCCATTTGAGCCATTAAACATACCATGGTTGATTGTTTATTATAGGGGGTCATCCTACCTTTTATCTACATATTTCGGACTATTATAGTCCTGAATATGGATACCTATTAAATCCATTTAAATCCTATTAATCAACCAGTGCAATGGGATCGGATACATAGATATACACAGGGCATTTTTCATCTTTCATTTGTTTGGCCCTAGTTGTAGTGGCAGTTTAAACCATTGCAGGCATTGTAGCTAAAGGATCACCACAAGGGCGCAAGATGCGCACGATTGGTGATGTTACCTCTATACTTGGCCCGTTTCTCCCCCAAACGTATTTGGGGTGGCCAGGGAGCAAGCTGCTTTGCCATGGCTGGGAGCAAGACTTCACCAACTAAGCCAAAACGCACCTAGGTCATGGTTGGCTTCCCTGAATACACAATCGAATTTAACCATCATCTGCAATTCCACTGGCAACTCAAAAAGAAAACATGCATCTGGCGGTCTTGCAGATGATAAGATCTATGATACGATACCGATACATGCTATGACACAAATAAATAGTATGATATTACATATGCACATGTATATATACATCATATTTTACACAAAGTATGATCATATAGTATGTTTATATATATATAGAGATATATATATATATACATATATATACATATATATATATATACATATATATATACAATAATGATAATAGTATATGATATGTCTATTGCAATAAATGATGTTCCATGTTTTTGTGATATGATCACCGAGGAAGTGCTGCCAGCTTCGCCGCTTCGCCAGGCACCTGTGCCTCTGCCGGCACCGAAGATGGCCCTGCCGGGGCATGCCGAGTCGTACAACCCACCCAGCGAATATCTCTTCACCGAGGATCGTTGGCCAACCGTTGTGATGTTTGATGAGTGTTCCTGATTTGAGGTGATAGTTTTTTCAGGTTTGTCTTTTCGATGTTGGGTGATATTTGGTGATGATTGGCAACCTCTTGGCCTTGGGAATACACTAAGAATCACCAAAATCATCCGCAGATCATATCCAAATCATCTCCAGAACCATATTTCCATCATGTTTTATCATGTTTTATCGATGAAATCCACCGAGTTCGCTTGGCTTTTCTTTGGGCCATTGCGACTTGACCTCAGATGTGCCCTATTTTGTGCCTTTCCCAAAGGAGGAGAAGAAGGAGTGGGAAGAGACCTTTGAGCAGGTTCCGACACATGGGACGACATGATTTGTCCCCATGGGGACAGGATCTCATGAGGTGATACAGTCGATTCTGATGAGAATTGAGGAAAATAAAGATAATTATGTTGAACATATATGAACAAATATTAAAAATGATATATCATATATCATTGATGAACATATTAAATATATCATTTTGCTTTCCAGCTCATACCAAGTGTTCAATTGATACAATTCTAGATTGACATTGACATACATGTCATTACTGCACAAAGTATCAGACCGAGATGATATGATATTGGTCAGTAGCTTTGATCAGCTTGATACTCTGCTGGCTTCTTTGGGAGCCATGGCAGGACCGAACAATAACGCACTTGCCGCAGAAGTTCGACTGCTTGCGACATGTCCCGGGCTACAAAGACTTCATGGTGGAACGCTTCAAGAGGCCGTTTTGGGTGGATCATTGCTTCGGGGCTTCTACTAATTATACTACCTTTTTCTTTTTGGGTGGATTCTCACGGTCCACTATAAGTTTCTGATCTGTTTGTCACTTCGTAATCTTTGTATTTTGTTTCAACTCTGTATAGTGTAAGCAGTTTCTTGACATATATCAAGAATCCTATAGCTATTGTTTGGACGTCTTGGGCACTGGGTTTCAATGATTTGAGCCGCAGAGCGGCCGCTGGATCAACAAAAGTGAATCCCAAAATAGGGGGAATTACTCTATGGAGGTTTCCTAAGTCATAGGGGTGCCCCAAAAATGCATGGTTTACCATGGAAAATCCTCAAGCGGATGATGACTGGGGCTACCCTCATTGTAGGAAACCTCCATGTATTATATATATAATATTATATACATATATATATATATATCAATTATTATCATATTCCCATTATACCCCTAATATTGATATATATATATATATAATTATACCATTATACACCCCCTAATATAGCTTTTGAGTAGAAGAGATCTGACCTTTGGGGACTAGCTTTTCTCTCGCAGGTGTTTGGACCTCTATTTGGTCCCCAGAGCTTTGAAGCAGCGGATGAATGTGGATCCTGATCCTTGGCGTGGATTTTTACCGTGAAAAATAGGGATCATGAAAATCGTCTATTCAATGGATTGATTTAGGGGAAAATCTGGAGGAATCCATCAATTTTCAATGGTTTTCAGATGAAGTAAGGGGTTTCCTGCAAGTGTTCCCTTAAGTCAATCCATTGATCTATGTTCATGGGCCATCTATAAAATAGCTGTTCAATTACTGCAGGGTATTTGTAGAGAAGCAATGATCTTGGATCGGCCCTTTGATGGCACCCGTGCAGATCTAGTTCTCCAGCCCTGTGACAAGTATGGTATGATTCACAATGAAAGGGAATTAACAGTCACCAAAAGCTGGTTGGTGGTTTGGAGTATGTTTATGTTCCATCATATTTGGGATGATGATCAGTTTTTTCGAGGCTCTTTATTTCCTTTGGGGTTGGCTCAACCAACAACCAGAGTTTGTCACAACAAATACTGTAGTACAGTAGCACCCTAACAGTTTGCTTTCGAAAATAGCCCATTTAGATAGATGATAAACCTAGGACCAGCATGGGCTGACTGTCATGGCCATGTCAGTTTACTGGAGGGCAGATATCCAAAGATCAATCAACCGTCTTCACTTGCTCATCATGGCAGCGTTCAGGAGAGTCTTCTTCCAAAGCTCCCCAGCCCCAAGGACGGGGAGAAGACTGGCAGCTTCAGCCGGGAAGCATTGTGAAGCTATAAGAGCAGAGTTCAATAATGACAAGCTACAATGCTAGGTACCGAGTTAAAGGTGGGCTTTTAAATCGATTCATGCTCGCGAAAGCAAAATGGAAAGTTACATGGCCAAAACCTCGCACATGTTCGTTCAGCACAGGCCTTGAAACAGGATGTTGAGCTTTGCTCAATGAGGCTTAAGGCTTAAATATTATGAATGTCATGAAGGCAAAGCAGCAGCAAAAGAAACTATACATCTGATGTTATAATATTTTAAATATACATATATATATGTATATAGAAGATATACAAGCATTTAACTTTGTTGTTTGTCATTCTGATGAGTCGCTCGCCACGTTTTTTCCCACATCTTTTAGACTATGCCGCAGCTGGATCCCTTCTCCAGTGGGGAGGACCTCCGGCCGTTTCCCACGCACATCTCGGTGAGCTATGAGGGCCACTCCGGCATGGTGCGGGCTGTGGCGGTTGAGGCCGGACCTTGGATGGACTTGGGGGAGCCATGCAACTTATCCCCCTGGCATTCTGGCAAGAAAAATGGACGCATCAACCCACAGGTGCTGCTTATTGGTACTCTTTAGGTTGGTTGACTCAATGCTTGGGGGGTACGAAGCATTTGCATTGTCAAACATGTTTTTGTTGATGTCAACCCTCAATAAAATTTGATATACTTTGGTTGATTAACTCCGAGGTACCTCACCAAATTGCATCAAATCGTGATAATCTGATACTAAAGTGGGAACCCCCCATTGAACAGCCCGGGGTTTGTTCATTTGGGGTTGACATTGTTCAAGTACTCATTCCTGTTGTGTCCGTTGGAGAAAACAGCTATTTGGGCTGGTCACAACATGGGATCAGGATCCTGATCCCAAAGAATTTCCTGATTTACCGGCATAGGAACTCTGAGATTATTTTGCCGAAGGACCGAAGGATGTTTTGGTGATATGAAAGTCGATCATTTTGGGGAAACCATGGGTGTTCTATGGTTTTCTTGTTTTTCTTAATGGTTTTTGCACATCTACGTTTCACGGACGAGGCCTCTGGTCGATATCTGGCAACTGCCTCGTCGGACGAGACGCTTCGCATTTGGGAGGCGGGAGCTGGTTTTAGTAGGAATGGGGGTTTATCTGATAAGTATCAAGAACTTGGGGAATTATTGTATAACAACGGATAAGGATTACTGGATATTACTGGACTTTTTGAATAGTTGCATAGTTTCTTGAATCTTTCTTGGGATAGAGATTACAACAGCGAAGTATCTGATGATGTTTCAGAACGTATCAGAATTGATTACTGAATGCTAACATTTTTTCAACCTAGGAACTCGGATGAACTCGGGATTTAACGGCAACTCAGAGACGAACTGAGCGATTTCCAACGGCCTTTTCCAATTGGCCAATTGGTGTCTTTAGGATCTTTAGGGGCAAAAAGAATCCATTCAGCGGGCTTTGAAGACCAAAACTGCAAGACTTGCGTGCTCCAAGATGGCTCCAAGATGGGGGTAATGACTTGGAATCAGCTCTACCGACTCCAGGTTCCAGCTCATGAAAAACATCCCCTATCGCTATCCATGGTTTGGGAGGCTATCCGCTCACCAAAAGCCAACCGTACATTAAGGCGGTCTAATTTGCAAACCAGAAACGGCTTGTCACTGTCAGTCACCCTACACTTTTTAAAAAATCGCTGAGTCAAGCCGCTGGGGTTGGTTTGACGACTAACAGCTGCGGTATCAGGTGGCTACTGGCCGTCCAATCCGAAGTATCAAGTTCAGCCACCTGGCTGCAATGAGGGATTGAGCATGATGGTAGTTTCAGCTGGAAGTTGTTGTTAGCCTTTGCTACTCCAGCTAGCTGAGTACTGGTGTTCATTCCACAGTTCACATTCAATAGTTCCTTTACCATCCCTTACCCATATTGTTCCATCAAATCTCTATGAAATCAGATATTGAATCAAATTGAATCCCTTTGAGTTTCCATCACATCCAGCAAATCACCTTAAATCCCTATGAAATCCCCGTGAAATCCACATTTTTGATGCTTAGACCAAGGCAGCGCAGTGACAGCTGTAGCCTGGAACCCGCAGCACCTGTTGCTGAGTGTGGCCGCGGAAGAGGTGGGGATCACAGGAAAACCATGGAAAAATCACCAAGCAAAAACATGGAAAGATGGTAACCTCCCCCAAAAAGATGCTGATTGGCTGATTGTTTCAATGTTTTTTTAGTGTGTCCAGGATGGTAACCTGGTAGTTGGATGATGTGGAAACATCTGGAAAACCACATATTTCATGCTGCGTTTCCCACTTTTCAGCATCCGTTTTTGCGGGATTCATAAAAGTGATTTATCACTCTTTTAGTGGGATTTGGATTTTCTATCTTTTTGGGGTGTGCTATAATGATGGTGTTTTATAGTATGTTGGTATCCATCAAGAAATGATGACTTAACCATACTTAACGACAAATATGGAGGTATAATGGGGATATTATTGTGTTATAATGGATGACCATCTATGAATATCTATGAATAACAATGATGAATGATGTGGTAAACGCGAAAAAAAACATGAATTTTAATTGTTGGGGATTTAATTACATTTTCGATTTTGTTAGGGATTCCAACATGATGAATTTTCGATTTGTTTAGGGATTTAATTAGAATTGGCCCTGCAGTGGTGTGCGTATCAAAAGACGATAATGAAAGAATCCAACAAAATAGCACGATATATTGTTACAATGGGCCGTAATCAGCAATGGGCCGTAGTCAGCAATAATGGATCGATAAAGGATAAATTATAACCACCTCACGTCGCGACGTCACTAGAATGATAGGATTTGTAAAGGTAACATGAGGTAACTATCCCCAAATCACTGAACTTATTCAGATGAACGAATATGAATTATATCAAGGATATCTAAAGATGATTTGAAGTCTATGTGTGTATATATAATGTTTGTCGTTATGGAGAGATCTATATGTGTATTAGTAACAGAACATTTGTTTGATGGGTATCAATGTCAGTAGTGTGTATACTGTATATAATTCTACATATATATATATATATACACATGTGTATAATTCTACATATATATATATATACACATGTGTACATAATCCCTCTGGGGCGGATGATCGCCCAAAGTCTTTGTCCCTCCTCAAAGCCGAGCTATTCTCCGGCTGGGTCCATTTCTGAATAAATGCGACTGGCGATCAAATCGCGTCAGAAAAATCGTGTAATCGTGTAGCGGAATAGATTTTAGAGCCCGTAGCCTGAAAGCACCCCTGACCTCAATGCATGCCAGCTTTGATGGGTTATATTACATATTGCAATTCAACGATTTTCGGATGCCCCGCAAATAAGCAAAAATACCCGTGCGCATGGTATTACTGGCATACCTTTGAAGCCCTGGCTACATCTTGTTTGACCGGCGGCAGCGGTAGCTACATATTCGAGTCGGCCTAACTTGCGCCGAACTCGGGCCAGTTGGCTCCAATTTGGGCCCGCAAGTTGTGCTTAACATGCGCAACTTGGTCCTGTGCGGGGGCATCTGGCTCCGAAGTTGGGCCCAAGACATCAACTCCAAGTGGCAACCCTAGAGTTGCGCCGCCACCTTTTTCTTTTGGCATACAGCAAAAGCAAATAACAATGTATAAACGGAGACGGGGATCTGCAAGCAATTGAGTGCTTGACAGAGCTTCAAAGCCAAAGATCGACCAAAGATCTGAGTAGCTACATGACATTGCCGTGAAGCCTTCTGAGTCTGGCACCGTGGTCCGACTGGACGTGTGTCCACACCTTGATCTCAACATGGTTGTGTTGTGCTGCTGCTAACAGGAAACTATGCCCAATTTTCCCAAATACTACCTTAATTGTTTTGGCATATGTTTGGTTTTTGATCAGGTGCAATTTGGCTATGTATATATATATATATATACACACTATATACTATATACATCTATATACTATGTACACACGCATATATATATATATATACACACATATATTATGTGTTTTTCTTTTTTATGAGTATATATATATATATATTAGGGATTCTATATATGGTATAAACGGACATGATATACACATATAGATACATGGTATGTATATATATATATACGTAGTATACAACGTGGTGCCCCCTGGTATTTAGTTGTTGTTTAAACACCGTTAACTGTAGATAATAGCTACCCTAAACCGTCGAATTCACCTATTTATAAACCAACTCAGGTAACTATGTGGCACCACCTCCTAACCATAGCTATAATGGTTATATCCCATCTTATATTCTTTACAACATGTTACAACCATGGTTTTACACAGTTGTCACCTCCACTGCATCCCACAAATATTGTATGCATATAATTGTTATTGTATACGTCGCATAGAAGTCGGTGCCCCTGGTTATAAGTTGGTGTAAAAACCCCATTAGGTATAGATATATCTACAATAGCTACACTTGTTGCCATTCCATTCCTTGGCGGTGCTTTCTCCAGAACGTTTTTTTCCTCGATCCGGGCTTGGAGCTGCAGGCCGCTGGGTGCCGGAGTTACCAGTGTTTTTTCCCAGGTTTAATGGTCATTTCATGGCGGTTTAATGAACAAACCAACCATCAAAATATAGGGAGAACCATTGGAAAATGGCAATTTCATGGGACTCAATGTGGGTTTTGTAGGAAAACCAATATACTCAGTTATATGACTAAAAGTCAGATGTATACTAGTAAACACGATATATAAATGCGGATATGATGGTATGTACAGTATATCAACTGTGATATGATGGATAGGTGCTTCCAAAACTGGGTTATTGGCCCCCCTCAAATTACTGTTTGAATCGGGAAGATCATGATTATCAACACATTCAAACCAGTGGATTTGAGGTGTTGCCCCTAAATTTTCAAACCCAAATGGCTAAGGCGGATGAGGCAGATACTGGGTAGAAACAATCACCAACATGCTTACGCCGCTGATGAATATTTAATGAACTGTTGTGCCTGAAACTGGTGTTTGCCGAAGCTATGCTAAGCACGTGCAAAAAAAATGAATGGTGAACATGATGATAAAACCTTTAGAGTAAGGGTTTTCCAGGGTTTTCCCCGACGTTGTCAGAGGAGTTGAGGAGTTGACACAGCCCAAATGCTGTCCGACATTTCACTCCAGGCGAGCAGCGACATCTCCACTGAGGCGGACATTTGGAGTAGCCTCTGCTGAGCGAAGATGGCTGGAAAATCCTCTATAAATCGATGTTTTTTTTATGGGCAAATCTGGATAAATGATGATAAATGGGTAATTGGTAATTGTCCATTGCCACGTTTGACTACCGGAGGATATCCTAATCTCGCAAGTCCAATCATACCATGTCCTACCAGGTACCCCCCATCCTGTCTCTTCAGGATGGAACTGAGACACCAGTCACGATCTCATCTTTGCTGGAGTTTAAGGAGGTTGGAGATCTTGGCCGACAGTGTGTTGAGTTATGCCATACCCTCCAGTAATCAAACATATCTGGGAAAATTGCCCACTGATAGATGATTTTCGTGGTTTGATGGGACTTCAATGGAAAATATTATGGGATATACAATAAGCAATAGCTGGGAAATCCCCAAGAATGGAGGTCCAAAAGGTGGGAAAATCATCGCTCAATGGGGGAACTTTCCATTGCCATGTTTGAGTATCGCAGGGCAACCTGGATTTGCAGAATATGTGTTGCGATGATTTCCGATCGCTTGACCCACTAGGGCAGTCTGCAAATCCAAGATAAGCTGGGATCTTTTGGGTGGAAACAAGGCATGTGAAAGGAGAATGTGGTGGGGTCTATCACTAGAAAATCTAATGATTGGGTGTGTCCAAGAATTCGGGGGTTACCCCGAATGTATATAACGTGATTCATGGGGGCATTTTGAAGCGGAAAACGATGATTTACAGTCAATTTTTTGGGTACGCGGGTAGCCGATTTTCAGACAAATGTAGTTGGTCGAAAGAAAAAAGGAGACCATGGATTGTCTTGTAAAATATAGGAGGGGGGGTCCTGTAAATTGGCCTTGAATGGCCTTGAAAAACAACTCTGGGATGACCAGCTTGACGTTAGGATAGTCGTAGCCTTGTAGATCCCTAGGTCAATCACCTTGGCTCTTCTTAATAATGATTTTCTTCACAAGCACATTGATTGTCAGAGGATTCCTCGTTGAAACCAACCATGCGGATGGACGTCGTTAGAAATGCGCCACACCCTGTGCAGATGTGTGAGTATTCACCGTTTGGTGGAACCTATGCCCGGGGGGAAGACCAACCAGTGCATTCATGCCATGTCCCTTTCTTTTTGGCTTCTTTGTGGAAATGGTTTTGGCTGCAGCTGTTAACTTCAAGCCTTATGTATTTATCATGTTGCCTGAAATGTTTCATGTTTCTTCGTCATGCATGTGCACATGTCAGGCATGAAATACAGAGTAGACTCTAGTAGACAGTCGCAGATAAGTCTTATCTATGTGTCATTAGTGTTTGAATGCAGACTTCCATACATAAGTGCCGATTTGTTCGTCTTTTTTGCACGTTTTTCATTTGAGTAGCATCAAAAACCTCCATGAAAGGAGTTTGCATTCGGATTCATAATGTGGGGAACCCTCCGTGAAAGCAAAACCTCCACGCGCGAAAGCTCCGCGAAAGGAGTGTGCCAAAGTCGAGCCGTGAAAGCAGCGGCGAAAGCAGATAGATAGTAAAAATTATAAACGCAGTCAAATATTCATGTGCGACATCATTTACGGACAATTTTCCGCGCAAACCGCGCAAGAGATTACGAAACAAATGTCGCCGCGAAAGCTTCAGGCCGCAAAGCCTGCGGATGGAGAAGAGAATGAGGAGCCCTGCGCATTGGAACGCCGTTCCACTGGAGGGGTTGGTGAAGGATTCCCATAGTGAGCTCTAATTTTATTCCATTGTCCATAGTATTTTGGTGACCTATGGACCTATGATGTTTATGAGGGATACATCCATAGTATTTCCATAAACCCACCGGAATGTTTGATGCTGATTGTTTTGAGATGGTGTTGTTGGATTGCCATTGATGCCAAGTCCCTTTACCATCCGTTTTTCACATAGCTACAGAACATTGCCCAATTATAGATTCCACATTTGGCAGTGTGTCAAAACCTTGTACCCCTGGTGAACATCAAAATAGCTGGTAAATGGATGTTCATTCCCCTAAAAATGGTACTTATAGGTATTGACCCATACCCATTTACCATCATTTACCATCATTTAAGATGGTGAGTTTCCCCACATATCTCCGCTAGGAGCCAACCGCTGCCAAAGCCAAAGCCGTGCATTGGCGTCAAGTCCTTGCGGATACGCCGCAGTATGCCGCTGGCTGCAGGCCGGCTAGACCTTGAACCAATCATGGCGATGGTGTTTTGAATGTGGGAACGTTGAACTTCCCCACAACTGAATGGTGGATTTCTATGGATATATTATATATGTATATGGTAACGACATTTAAATATGTGGAGGGCGGGCCAGACCGCGAGGCCCCGGAGGTAGTATGAAATACAAGTTCGTATATTCTAATGCAGTTGCCGTATGTTTAAATGAATTGGACTCCGTATGTTTAAATGGCCGGGCGGGCCAAGGAAAACCTTCCCGGAGGTAGTCTAAAATACCTGTATATTTAAATGTAGTTACCATATATATATATATATGGATTTATAATCGTTATGATGATTTATGTGCTTTTCACCCAAACATAGGAATCATGCTCCCATTTGACAAAAAAATAACCAATCTGTTGCTGTGTTGAAGCAACCAGAGGGGCCCCTAGCAGCATCTTGATGGTCTCGCGGATTTTCCCTGATCCTAACGTGATGTTTGTCGGTTTCAAAAAACCATCAACTGTACGTATAGATATCATATATATAATATGTATAATATTTATATATTTACACTGTGCTATAGATCATAGCAAATATACTTGTGAGCCAAGGACCTATGATTATTATGATTTGTGTTAGCGATCCGTCGATAACCATGGTTTACTATTACCATAACATACTATTAGTCAAATAACATGTATCATAGACATTCATATTTATATATTTACAACCATAGAACCGAAGTACTTAGTAGTGACTCAACAGCCAGTGACTGGTGCACAGCCCATTGAGGCTCTGTATCTCCACGGATGGAGATGTTCAGCATTTGGTGTGGCACCACAAAGGGAACTACTGCGCAGCAGTGAGTCCCAAGGCTGGGCGTGGTCATCAATCCATGGGTTTACATTGAGTTCACATAGCCATTATGTTTGGATTCCCGTGTTTTGGGATGAATGACCATACCCCAGCATGTTTAAATATGTGTTGACTATCGGACAGACATATATATATATATATAATATAGTTATATATATATACACAGTATGTATACAGCAGTATGTATACACTGATTGAATACATCCAAAACAGGCAACTTTAGGGCCGTGGATGAAAGGTAGCAGAAAAGTGGATATAGATTGGAAAGGCGCCTGAAACCACATCACTCTTGTTTCACATCATCGCAAAGAGCCGAAAAGCGGGATCCTGAAGGCAGCATAAATGTTTTGAGAAGAAGCAATATGTGGATACAATGAGCCTGGCAATGCGACACATGATACCACATGTAAGATGCTCAGACCCCGACTTCAAGTACACAGACCAACGTTGACCCATCCCTGTCAATTTGAGCAGTGTTGAAAACCACAGTTGGTTGAGAATTGTAGGCGGGTTATACCACCCAATATATTGGACATTATCACATGTCATTATATCATCCACTATTGGGAATCCCTATTCATCGACCAATAGTGGATGATATGTGATAATCATGTACAATCCCTAATCCACCAATATTAAGAAGTGTTCCACTAGTGGAATGGCAGAGGGTTTTGGACACTGCTCAATTGATACCCTGCAGGCGCGTGCAACTTCCAACCAGTGCATCATCCATGCAGCGCTCCCAGTGCTGACGATGGAGGACTCAGGATGAACACATAAACTTTGGCGCCAGGTATAACCCAGAAACTAGAAGCATGTTTTTTTTGACACCAGTACCAGGTATTTTATTGTATGTTGTTTTAGCAAGTTTGATCCTTCACCTGTAGTTTAAGCTACTATTTACCCTTCAAAAACATGTTTTCTTTCATTCGCTTTCCATATAGATATACACATGATACAATATCATAGAAATGTCATGTCCGATTATGCAAATGTACAAAAATTAATGTCCATCACAAAATACCATCGTTTCGTTCCCCCATTGATGTCCAAGGCCGATATCCCGGATGTTTTTTTTTTTTGTGACTCCCATCCGCGGTGACAAGGCCTTGAACCAGCAGAAGTCCATGCGGCCCTTCGCGAAGCTTCGAGGGGGGCAGCAGGTGCAAAGTTGCGCCTTTCATCCCTCCAAGTGGCTCGACATCGCTCGACACTGGACATGTGAAAAATCAATGGTTACTACAACTGGGTTGGAGAATTTGGAGACCATGGGAATATGGAAAAATCATGGAAAAATCCTAAATCAGTTGGCGTCATTTTCCTTCTTCAGTTGGCGATTTTGCCAGTATACCGTCTACCCCGTTCAGACACCCACATCAAGGTTTGTGCCAGGCAGTTCATAGACTTTTGGTCCAAAAAAGAGGCCAATTCGAAGGGTATGAAGAAGGAGGCCACATCATGGCTGGTTGGACTGGCAGATGGGGAAAATGGATCGAGTCCAATCGGATTTGGTGTTTGAAATTGATAGTCCCTTAGCATCGGATGATTTATTGCTAAAGTCATTTAGAATGGCTATAAATGAATAGAAATGACTAAAATATCAGAAAATCTCCAGGTTCTTTGGCGAACACTTCTCATTTTCGTCAGCGCCCAGGCCACATTTCATGGTGGCCACGATGCGCAGCGTGCGCATCTATGACCTGCAAAAACAGCTGCCCGGCGGAGTTGAGGTAGTAAAAATGATGTTTACACTTGATCATGGGCTTCATGACATGTCATCAGCCATGGATACATCATATATATATATTGTATTATATTATGTTATATTATATTATATTTTATGTGATTCTATTTGATTATATTATATTATGTTATATTACATTATATAGAGTATATTATATATTGTATATTATATTATATTATAACATATTATATTATATTATATTATATTCTGTATTCTATATTCTATATTCTATATTCTATATTATATATTATGTATTATATATTATATATTATATTATATCATATTATATTATATTATATTATTTTATATTATTTATTATATTATATTATATTATTTATTATATTATATATAATATATATAAACTATACCATTATGATATTCTATATTTCTGATATACGATTGTATTTTTGGTTGTTACCAATGCCAGCCATAAATATATAGAGCTACGATGTGTGAAATACACATTTAAAATCATCAAAACACTTTAAACCAGTGAACTGGTTCCAGATCCATTTGGAACAAGAGAAATCTGCATTAGACATCTGTTTCAAACATCCTCAGATCTCAGGGCACAAGTGAAGCAACTCATTAGCGGAGCCAAATGGATTTCCTCGGTGACTGTGCCCCTTGGTCTTGGGACGTTGGGATGGGATATTGGTACCAGCAATTGGTGTAAATTGGGGAAAATATATAGGGAGTTGTTTTAAAAGTTGAATATGTATGCAAGAAACATATGGGGAGTAGGAGAAACTTGCATGTTTTAAAAAGAAACTACAACTAAGATTGAGGATTCCCCAAGATCCATCCAAAAAGTGTGCTGTGCTAGTTGCTATCCACAAAGAAACTGTCTATATGTTGGTGACACAAGTGAGGCTAATGGTCTGGGCACATGGTGTTTTCCTTTTTTCCGAATGACTTTCAGGAACCAGGTGACTTTCTACTAAACGTAGCGTACCAATTCGGAAAGATTATATTTATACAACTACAACCCCAGCGTGCCTAAGCCCCAGAACTTGCCCGTGTCTTCCATTAGTTTCTACTTGTCATAACTCTTGTTTGTGATATCATATGATATCAAAATATATCAAACACATAGTCCTAGTTTATCATCCCTGGAATGATAGGCTCTGACTACAGGTTTTCCAGGGGACCAGCTGAGGCATCCAACGGGCGATCATGTTGTGGTTGGCTCCTACGACAGAAGAGTGGTGCTTCGCCATGGAATTTGACATATTCTGACTGGATCTCCAAAATCTCCACATAGCACATAGCCACTTTGGTTTGTCTCAATCGTAGTATGGCTCAAAAGCATTGCCTGAGAATTCATGGAAAAGTTTGTTACATGAATTTATATGGTTTATGAATGTTTACAACATGTATTCATCACGTATTACAAATCGGTGTAAAAAACTAAGGTGATGCTATGACTGCAGTGTCCAATTCTTTGGTCCAACTCTATCGGCCCAAACAGCCAAACAGCTGAGTTCAAAGGCCTTCAGACTCTGAAGATACTGGATTTCTCACTAGTAAACCAGGATAAAGTCAGGATTCTTAGTCTGCCGTGGTAATTACTGCCACCGCAGGGTCCCCAAGATGCGTCGCATCTTTCGCTGTTTCAACCTGGCAAGATTTTGCAGGTATGGTGGGACCTGGACTTTGCTTCAAAGCCATATAAGCACCTTGGCTAAGGTTCTTCAATTCTCCCAAATAGGCCCAATAGGTTTGTCGGTCCTTGGCTGCCAAGATGGCATGCAAGAAATGTTTCATGCTGCTTGAGACAGAAATTATGAGACCTATACCTGATTGTTTGGGCACAACACAATCATCAAAAAGCCGACTGCATCAGATGGTGTAATCAAAAAAATGGGGATCTACTGCCGAAAACAACAATTTCGATGTAAGAATGATGATAACCATGTTAAACCTAGACCCTGAGGACACTGCAGTATCATGACAAAGCGGTGCGGTGTGCTGTGTTGCCTGGCAGCAGATTATTTGGCGGGACTTTCTTGGGATGTATTTACTATTTTTTACACAAAAAAATATGATGGAAACCAACAATGCCCCTTACCCACTAGTAACTTCATCTTCGGGACCTCATCTTTGAAGTTACATGTTAGATTTCGAGTGTATTTATCAAATCCAACAATCAAGTGTCGTTCGACCTTTTTGAATCTGGTGGTCCCGTCTGAGTCTGAGAGGATGCAGTGCCACTCCATCCCATTGAGGCAGTTGTCGGGACAAACATACTGTAAATCCTTCAGTTCTCAGGGGAAAAACAACGTGAAGCAGTGTTCCCTTCTTGGAGGTGCATCCCACTTCGCAAATGGGTAATAACCATGTTGTACTCCAGACTCCAGGTATATATATATAGTTATATATAATTATATATATAATAGTTATATTATATATAATAATAATAATAATTAATAATAATAATAACAACAATAATAATAATATATATAATATAATATAATATAATATACTATATATGGAATACCTGGATTCTCCACATGTTCAACCAGCCCCAACTGATCAAGAACTTCAGGTTTCATCCTGGGAAGTTCCCGTTGCTGGCAGCTTGCTCGGATGATGCCACCGTCAGCATCTTGCACGCCAAGGTCACCCCGGGTCTGGGCCGAAGTCAGAGTTCCAATGAAAGATGTGATATGTCAGATATGTCAGATATGTGATTCACGTGTGTCTGAACATTCGTTGGACATGGAAAAGCGCTGGGAAATCCCCTGGTGAATGAAATGTCGGCATTTGTCCCAGTTCAATGGCAATTTCCAGGGGTATACCCTGGTATATCATACGGTATATCCCATTTTCAGACAGAGCCATGTGATGTTTGGTGGATGGCAGATTGAACATGCAAAATCATCAGAGATTATGTGATCATATGTGATCTGCCAGGGGTTCCTCAGGTTGCTTACGGGATGGCTTACGGGATGGTAGCCATATGAAAAAGTATCGCCTTTTAATAAGGGATTAGCTGGGTAAACACCATCAATCCCCACTACTTGTAAAATCTGATACCCTCTGGTAAACTAACATAGCTATTGAAAATGGCCATTTATAGTGGATTTTCCCATTAAAAATGGTGAATTTCCATAGTTATGTTAATTTACCAGAGGGTAAAGTTGTCGGCCAACATAGCAGGAGATCAACCACCGAGCTTAACAGGTCTTCTCCGACTTGATGCAAAGTCCCATGATCGTTCCCGTGAAGCGTCTGCGGGACCACATGGTCAACCAGGCTGTGGAGCATGGAGTCCCACCGTGGTCATAGCCCACATAAGTTGGCTATGGTTGGCTATGGTTAAGGAACCACTTCTAACTGAAATGCACCACCAAGAAGGTTATTGAGTTTCCATAGCTCAGCACCAAGACGGGATAGATGGCCGCTGGCCTTCTTGCCTTGACCCAGGAAGATTGGACTGTGACCGTTGTGGATGCTCATTACCAACTGCAGCTGGAACCAAGGGTCAAGAGATATCTTGGCATCTTGATACGTTGATTATAGTACTGGTCCCAAGTGCTCTTTAATTTCCATCCTGTTTGAGGTCGATGAATGTGTATACTTAATTGTAAGTTCGAATCTCCATGTCGTGTTCATTGGTTTGATCTCAAGCCAGCCCCCCTTACGAGTCGTCGCAGCCACCCCAGGGCTTTGGCGTTTTGGCATGTGCTTGGCATCCACATCAACCCTGGCTTTTCACTGCTGGATCCGATGGCAGAGCATATCTCTGGGCATGAGGTGGCCCTGATACAGTACAAAAATGTACAAAACAAAATTGTCAAATATTGTGAAGTTCATTTAAGACTCTGCTGCATTTGTAGGTCATGAGTCAAGTTTCTTCATGCTGATTTCATGACGGAAAGGAAAACCACAGATTCACCTCTGAAGCCACAGCTGATTTTCATGTCGCGCAAAACCGCGCGGGCGATGCTGCCAACGAAGCACTCCATCGCCACACGAGTGGATCGCAGGGTCCCTGCTGCTCTTCCTCGGATTTCACATAATTTCACCTGATCGCAGAGTCACAGCTTGGACACATGGACCTGGATTCTTGCGATTCTTGCGCTTCATGAAGTTTCTGTTGAAATACATTGAAATACTGATTCTTACATATCAAATGAAGCAGATTCGAGTAAAAACATCAGTACAATATGCTTGGATAGTTCATAGAGACCTCAAAAGACCTCACCACAACTGAGGCGTGGCATTTGGGAAACCATAAACCCATGGGATGGGCTGTCAGATGATCTTAGATCTTCTGATCTGCTGTGGGATTCTGCTGAATATTTCTGATAAATCATCCAGATGTACCCAGATCATTCCAGATCCTTCCAGATTCTTGGTTAGAGCCAAGTGTTGGAATAGACATGATAGCTGATCCACTTCCGTCGCACATGACCGGGCCTTCAAGGCCGCGCAGTGGAAGGTGCTGTGATATTCTTCGTGCAAGAAATTAGATCTCTGGATGAAACAGTGATTGGCAGTATGATTTCAATGTATTTCTGGTACTTTCTCTGAGGCAAGCCATATCAAGCCCCTTCCATTGCTTTATTTGAGCCCACTTCGCTTAGATTGCGGCATCACACTTCCACCAATTTCACCATGGGAAGGAGCCGACAACACCACAGGCGCAAAATCGTTCTGTCCTCAGCCAATGGAATTTGAATGAATTTGAAGAACCTTACCATTCCCCAACTTCCCCAACTTCCCCAACCAACAGTCTAACCTTAGGAAAAATTGTCTTCCAAAGCCCAACTCATGGCAGGGTCTATGAAAAAAAAGGGATGGCAAGATTTTGTTGCTATAGATCCATTCATTTCCATTAGTGCTTTCAGGAAAAGGCCCATATCGCCTGATTCGCCCCTTTGCTTGCGACACTCAACCTGTACCTGTCCCTGATGCGACAAATGTCCCGGTAGTCAAGAGGCACAAATGGTTTGGATGTCTTTGGATACAGCTCAACACCCCAAAAGGATCCAAAAAGGATACAAATCAGCATCCCACCACACCCGGGCCGGGCAATCGACGTTCATCGACCCGCGCTGAAGTCCAGCTGCTCAACATAAAGCTCATGAATGGAGATGGTCGAGAGTCCAGCGAAAACACTTGATTCACCTTTATTCCCCGCACAAAGTGGTGGTTTTCCAGAATGTTTGTTGATTCTATACCCATCGTGGCTCGGGAAAGTATCTCAGCAGGTGATGATACCCTCAGCGGCAATTCCAGCATTGGAACATCCTTTTGACACCATGTTGGGGTTTAGTAGACAGGTTTGGCTCAAAATTACAATACTCCAATTGAATTGGATACTTTGTTACTAGACATATTTATAATATAGTGACATCATATATAATTATATGTATACATATATGATTATATAAAATATATAATATATAATACAATATAATATATATATATATACATATATGATTATATATATATGATTATATATAAATATATATATATATGATTATATATATAAATGTATATAAAGCATAAAACAACCAAATAGTTCAAATATTGGATGGTGATGATCCCATCCAATCCCCATCAGCCCATGGCCATTGTGCCCTGGTGATGCGGGATGCCAGCGCGAATGGTGCAGGCCTCGTCAACTAACACACCTTTACTGACATGACACTGATGTTGGGTTCATTGGTTCTGCACTCAAAGTGAATGGTGAAACCAGTTGATGTTTTTTTTTAGATTTGTTTTGCCCATTGATGAATGACATTGAGATCATTCAGAATCACCCGAGTTGCGAACGCATATTGTCTGCCAACCCCCCTGTTTGGGGTTGATATTCTATAAGCATTTTGGAAACAGAAACAGGCATGCTATGGATAGATACTGTATCCCCGCGGCTTCTGCTAGTTCTGTTGCAGTGTTTTTGCAGTACATCTCCCCAACAAACGATCCTACTTCATGAAATCCCAATGATTTTTCTGCTCAAATCCCACCGTTGGTTGGATACCAACTGTTGCATCAATCCATATCAATCCTTTCAGTGAAATCCCAGGTTTCCTGAAATCACTGAACTCTCAGGCAATGGCTCCGTCGGGAAGATCTCCTTCTACGCCCCCGGCTACTTCCCCAGCTCCAAGCCATCCGTGCCACCGATTTACGCCACCACCCTGCGGCGGTCCAAAGAGGCCTTGGAGGTGCGAAAACTGAGAAAAATCCACGCGTAATGAGAAGTTCGAAGATTTGAAGTTGATATTCATGATGGATTTATATGGAATTATCATGTTGTTCTTTATAATATTACATATATATACATGTGTATATATATAATTATGTATGTATATATACATATATATATATATATACATGTGTATATATATAATTATGTATGTATATATACATATATATATATATCAATATGTGTGCAATATAGCCGATTATCATTCTCAATAATGATGATTAAGATTGATTCTCAGTACATTATGATACAAGAATCAGTACATCAATAATCAAGAAGTGAATATTTGATGATATGGTTTGTCATTATTCAATACATAGTTCAATGATAACTTTTTCTAAGTAACGATCAGATGATGGCACCGTGGTCTAGGTGGATGGAAAGTTGCGCGATGCTTCCAACTCACAGGACCAAAGTCGCCGTTCAGATTTGGAGAATGTCTATTCGTTAATGAAAAGGTCAACGATACTAATATTTGTAGTTATATTATGTACATGTCTATATCTATATATTATCTATATACATATCCATGTTTGATATATATATATACATACTCTTGTTAGTTTTGTTAGACATTGCTGTAAAGGTTGATTTCCTCGGTCATTGGCATTTGCCTCCAGATGTGGTTATCCCTGGAAAACATCCCTCAGAAATAGTCCCAAAGTATTCAGAACGCAAGGGAATGATTCAAAAAAAACAAATCAATACAGATCATAGATGATCATAATTAATGAATACAGATGATAAATGATCATGATTCATGATTATCATAACTACATTGCACCTATTTTTCTTTGGCAAGCAGGGCCATACCAGGTGTGTTCCACCATATTTGGTAGAAAGGTGGTAAACCATTGGGACGTTTTCTGTCGACCATGTCGGTACCCAAAAGAGCCTCAAAACATCGTCAAAACATCAAAGGATATCAAAATAGATCAAAAGGTCATTAAAAAAGCAAAATCATCCACAGCAACCAACAAATATATGTTATATATATATATACACCACTAGTGCAATGATTTTGCTATTAAAACTAACCTCCATGTATGGGGATTTCACAGCCATCCAGGTTTGATTACCGAAGGAGTGAAAATGTTGATGTTATTATTGCATGTCACTATAGATATGCCCATTCTAAAGTCTAGTTGCCTCCGGTGGTTGAACATAGCTATGGAAAACGGACCATTTAGTTCGATGACTTACCGATTTGAAATGGTGATTTTCCATAGTAAGCTGTTAAATTGCTAGAGAGTTTATATGGTTATAGTTTACAATTCACCAATTATCCATATAATATCATTACTCATCCATTATTCATTATTGGTTATACCCCATTTTGAACCATTATTTACCAAAGAATAACCTACACAAAAAGAAAAACAATTTCTAAACTTCTGATTAACGCAAGGAACGTCCATTATTTTTTGGTTATACAGGTATACCCCATTGAAACAACAAATAATGATGAATCGGACATTGAAACCAATTATCCATTCATCGTTCCATAGGACATTGTCGTTGGTTATACAGTTCTACTCACCAATTGTCCATATATCATGACTCATGATTTATTGCTTATCCCGGGTATTATACCCCACTAAAACCCATTAAAACCCCATTGAAACCCCACTAAAACCCATTAAAACCCCATTGAAACCCCATTGAAACCCCATTAAAACCCCATTGAAACCCCATTGAAACCCCATTGAAACCCCATTGAAACCCCATTGTTGACCATGATTAATCAATGTCCTCCGCTGAGTCACCAAGCCGAAGGAGCTCTGGGGCTTCATCGCTTCGGCCCTGCCACGCTTCGACACGGGAAATCTCGTGGTGGCCTTTACCACCGCGGCCAAGGTGGATGAAGGCGGGGCAATGGTTGGAAAATGAAGGTACTTGAAGAAATGATGGTTAGGAAGGGTAACTATTTATTTATCTACCTACCTATCTATCTATCGATCTATCTATATCTACATATCTATGTATCTATTTATCTATCTACCTACCTACCTACCTATCTATCTATCTATCTATTTATCTATCTACCTACCTACCTATCTATCTATCTATCTATCTATCAATCAATCATCTATCTATCTATCTATCTATCTATCTATCTATCTATTTATCTATCTACCTACCTACCTACCTATCTATCTAACTATCTATCTATCTATCTATCTATCTATCTATCTATCTATCTATCTATCTATCTATCTATCTATCTATCTATCTATCTATCTATCTATCTATCTATCTATCTATCTATCTACATATCTATGTATCTATGTATCTATATATCTATATATCCAATTGTAACTATCTATATCATTCTATATCTATCTATATCTGTGTCTATATATTTATAATATGTACATTATATGCATGTATGTATATATATATATACACCTGGATGAATCATGACCTCACTGTGACGTCAGGTGAATGATGGTTAGGATTGTGGGGAATCATCCCCAAATGACCTTATTTGAGATTAGTGCATTATTATGATTTATCCAGATACAGTGTATGCATATGAGGTATATATTGTTGTTTTTGTTCCCCAGAATCACTTTCTATTTCAGGTTCGTGATATATTCCATTTTTTCCAATTTGCTCAGATGTTTGGGAATGTTTCCATGGGTGTTTAGGCAATGTTGGTTCTTTTTTGCTTCAAAAAATGTAGAACCATTGGTTGCTTTTTTTGCCTTCCAAAAAAGTCGAAATCTCGCCCATCTCGGGGGCGGTGATCGTGGCTTTACTTGGCTGTGGCTGAAAGTAATCGACCCCCCAAACAGGATGTAGATTCATTTAATGGATCCTTTGCTGATAGCATGGTATTGTTCCAAAAGTGCCCCTGGCAGAATTTCTCTTCAAAATGCATGAATCATCTCTTCCCCCAACCTTTTGTTATTTTTGTTCATAGCTTTTTTTCGAGACGCTCCAACGCCACCCTCAGGAGGAAGTGAGATCCACCAGGAGATCTTCTTGGAGCTGGTGGAACGACTTCTGAGCTCCGTGGAGTCCCTGGAACCACGGGGGCTGTCGATGACCGCCTACAGCGCTGCCAAGCTCCTCTTCGGGGATCACAGGTCGACCGGTGCTCGCTGCTAAAACGACTCATGGAGATCACCCAACAAAAAGAGTGGACATCCAAAGAAACCCTCGTAACATGTGTTTTTTTGAAGCAATCTGGATTTCTCAGCAATGAAAAAAATGTTGACACTGTCTATCATCATGCATACATACTTCATGTTTCATTTTATGGATTGTTCTATCTACGATTCAATATATTATCATTATCAGTATCATTACTATTATTATTATTATCACCACTATTGTCAGTATCATTCATGACAAAACTATTATCATCACTAAATTTCAAACACATAATGATCATCAGAATCATCACTTATTGCAGTGTTATAATCACTATTTAATAGATAAGTGATCACTATTTGTTATTATTGTTATGTCAGTATCATTCATGATCACTATTATAATCCCTTCATTTTGATACAACAAACACCGAGACATAGGTGCCACGGTGGCAGGCTTTGGTCGCAGCTGAGTGCTGCCAGTTGTCGCTGCTGCCATCGCTTTGGTGCCACCGATGTGGCGAAAGCCACCTGGGCCTTCGCCAAGTGCCGCGGCGATGGCTTGGGAAGATTTTTGCACCATCTATTTGGCAGTTTTAAGGAGAAAACGATGGAAACTGATGATACACCATTTAAGGTTTTGGGTTGTTTTTGGATGTTGAATACCGCAGACACTTCGAATGTTGAATGGCTATTATTCAATCTCCAAACAGCTGATCTTCCCACAGAAGATATGTGAAGTATTCGACAGTGATTTGTATCCATTGTTTAGTCCCCGAATCCTTAGCATGTAACTCTATGTGGATCTATATGGGCTTGTCTGAAAATGTAGGAGAAAATCCAATTCCATACTCTGATTTATCACACTTTTCCATAATCTCCTGTAAAAAGTTTCCACAAATGGCTGGTTATATATACACTATTTTCATCTATTTTCAGACACCCGAATATCAATAGTGTTCCCATTATATCCCACTTGTATCCCCAGAAAATGATTGAAAATAATAGCTTCAACCCTCATTCTGTGTCACACCTATATATAACATTATATAACCATTCCTTTGGGAGCACTGAAAACACGGCTGTGTCGAGGTTGCGCTTTGTGGATGAGATGCCCGAATTCTGGCAATGTATGGCCGCTGAGACCTCAAGTTGGGCTTGTGTCTGAAGTTGGTAAGTATGTCAAGTCATTCATCGTTCTCGTGGGCCATGTTTGAGGACATGTTTGGCCCCCCAAAAAATGACCATGATCAAGCTCCCCCCTGTGAAGTGACATGGCATCGCTTTCTCGTGCATTTCAATCAAAGATTGTTCTCATGAGAGGCGATCCTTCTCACGAGAGCAATCTTTCTCACCAGAAATTTCTGTGGAAATTGCAAAACAGTTTTACGTCAAAAAAATGAGCAGAAGGATTCGGAGAAGAATGGGTAAGGTTGGATTCTCTCGGGGGTTAAAACACAACTTTTCCATTCTTCTCGAACGATCGTTTTTCTTACAAACTAAAATATTTGCACGAAAATGGACCAAAAAAATCCTGTAGTTTGTGTTGAGGAGTTGACAGCTGGGGTCGAAGGATATTGGGGGCTATGGGCTGGTGAAATATATAACTGAACCTCTGCATTTCCTTTCGGCAAGGCCAGTATCTGGTGAGTAAGACTGCCGAAAGCATCTGACACCACAAGACTTTGGATCTCATGTTTCATAACAAAAATATACAAAAATCAGAAGTTGAAACAGCTATTCGGCATGGGGTTGGATTCGAAGATATGTTTGGAAAAAAGTTTGGATTCGTGATGCTCCATCCTCACAGCTCCACCGGACATATGTCGTGAAATGTTGACAGCACTGGCACCAACCTCTTCTTGCAATATAGCTCTTGGATGCTATTGGTAGAGTTACCCACTGAGTGAAAAAGCTTTTTGTTGTCCCTTAAAACCCCTTGAAGCATCCCATGAAGATTCCGAAATCCATGAAATCCCAAGACAACCCTGAAAATTCATCGTGGAATCATGTGGAATCCATGGAAACTCACAATTTGTTTCCCAGAAAATGCTGGGATTCCCCCGGTTGAAACCCTGGGTAAATCCGGCCGAAACTTTCATAGATTTTCACAGGTTGAACCGGCCATTGCTGCATTACGAACTGGCGCCCGCTTCGTGGATGTGTCCATGATCGCCTGGGCATTTGCCAGCACCCAGCGAGCCACTGCAGCGCTGATGGAGGAGGCTACGGAAAGATGTGGGGACATGCGAGGACTATATATTTATGTATTATATATTACTATAAATATAATTTGAGAGATTTATTAATGTATGATTAACAATTATATAATATAGACTATATATAATTCATTGTAACATTGTACTATATAATTATAATTACATATGCATGCACTCACACACACAGACGCAAATATAACAGTGTTGCTCAGTCCTTTTACGTGGGAGATTACCCAGTGTTTTCTCTGTAGATGTTGGGGGATTGTTTCAGATGTCTTTGCAGCAATCTTGAAGAGAATGTGTTTTCTTTTCACTGGAAGGTGACCTGAAAGATGTGGCATTAATTCCAAAACCCACTGCCAATGTTGAGAAGATTGTCAAAAATTGATGTGGAGTGGAGATGGTTCAAAACTGTTCAAAAGCTGTGATGCCATAGTTGGGGGATGAACATCAATAACCACCAGTTATTTTGATGTGAACGACAGGGTCCTAGGGCTTTGATTTGTAGCCATGTGAGATATAAAGCTGTTTTATCTATCCAAAATGGGAGAATTTAAAATCGGCTAGATCATCATCATTCAGCCGTAACTTCCCATAGTGTTTCCAAAGAAACGACCACAAATTGAAGGTATCCTGTAGACTCCCTGCTCAGCCCTGTGCTTCGCGCAATGCCTCCGCACAGTGCCACAGGTTGCGCGCGAGACTTTACAGGCGCTGCCCGAACTGCCACCGCGAAGCATCGCAGGCGACCGAGCCCCTGGAAGTGACCCAACTGAGTGAAAACGATGACTTGACTAATGGATGGAGTGGGGGAACCTATTTTCGGACAGACCCATTTATTCATATTTATCATATTTATTCTATGTCCATTCATTCTGTAAAGGAGATTGTTAAAACATGTTAGAACCCATTGGCTACAGGATGACGTCGCCAAAGGGAGCGGCGGCCCATACTGGTGCCTGCAACGTGTAGGCTGCCAAGGTTCATTACCTATGATGTCCAAGCCACAAGGAATTTGAAGGTCCTACTTGTTTGGATCGTTTTTTGGGAGACCATATTTCTGAAGTTTCTTCCAAAGTCTCCCAAGAACGCCGTGAAAGTCATATTTCAGTACAGGCAATAAATGCATCGATACACCATCATACATGTGATTACGTGTGTATGATTGTGTGTATATTGTATATATACACACACACACATTCATGTAGTATATATATATACACATTATATGGACATAATATAGAAGAAACTGTCATATGTATGTGCTATATATATATACATATATACAGGGTGTATATTCGTTATACATATACTTATATAATCATATTATATATATATATACATTACATATGTCAGTAAACATGTAATATGTGTGGATGTAAATATGTATGTATGCAATACTTGATAATTACCAGAGATAAATCAGATAAAATCGACCAAAGCCAGGCATTGCATGGGCCTTCGCCAAAGCCGGTGCTCAGCACCAGCAGCTGTTCACTCAGCTGCGCGAAAGGGCCAAGCTGGTGGAGTGCTCAGTGTGTTGAGCATCAAAAATAGCTGTTAGTTATGGATGATCCCCGCAACTATGGTGGTACTATATTCTTATGCATGCCAGTAGCTATGTAATGATACAGATATATAGTCAGATGTGTTAAGTCATGCTGCTATATGTGATATAATAGTATATAACATTATATATATAATATTATCTTATTACATTAGCATATAATATATTACACTATAATATTATATATAATACACTATATTACAATATAATATAATGTATAATATTAAATACATATATATATATATACACATACAGTACATATATATATACATATATATATATATATATGTGTCCATGTATGTCAGTTTTTGGTCTAAGATCCCTAGCCTTCGCATGTCAGGTCTTGCGGGAGTTCAGCGCCCACGATGCCGCAGCCTTTTGCTGGGCGACTGGATCTCATGGCAATGGAGAATCACTTGGTATTCTGGTATTATGGGAAAATCATTCAATGAATGTGAAAATCACATAAAATCACATTTTTTCCCAGATTTCATGGGGGATTCAAACAACCCCGAAAGGTTGATGGTGATCCCATTTCGATGGTGAAGATTCGCCCTTTCCATGGCCGAACGCCGATGAGGCGTTCAGCGCCTTGGGCTGCGCAGATTCGTCGCTCTTCACGGAACTTGCGCTGCATTTGGATTCGGATGGAAGCCATCGAGCAGCTGGGCTGGGCCAGGGCAACTTGAATGGAGTTCACTTCAAACATATGATATACTCTCTGCTAATTTCACATAGGTATTGAAAATCACTAAATTAAATAGGTAAATCATCTATAAACGGGCCGCCTTCCATAGCCATGTTAAATTACCAGAGGGTATGATGATACGTATTTGTAACATGTGAATGTAGATATGTTTGCACCACCGAACCGAATGGGTAGCAGGCTTTGGTGAGGATACGCTAGCTGGGAGAAAGGTGAAAGATTCAAATCCAATGTGAGATGTACTAAATCCTATGCTATATTATACATCCATATACAAAAGTCCTTAAATCAGCAGTTCAGCAAGCTGGGGATGTTGAGATTTGGCATTCCCATGTTTTAAAAAATCATTGGCAGATCCTCCAACAATGCTTACATTCATCAAATCTTAATCCATCGTGGCGGTTCCACTATTGATGTCTTCTGTAAGATCTTATGTGTTTTTCCCCTTCAAAACCAGATAAAATCAAGGTGGTAACCCCGCAATAGTGATGACTTCCACAACTTGCTATTAAAATTGATATTGTATCCCGCAGTAAGAAAATTGTGCATTGAATTAATCCTAGATTAACTAAATGACGATCAAAGAAATTAATGTCAAGTTAGGAATAATAAACCCCGCTGGATTAATCAACCTCCTCTGCCCAAAAAAAAGGTGTAATTTTAAAACAGGTGGTCCCCCCCAGATTAATAAACTGTTTGGCTAGAACATGATTAATCAACCACCAGTGCTGAAATCCCATGTTGTTTTATTTTCCAACTCTCTTTATTTTCAAATGGTTTCCTTATTCTATACTTAAGTTGAAACCTCATGAACACCAGAATTCATCCCTGCTGATCATTGATTTTTCTTTAAAGAAAAACTATTCCCCAAATGATCGATTTCTAATTAAATTCTTTGTAAACATCATCAGTTTCGATAGCTCCCAAAGGGTACCCCCCATGAGCCCATGTGCCCCATTAATAATAATCAGAGGGTTCCCCTTATTAATCAACCCCTTCCAAGGGGGCGTTTATTTAGGGGGAAAACTAGGAAAGACCTTACAAGGTCCATCTGACCTTGTGAGGGGGGGTTGATTAATCCGATGTTGACATTAATTATGATTAATGATGAGCCTAGATTGTTTACGTTGCTTCATTGTTTTAGCTTCTTAGACATTAATCCTCTCCATATTAATCCATATTACCCTCTGGTTATTTAACATAGCCATGGAAAATGGCCCATTTAGTTCGATGGTTTAGCTATTAAAAATGGGTGGATCTTTCCATGGCTATGTTAGTCATAACCAGGTTGGGTAATTCATATCAATCCTATGTTTTTCCCTAACCACTGCTTTGGAAAACTGCCATGTTAAATCCTTAAAAAACTGCCATATTTTTCCCTAACCACTGCCATAACCACTGATTTTCCATATTAAACCCTAAACCCAGGCCACTGCTTTGCGCCGCTTAAGCCCACCTTTAGCTGCAGAGTTCTCATGGGCTCTGGCCTCGGCAAGTGTTGAGGTGCCGTGAACAACGGCAGGTGGTGATTAAAAAACCTTTGGACATGGTGGTTTAATTGAAGAAAATCTGGGGGTTAACCATTAGAAATGGTGGTTTCATGGGTTTTAAATGGTTTTAATGGGCAAATCCGCAAATCCACTATAAATGGTGATTTTATGGGACTTAATAGATGTTTCAATGGGGAAATCTAGAAATACAATGGAATGTATAACTTGCCAAGTGATACTCGAACATGGCTAGCTGGAAAAAAAAATGAACTAGATGAAGGTTTGCTGGGAAAATCATTGACCTAAATGGTGGATGTTCTATTGCCATGTTACCGGCGGGTATCACAACCAGCTTGCTGTGAATCAAGGTATGACGTTCCTGATTTGGTTGGGGTTTACCCTCAGATTTCTCAGGATATCTGGCACAGTTCTTTGTGTTTTTTTTGATGAGGGGATTAAGCATGGTTAAACATCATGGTGAAATTGTGGTTAAACACTACTGTTTGGTGGGTTCAGAGATGTTGTTGGTTTCTATTCCTACCAATGGGGTTGTTGTACACCATTATCCCCAATGACGGTCTTTTATTTCTCACGCGGGACTGAAACCACCAAGTAGAAGGGGTGGGATGAGTTTCCAGCCAGACATGTTTGATTCCCAAAGGGTGGTCCCAAGATTGGAGGGATGAGGGATTCAAACCTAAAATTGTGACATGACTCGAAGCTGTGGGTTAGATGGCTATTAAATCATATTAAATCTGTACATAAAGATCTCAAGTCACAAGATTTGCCCTTCGTTCGTCTACAGTTTGATGGGCAACACTAGGTCATTGCTTTGCCCGTGAGGTTAAAAGAAATACGAGTAACTGAGTAACCGACAAAATTATTGTAATATTTAGTCTTGCTTCGCCTTGGCCTTGAGGGGTGTGCAAAGCCTTCATTATCGCTACGGGACGACCCGTCCTACCGATACATAGCCCTGTTTTGCAGCACTTCTTTCCGACGAAGGAATACTGCAATCAAACATGCTGCTTTGTTTGAAAATAGGGTACTTTAAATACACCGTGAAATCTTCATATTCTCCATCAAATAGTCAAATAGTCATATTAACCGAATATACGGATATAAATAATCATAAATAAATATAAATAGATCCCAGTCTCAGACAAACCCATTTTGCGTCTGACATCCTTGGCATCAGCTTTCACCTGACAGGCACCTAGCGTGTTTGCAACCTTGCAAGAGCTCTGTGTGCAGAAGCCTTAGCACCAAAAAATAGCTCCGCAACTGTGGCATCCATCACGTGGGTGTGTCTGAATATGGGATATAGGTATACCGCCAAAGGGCGATTTGTTTGTGGAGCATGATCATACACCGGTGGATTTGAGATTGTGCACCTCTAACATCCTCCAACCACTGCTCCTTTGAGGAAGCTCCAATCATGGGGGCTTTCGGAATCATTCTGTCAAGCCTTGTTGCTTTCCCAAGGTCCAACATGGAAATCCTGGAAACTGTCGCTGGTTTCTATCGGGAAGGGGTCAGGTGTGGATGGCATTGGGCTCCAGGTTTGGTTCCACATGCCTGGGACATGTTGGTCATTCGGTCATATCACCAGCACCTTTATCGTAGCAACATAGAAGATTTGACGCAGCAAATCAAGACTTGAGCATCTAATGATCTAATGCCTTGGTTATGATCTTAGAATATCTTAGATATCCAAAGATTCCAAAGGACATTGCAAGTTTTGGGACTTGTTACTCCATCCTGCTGCATGTTCTGATAGCAACAAACATCACCTGTTAGGTTGTTACTGTAATCACGAAAAATCACCGTTTCAGGTGATGTTCATACCCCCAACGTCCCCACCAAACAGGAAATGCAAAGACTCAATGCTTTCTTGATTACAAATCACATCATCAATACTGAAAGCGTCTTATGATTCATGGAAAATGTCTCATGATTCATAGACTATACCAACTGTTTCATGGTATATCTCCATGGTAAATGGTTCATGGTATAGGCGGGGTTATCTCCCAACTGATGTGGGCTATCCCAAGATCCCAAACAAGATCCCAAGATCCAGACTGTTTGAAACTATGCCATCTGGGTCAAATTGAGATGTGCACATTGAAAGATCAAAAAACCGTTGTAGTAACACAGGCTGTTCGAAAATTGGCCAGCCATTTGATGTATACAAATATGTGTATATATATATACAAATATATGTATATATACGTATATATATATATAACTATATATATATTTTTTGTTCATGTGATTCCCTTCCAAACAGCCATTCTCCCACACCGGCTGGAGCTCAGGAGGACGTTTGTGGCTTCGCCTGGGCCTTTGCCACCCAAAACGGCACCGCAGTGACCTTCGACGCCATCGCCAGATACGCCGAGAGGCGGGGAACGCTCGGTGGCAGGGGGAAGGGGTTTCTTTATTAAGGGGGGCTTCTTCCCAAAAAAACATGTGGGCCAATTTTTGGGTGATGGTTTTTTGAAACATAAGTAAGTCATACTAAGTCAATCTGACATTCGATCAGGATAATCTATCTACTCCCAAATCAGATGGCCACATCATCCATGAACATGGCCACCCACGACACGCTTACCTTGCCAAGTGACCAGCTCGGTTCCAGGTATGCAGGGCGCTTGAGACCCGCAGAGGTAAATCTCTTGCACCTCTGGCGCAAAGGGAGATACAGTTGGCATGATGATGATGATGATGATGATGATGATGATGATGATGATGTGTGAAGCAGCGAAAATGGTGAACCACGGTGCTCAGGTGTTGGGCCCTCAATGGACGAGCACAAATAGGTCCCCGCCTGCGGGCAGCACAAAGGTAGAAAAAGTAGCGCTGGACGGCAGAGACTGCGATGGGTGAGATGTATTGGCCACTCCACCTAGAAACGAGATTTTGGAAGGGCACCTAATATTCAGCATGGTTGAAGTCATCATAAATGTTGGTTGTGGTAAGGGAAACCATACCAAAACGACATAAAATGACCCTATTTCAGTTGGGTCCATCAGTATATATCATTATCCAGACTCATTGTTTTGTTTTGATGCCATTATATATTGGATATTATTGGCATCTTGGGCATTCAATGCTGGGAGGACAACTCCAATTAGGGCAGCTATCATACGCCATCTATGGAGGAACATGATTCGGCCCAGATGCTTGAGATGATATGTCTATGTTGATAGAGATTGTGGATGATGAAAGCTTATGTTCCCTCTGGAACTGGGACAGCTACTCGGCATCAAGCAAACTTTTATGGCATCCTTCATACGAGTCACTCTGATGCTGGACCCATACATGCATGCGTGCATGGATGCATACATGCATGGCATGGCATGGCATGGAATACCATGCCATGCCATACCATACTGTACCATGCCATACCATACTGTACCATACTGTACCATACTGTACCATACTGTACCATACTGTACCATACTGTACCATGGACCATACCATAACATGCATACATATATTATTACATAATTTATGTGTATATATATATGTGTGTGTTTTGCTATAAGGGACATAATCACACATGCTGCAAGTAGAGTTGTTAGTCTCAGTCCACTACACGATGAGATTAATTGAGTTTTGGAAGATGACGTTTAGATGTCAGGTGTTTTTTTGGATTGCAACTGTTATTTGTGAATGCAGCTGTTTCAGGAGGGGCGACATCAGTGATGTTTTTTAGGCCCAGAATTGCCCGGCTTTTCAAGGTGTCAACTTGCCAACCAGGTGCCCCGTAACTTCCAGCTTCCAGCCACAATGGTCCACCACATCGATGTGTGAGGATCACAACTGCAACAGACACAGAGCCCACCACCGACACAGTGACGCCACTAAAAACCCCGCCGGGGTTTTGGACCCATGGTGGCTTCAGCCTTTCGATAGCCACAGGTGCGTTGAAAGCAAGGAAACTTGCAGTTTGACTTGGTGAGAAGCATGGACATTGGTGGTATACTTAATATACATGTACATGCTATATGTACATGCTATATGTACATACTATATACCGTATCTTTGCGATTGATCATGAGTTTATTTGCCCTTATTCAAAACATCCCAGTCTTCGTGTGTGGGATGGCATGGTCGGATTCAAGGTGGCAACAGATCAGATCTTCGGAATTCTTCAAAACCCCAATTGGTTGATTGTAGAGATTATAAGAACCAATATATTATGGTAAGAATGGAGAACAATGGTTGGTTGCTGATTACATGGGACGAATACTAACCTTTATATATTGGGGATGATCACAATTCATTTTCACGGTGAATCCCGTTCTCAAGCAAGCATGCCCAGGCTGCCGGGTTGTGACCATGGCAGAAGGCGGATATCCTGCTTCTTGGCAGATTCACTCCACCGTGGATCTGTGTCCCTTTATTTATGTATGTTATATGTACAGTAGCTGGTAGCTGTAGAATCCAACACCGAAATCCACTGATGGGTCATGATATGTCATGATATTCACAATTCGCGGCAAATAAACATGGTGAAGATGACCAAGCTGATGTTCCTAGAACGGCAAGGTGAAAATGCGGCACTCCGACAATCCAACACTTGCTAGTCCTACTTCGACTTAGGGAGTAGTTCAAACCTTCAGAACCATGATCAGCAAGTCCCCTAATTGCTTGCTTTGCTATATAATCCCATCCCCCTATTACTATAGTGTTAAACACCCCCCAGAGACCATTGTTTAGTAGCGGATTTACACATTTGGAACCATTTCTATATACATATTTTTTGACATATTTTGAATTTAGCAGATTAAACCGGTATATAAACCCGATTTTGGCATCCCTGATATTGCAGGTGATACAACGAAATTCCCATCAAATGTATCTATAAAACAGTGTCGCTCCAACCTGTCAGAGGTGATTCATAGCCACAAGGGCCTCACACGGAGGCTAGACTGGCCATCTCAATCCATATTTTACTAAATTTTACAATGTTTTACCATATCTTACCATATGGGGGTTTCCTAAAATAGGGTACCCCCACTTATCATGCATTTTAGATTGGGATTTTACATGAAATAAACCATCCAGCTGCATTGGGGTACCTCCAATGATCCCCTAGGCCACTGTGGTCATCGGCTGTGGTGACTGCGAATGGTCCAAGAAGACGTTTCAGCTGAAGCCCCAGCGGCGGAACAAGGCGGCAGCGATGGCTTGGGGGGTTGGGGGATTGAAACTAGCCTCTGGTGAATAATGGGCAATAATTAGTGGTTAATAGTAATGTTGGTTAATAATATTGATCATTGTTGATTAATGGTGGCTTACCCTCTGGTAAACATACAAAAAGCAATGGAAAATCCCCACGTGTCATAGATAAATCAACGAACTTAATGGGCCATTTTCAATAGCTATGTTAAATTACAATAATGGCGGTAAAACAATGTCATAAACCACCCATGACTGAGAATGGTTGGAATCCCACCTATAAAAATTGTGATGACTGGGGGGTTCATATTGTTTTACCCACATTAATCATGAAGCCGCTCAATTTGGAATCAACGATTAATCTTGGACACTTGGGGAATCAGGGGATTCCAATCCCATGGAAGGATCAAATGGCAGCCACTTTTGGAGAGTAAATGAGTCATTTTACCTCTAAATTTACCTCTATATGTACCTCTATATTTGCCCCTCTACTTGGGCTTTCTGGACCTGGGGAACTGAGCCATGAAGAAAATAGCTTAGTTGATTGGTGAATTTGTTGGGACTGAAACTATATGTTGTTGTGAGCGCTAAAAAAACGAAATCTTGGGGATATATAGCCTTGATACTATGGATGGTTTCATGTTTTTTTGCGCTCACAACAGCCTGCGTAAGTAGGACGAATCATTTGATATACTAAGCGACCAATGTTTGCTGTTTGCTGTCTAACCCGAACTGCAAAATCCTCCAACCCGAACTGCACAATCGTCTCAAAAGAACTGCGAAATTGTCGTCTTCGCAGTGCTTAGTCCTGCGAAGATTCGCGGATTGACTCACGACTTCTTCCTTTCGACTGGAGCGAACCAAAAGAAAACGAAAAAAACAAAATAACTAAAAAAAACAATGTTTCCACAACTACTCTGATGTCTGGACTAGTTGCCAAATCTTTGTTTTTTTTGTTTTTCCGAAGTTTTGCATCCCAGGATTAATCCAGATTAATCCACATCAATTCTGCTTCATCCCTTCTCAAACGCATCATCTGTCAAATAAGCAGTCATCTTTGGGTCACAGCTGTCATCTGTAGCCTTGCCTTTCTTTGCTTCGTCGTCATCATGGCTGGCCTCTTCAACCAGGCGTGTGTAGCTGCAGGGTGCCTTCAATGCACGAGCTTGGAGCATCCTGTGGGTCGCGTGCTGGAACCGACTTATGAGCTGACAGCCTTGCCATTGAAGCCCATCGAAGGCAACACCGAGCTGAGGACTGCAATTGAAAAGGTGCTCTATGAACCCACGGAGGGTGATGAGTTGGATACCATTGCAGATCTGGTCAGCAGCAAGTCATACCAGAATCTTCCACAGCCTTTGGCCCTCAAGGATGCCCTGCCCATACCCTTCACTTTCCAGCTGGTCTCCCGCAAGCAGAATGACACCACATACGAAGTCCTGAAGCATTACATCTTCTCCCAGAAGATTGATGTGCGCGGGCTGCAGCGGGTTGCTACTGGAGATCTCTTCACCATAGACTATGGCAAAATTTTCCGGTCAGGCTCTCAAGGTTGCCAAAATCAAACCAGCTGCCTAATTAAGATCACTTCAGGAACGAGTCAATTTAGGATTAATCCAGATTAATCCTTAGTCATGTTATATCTTGGTGCCTTCAGTAACATCTCTGTGCAGGCATTTTCCGTACCTGTCTTCGGAAGTTTCCGATCTTGTCTTCGGAAGTGTACGTGGCTCCAGGTATCCTGAACCTTGGCCCTGTAAGATCCTGTAAGTAACACCCCCTGAGCCATGGATGTGCGTGGACGAGCCATTCTGATGCCAGGCAAAAAGATGGTCTTGGAGTTGGAACCTCAAGCCAACGCAGGGCAACAACCTGGTACCCCTTCAGAACCTGAAGTTGTTATCCGGCAGATTGCAGATGGCACCTTGCTGGTGCACCCGTCCAAGGCCACCATCACCGCCCGCCGGATCCAGATGCAAATCTGCAACATCCAGCGTGGCTTTCAACTCGTGGTTGGTGCCAATGGTGGGTGGACTGGCAGTGAAGCTCAAGCCAAGTTGCTGCAGTGGCTTCTGAAATTTGAACAGAAGCGTGCCCGTACTGCATCTGCATCTCGATCCCCATGCCCAGGATTGGAAGATCAGAGGCTGGCTTTGGAAGACAAGAAGCCTGATGAGCAACTTGCTGCCTCCAGCTCTCCACAGGCTCCAGTGCCTATGGCTTTGACGTGGAAGACAAGAAGCCTGATGAGCAACCTCCCGCTTCTCCACACTCTCCGACACCTGGGGCCCTGATCTCCGAGGACGGGGCTTTGGCCTCTGATGATGGGGTCGAAGGGCAGGCTTTGATGACCCAGCCAGATCGCACAACTCATGACAGTGAGAAGTCTGTGAACTCGTCCTCTTCTTCATCGGCATCGTCATCATCTTATACCTCGTCACCTGCTCGGAAGCTGTACCATAGCCGTGCCAACATTCGTAAGGCACAAGCAGCTATTCAGGACATGTTGCCAATTGTGTCTGGCGCCTGCGTAGACTGCGCAAATTCATTGAAATATGTGCAAGAATTGTTGGACAATGCCATGTGATTCATATGTTTGAAATGTCTTCATGAAAAGGTTAACTTCATGTGTTGACATATATATAGTGCCGGACATATACTTAGAACATTGGTTTTGGAATTCCAAAACATGTTCTAAGTAGAGATCCTGGACCACTACTTAGAACATATATGTTCACGGGATGTTCTAAGTAGAGGTTTTGGGGGTTCCCCCATGTTCTAAGTAAGAATCTCCCCAGCTATCTACGTGCATTTTTGGAAAATCCTGTGTATATATAATATATTTTTAATATTGTAGTTGTCCGGCACTATATATTCATATAATAAAAACTTTCCAAACCTGATGTTCGAATTGTAGCCTCTCACCTAGAGCATCCGGATCCATTCGCTCATTTTGTTCAGCTCAATATATGTCCCGCTGTAGGATCTCGAATCTCGAATCTCGTCCCGCTGTAGGCTTTGGACCATTCCAACCGCTCAATCGGTCATATAATTTCAATATACCTCAATATAGACATCTCCATGTATCTTAACGCAACATCACACCACCTGTATATATAATATAAATATGCAGTGTTAAGTTGTATGTATGTATACATATACATATATTTACATGTATATATGATGGCATGTTCTAAGTAGAGGATCCTCATATGTTCTAAGTCACTTAGAACATACGTCCCCCTATTCGCCGAAAATGTTCTAAGTAGAGCGCGCGTACCCACCGAAAAATTTCCAAAACGATGTTCTAAGTAGTTGTCCGGCGCTATATATATATATAACATGAAATTGAGTTTTCTGACCTGTCTAAGTGTCTTGGCTGATGTCCTTGCGCATATTTATATCATCTATGTCTCATGCTCTGCAGGCAGCAAGCATGATGTGCTGTATAAAAAGGGCAGCTTGCATGACAAATTTTTGCGCTCACAACACCCCCCCTCCCTATAGTTATTGGGGTTTATGATAGGCCATAGTTTTTCAACCAACTAGCATAATGAGGTGGGATAGGGGTATTTTTTTATGGCTCGAGTGACTTGAAAATGTCAAAGCTTAAATCCCCAAGCACTTTGGGAGTATTTTAACAATTGAGATGCTTTCTTGGTGATAAATTTGTATTATTATGGAAAAATAGATTATTAACCAGAATTGGGATTTCTCCCATCCCCTATTGAACATTGTTAAAGATCCCCACGGTTAATTCTCAAATATGTGTCTTCAGCCCCTACTAAACCATGATTTCTGGGGGCGTTCAATATGAACAGGGGAAGGGATTACATTTGGTTAGGTCACCTCTGGTTTTGCAAAATCCCCAGTTTTTGGGCAGGGCACTAAGTTTAGTCGTAATAAAAATATTTTGGTGGTCATCCAATCAATAGTCAAGGTTTAATCTGGGGTTGGCAGTACTTTGGTTGGTGGTTGGTCACTTAGTTTATTTATTTTGAAAGGGTTTGTAATGACCAGAATGAGAATATGATGGGGGTCTGGGATATCATTCGGTCATATAATGGGGATGCGATTTGAAGGTCTTTTGCCATGAGTTAAGGGAATTGGAGCCAAGTATATGTATATATGATTGTCATGTTTGATAGTTGATTGGTCGGTGGGTGTATAGCTAGCTCATCTCAATCATGTGTGGTTGGTGGTAATCTTTGGCTGCAATAGCACGATGATCCATGGTGGTGAATTGGTGTGTATAAAACCGACCATAATGGAGAAATGATGGGAATATGACCACAACATGATTTGGTTTTGTCTCAAAATGTTGAATTGACCTTCCAGATGCTGCCAATTGAATGGGGAAAACGGTGAATTTTAGCATGGGGGTCATCCACGACCCACGGACATTGGACATTTAACAGGATGAAAACTAAGTGTTTATTGTGGCTGATGATTTACCATTTAGTTTATGGTTTAGATCAATCATATATGGCTGCTGTTTCAGGCGGTTCTTCATTTGATTCACCCAAAAAAAAGATGGGGGTTGGAAGCAGCAACTACGCAATGGTGATGGAAGTGAACAGCACCTGGCCTGATTGGTGAAGACCATCTGGGCTGATACCCTCCAGTGAAGTAACATAAAGTAACATAGTTATGGGATGTTATTTTGGAAAATAGCCCATTTATAGATGATTTCCTATGATCACCTTTAAAATCCCCACTGAAAATCACTGTTTCACAGAAATCTCGTGATTTCTGACGCAGGTCATCCGAGTGGGACGCAGCCCACACAGTGATGTGCTCTTTGGGTCTGGGTTCCCGGGGACTGCCTGGATCTTGGTCATGAAATGGTCATGAAATGAGGCTTTGTTGTTAAGACAGGTACAGGTGGCACATCTAAAACCAAACACCTTTCCTGTCCTTTGGGAGACTCACCCATCAATGCTATGATTTTCATGGGGGTTCTGACAAATTGACAACCGAAGGGTACCTCAAAGTGGAAAGGAAATCAACGGCGATGTTCATGAGAATCCAGAAATGTTTGTAGCCTCTGGTATATGGCTATCTGGAAAACCTTCATCTTTTTAGATGATTTGCTATCAACCTCTACGGGATTTCCCGTTCAAACCTCCATAGCTTCCAATCTATCCCGGTGACAAACGCCATGTCACCGCCACATCTATCCAGTGATACCTAGGAATCCCAACGTCTCGTGGAATCACATGACGGTGACACTTCATAGAGGGAGCAAAAGCGGAGGCGGCTAGGATATATGGGGATAGAATGGGAGACAATGGGCTTATAATGTGATATGGACTGTATGTATACTGTATGTATATATATATATATGTACATATAATTATATTTACAGTAGTTGATACAATACAACGAATCAACTTGATATGATTCGAAATTGGGTGTGTCTGGATTTGATCTATTCACACCCCATTTATGACAATATTGATCGGGAAATTTATGATCAACCAGCGGATTTTGGGGATACTTAATGATTTGAGGCAAAACCATATGCCATGTCAGGTTGCCTGTGATTTGGCTGGTAGTTCATGCCCTTTGTCCCGGTGTTGTTTTGAGTATTCCTTTTGAACATATCTCTTGGGCAACTTGTTTTGTCAGTTACATTGGAGATACATGCTGCTGAAGGAATAGGTAAGGCAGGCTCGACAACGCCGCTAAACAAAAGAAAAACTGACCTGTAAATGCATGCTCAATCATTTTCATGCGGGGTTCGATTGCCGTGTGACTCTCTTGAAGCCTACATAGAGCTTCCATGTGACTATGCCGACCCAAAATGGCTTACCAACTTTTACCAACAGTTGGCCATATTTGACCATTGACCATATTCAACCATATTTGTTGAGTTTGACCATAATTTCCACCCATTTTTGTTGGGTTTTACAGGCGTTCCACCAGAAGCGCGATCTTCAGGCGTTCCGCCCCACGTCACCGTGAAAGACGTGAGTTCCAGTGGCTCCGCAGCCAAGGCGGCGTCCCATGTTCTCTGGTGTTTTTTGGGGTTTTGTAGAAGAGGATAGTATGATATGTCATGATGAAAACACAGTGTCATGCTAAAACACTTAAAGATAAAACAGATGAAGTGTCGTACTTTCATAGTTCATGACAGTCATGAATTATGATGAGATTGTGGATTGCGAAATCCCGCGCCACCAAAGGATAGTACCCTATCAACTGGTGATTTCGCAACATCTCCCAGTGCCAGGTGAAAGGCCGCTCCTGGGCGAGATTGGCCAAGGCCGGGATCAGAGATCCTTAGAGATCCTTTGGAAAACCTACCAATGATCATTAGATGTAGGGGTTCATGAAAAACCCAAGAATATCCAAAGATAATGACTATAGATCGTGACTTGACTTGAGACAATTGACATAGTTCCATTTCGGATTCAAAAAGTGCAAAGTAAGCATTAAAGAAGTGCAAGAAGTAATGTTGATCAACTTGGATCGATGTGGAAACCAACAAGTCCAAAATTGCGGGTCGCCTTTTTTGTTTGGAGAACTCTCCTCGTAAAGATGCTCATTGAGATTGATTGGAGCAAAACCCTTTTGGTATAATTCCTTCAGATCCATCCTGACACACCTTTGCAAGATTTGCAAGAGCACAGAGAGATGGATTGGCGTACAGACGTTCAAGTCCACCAGCAAGTTCTTTGAATAACATAGACCCGGGCAAGCCGGCGGCGGAAGTTTCCCAAACATAAATGACCTATAGTTCAAAGACACCCTGTCCCGACCGTGTCCTTCCCTCGACAAGCGGCTTTTTTTTTCAGCGAGAGACGAAGCAAAGTCTTCACACTCCACACTTCGCACTCCACACTTCACACTGCACTCTTCGCACTCGAAACTTCACACTTCACACTCCACACTTCGCACTCCACACTTCACACTTCTCACTTCTCGCTGCTGCCTTCACACTCCAAACCTCACACTTCACACTTCACACTGCGCTCTTCGCACTCCAAACTTAAACTTCACACTCCACACTTCACACTCCACACTTCACACTTCACAGTTCACACTTCTCACTTCCCACTGCTTCCTTCTCACTTCGCACTTCACAGTCCACACTTCACAGTCCACACTTCACACTCCACACTTCACACTTCACACTTCACACTCCACACTTCACACTTCACACTTCACAGTCCACACTTCACACTTCACACTTCACAGTCCACACTTAACACTTCTCACTTCACAGTCCACACTTCTCACTTCGCATTTCACACTTCACACTCCACATTTCACACTTCTCACTTCTCACTGCTTCCTTCACACTCCAAACTTCACACTTCACACTTCTCACTTTGCACTTCACACTCCACACTTCACAGTCCACACTTCACACTTCTCACTTCTCACTTCTCACTGCTTCCTTCACACTCCTAACTTCACACTTCTCACTTCGCACTTCACACTCCACACTTCACAGTCCACACTTCACACTTCTCACTGCTTCCTTCACACTCCAAACTTCACACTTCTCACTTCGCACTTCACACTCCACACTTCACAGTCCGCACTTCACACTTCTCACTTCTCACTGCTGCCTTCACACTCCAAACCTCACACTTCACACTTCACACTCACTCTTCGCACTCCAAACTTAAACTTCACACTCCACACTTCACACTTCTCACTTCCCAGTGCTTCCTTCACACTGTACACTTCACACTGCACTCTTCACACTCCACACTTCACACTGCACTCTTTGCACTCCAAACTTCACACTCCAAACTTCACACTCCACACTTCACAGTCCACACTTCACACTTCTCACTTCTCACTGCTTCCTTCACACTCCAAACTTCACACTTCACACTTCACACTGCACTCTTCACGCCCCACACTTCACACTGCACTCTTCACACTCCACACTTCATCTCATCTGAGCTCTTCTCACCTTATCCCAGCTCATCTCTTCTCATCTCGTCCCTTCTCATATGTCATCTATTAAGCTTTCATTAATCAATTCCCAGCACTACTACTAATCACTGTCGACCCCTTGATGCACCCACTCCAATACGATTTACGAAGTCCAGCTGCAAAAGACAATAGTATTGCGCATGCAGCCGCGGCACCAAGCAACCTTGACGCAGCCATCACAATGCGATCTGCAGAGACTGAGTTGCGAAACACAATAGAAATACGCGCAACTGGGTCGGAAATTGCAGCTCCAAAACCGGACCTCGACGCCAAAGCGAAAAAAAAGACGATTTTGAAGCACTTTTTAAAAGGATTTTTAGAAAGAAAATCACTGGCGCCAAAATGGAGAAAATCTGCTGACAAATCACTGTCGCAGCCTTCATGCAGCCACTCCAATACGATTTACGAAGTCCAGCTGCAAAAGACAATAGTATTACGCATGCAGCCACAGCATGAAGCAACCTTGACGCAGCCATTACAATGCGATCTGCGGAGACTGAGTTGCAAAGCACAATAGAACTACGCGCAACGGCGTCAGAAATTGTAGCTCCAAAACCGGATCTCGACGCCAGAGCGAAAAAAAAGACGATTTTGAAGCACTTTTTAAAAGGATTTTTAGAAGGAAAATCGCTAGCGCCAAAATGGAGAAAATCTGCTGACAAATCACTGTCGCAGCCTTCATGCAGCCACTCCAATACGATTTACGAGATCGAGCTGCAAAAGACAATAGTATGACAAATGCAGCCACAGCACGAAGCAACCTTGACGCAGCCATTACAATGCGATCTGCAGAGACTGAGTTGCAAAACACAACAGAACTACGCACAACGGCGTCGGAAATTGTAGCTCCAAAACCGGATCTCTCGACGCCAAAGCGAAAAAAAGACGATTTTGAAGCACTTTTTAAAAGGATTTTTAGAAGGAAAATCACTAGCGCCAAAATGGAGAAAATCTGCTGACAAATCAATGTCGCAGCCTTCATGCAGCCACTCCAATACGATTTACGAAGTCCAGCTGCAAAAGACAATAGTATTACGCATGCAGCCGTGGCAAGAAGCAACCTTGACGCAGCCATTACTATGCGATCTGCAGAGACTGAGTTGCAAAACACAATAGAACTACGCGCAACTGGGTCGGAAATTGCAGCTCCAAAACCGGATCTCGACGCCAAAGCGAAAAAAAAGACGATTTTGAAGCACTTTTTCAAAGAATTTTTAACAGGAAAATTATTAGCGCCAAAATTGCGAAAATCTGGTGACAAATCACTGTCGCAGCCTTCATGCAGCCACTCCAATACGATTTACGAAGTCCAGCTGCAAAAGACAATAGTATTACGCATGCAGCCGTGGCAAGAAGCAACACTTGCAATCCCATTTACACTGCGGGAACGATCCTACAGTTGCAAAGCACAAGGAATTCCATCGGCAAAATCATCCACCAGCACCACTTGCAATGCCATTTGCATTGCGGGAACGATCCTACAGTTCCAAATCACAATGGGAATTCTATCGGCAACTCATCCACCAGCACCACTTGCAATCCCATTTACATTGCGGGAACGATCCTACAGTTGCAAATCACAATGGAATTCTGTCGACCGCACATGCACGAAAAACAGGTGACACCACATTTACAATGCGAAACCGATCCGAGAATGATCCGCCCATGATCTGACCACACACGCGACCGTCTCGCAACCGTCGCACCGCAGAGGTAGATCATCGAGGTTCGGGGACGGACTTTGTATGGAAAAACATAGGGTTTCGTGCATCTGCTATCTCTCAAAAACGCATTTCGTGCGAGACTTCTTCCAAAACTCCATCGGCAACTCCTCCACCAGCACCACTTGCAATCCCATTTACAGTGAGGGAACGATCCTAGAGTTGCAAATCACAATGGAATTCCATCGGCAACTCATCCACCAGCACCACTTGCAACCCCATTTACAATGCGGGAACGACAGTCCAGCTGCAAATCACAATGTAAGAAGGTAAAGAAAAAGAAAAGAATGGACAAACCCAAAGAAAGAACGGACAAAAAACGGAAGGATAAAATTCTTGTTTCTTTTCTGACCGCACATGCACGAAAAACAGTTGAAACCCCATTTACAATGCGGAACCGATCCGACCATGATCCGAGCATGATCCGAGAATGATCCGACCACACACGAGACCGTCTCGCAACCGTCGCACCGCAGAGGTAGATCATCGAGGTTCGGGGACGAACTTTGTATGGAAAAACATAGGCTTTCGTGCATCTGCTATCTCTCAAAAACGCATTTCGTGCGAGACTTCCTTCAAAACTCCATCGGCAACTCCTCCACCAGCACCACTTGCAACCCCCCTTTACAGTGAGGGAACGATCCTAGAGTTGCAAATCACAATGGGAATTCCATCGGCAACTCATCCACCAGCACCACTTGCAATCCCATTTACATTGCGGGAACGATCCTACAGTTGCAAATCACAATGGAATTCTGTCGACCGCACATGCACAAAAAACACTTGAAACCCCATTTACAATGCGGAACCGATCCGACCATGATCCGAGAATATCCGACCATGATCCGACCACACACGAGACCGTCTCGCACCCGTCGCACCGCAGAGGTAGATCATCGACGTTCGGGGACGCACTTTGTATGGAAAAACATAGGCTTTCGTGCATCTGCTATCTCTCAAAAACGCATTTCGTGCGAGACTTCCTCCAAAACTCCATCGGCAACTGCACCACTTGCAATCCCATTTACAGTGAGGGAACGATCCTAGAGTTGCAAATCACAATGGAATTCCATCGGCAACTCATCCACCAGCACCACTTGCAACCCCATTTACAATGCGGGAACGATCCTACAGTTGCAAATCACAATGGAATTCTGTCGACCACACATGCAGGAAAAACAGTTGAAACCCCATTTACAATGCGGAACCGATCCGACCATGATCCGAGAATATCCGACCATGATCCGACCACACACGAGACCGTCTCGCAACCGTCGCACCGCAGAGGTAGATCATCGGCGTTCGGGGACGGACTTTGTATGGAAAAACACAGGGTTTGGTGCATCTGCTATCTCTCAAAAACGCATTTCGTGCGAGACTTCCTTCAAAACTCCATCGGCAACTCCTCCACCAGCACCACTTGCAATCCCATTTACAGTGAGGGAACGATCCTAGAGTTGCAAATCACAATGGAATTCCATCGGCAACTCATCCACCAGCACCACTTGCAATCCCATTTACATTGCGGGAACAATTTCTTTGACTAACTCGTTCCCTAACGAACTCTTTCTTTGCTAACTCTTTCTCTGCTCTTTCTTTGACTAACTCTTTCTTTGCGAACTCTTTCTTTGACTACCTCATATATCCTGACTAACTCTTTCTTTGACTAACTCTTTCCCTCACTAACTCTTTCTTTGACTAACTCTTTCCCTGACTAACTGTTTCTTTGACTAACTCTTTCTTTGCCTAACTCTTTCCCTGACGAACTCTTTCTTTGCTAACTCTTTCTGTGACTAACTCTTTCCCTCACTAACTCTTTCTTTGACTAACTCTTTCCCTGACTAACTGTTTCTTTGCTAACTCTTTCTTTGACTAACTCTTTCCCTCACTAACTCTTTCTTTGACTAACTCTTTCCCTGACTAACTGTTTCCCTCACTAACTCTTTCTTTGACTAACTCTTTCCCTGACTAACTCTTCTTTGACTAACTCTTTCTTTGACTAACTCTTTCTTTGACTAACTCTTTCTTTGACTAACTCTTTCTTTGACTAACTGTTTCCCTCACTAACTCTTTCTTATACTAACTCTTCTTTACTAACTCTTTCTTTGACTAACTCTTCTTTGACTAACTCTTTCTTTGACTAACTCTTTCCCTGACATTCTAAAAGTCCGTAACACGGAAGTTTCTCCCCCTAAACTTCCTTTGATCATTTGAATATGTTGATAGACATTAAAACACGCGTGACTGGAAGCCCCAACATTGGAATCCAACGCCCATGTCAAGTCTCACAGTCTCCGCCTGGCACAGAACGTGGAAACGCCCATTGAAAGTGGCGCGATGTTCGCGCTGCCAGTGAGGATAAAGCCCAAGGCACCCACCTGCTCGGTGGCTGCACAGTTGATTAAGCCGCTTAGTGCCCTGAAAATTGTATCAAATAATATGACAATCTATGTCGTATATATATATATAGCTATGTATATATATATATTTATTTAATATATACTGTATATGTAT